ATCGTATTCTCTTGACAAAATTCTACCAGCCTGTGCCCTGCTTCATTTTGTACTCCAAGGCCAAACTTGCCTGTTATTCCAGTTATCTTTTGGCTTCCTACTTTAGCATTCCAATCCCCCATGATAATAAGGGCATCATTTTTAGGTGTTAATTCTAGAAGGTGTTGCAAGCCTTCATAGAACCGGTCAACTTCAGCCTCTTCAGCACCAGTGGTTGGGGCATAGACTTGAACTACTATGATGTTGAATGGTTTGCCTTGGATTTGAACTGAGATCATTCTGTCTTTTTGGAGGTTGTATCCAAGTACTGCTTTTCCTACTCTTTTATTGACTATGAAGGCTACTCCATTTCTTCTGAGGGATTCTTGCCCGCAGTAGTATACCTGATGGTCATCTGAATTAAATTCACCCATCCCTGTCCATTTTAGTTCACTGATTCCTAAGATGGAGATGTTCAATCCTGTCATCTCTTGTTTGACCACGTTCAGTTTGCCTTGATTCATAGATCTTACATTTCAGGTTCCTATGGCGTATAGATCTTTACAACATCGGACTATCCTTTCACTACCAGATACATCAACAACTGAGTGTCCTTTCGGTTTTGACCCAGTCGCTTCATTCTTTCTGGTGCTACTAGTACTAGCCCCCCGCTCTTCCCCAGTAGCATATTGGATACCTTCCGACCTGAGGGGCCTATCTTCTGGCGTCATATGTTTTTGCCTTTTGGTACTGTCCATGGGGTTTTCATGGCAAAGATACTGGAGTGGGTTGCCATTTCCTTCTCCAGTGGATCACGTTTTGTCAGAGCTCTCTGCTATGACCTGTCCATCTGGGGTGGCCTTGCATGGCATAGCTCATAGCTTCATTGAGCTACACAAGCCCCTTCACCACAACAAGGCAGTGATCCATGAAGGAGAGATTCGGACTAGATATCAGGAAAAGTTTCCTCACTGTCAGAGCAATTTGACAGTGGAACCAGTTGCCTCGAGAGGTTGTGGGCTCTGCCACACTAGAAACATTCAGAAAGAAACTGGACAGTAATCTGAGTGGGATGGTGTAAATCGGTGTCCTGCAACAACAGGGAGTTTGACCCGATGGCCTTCATGGCTCCTTCCAACTCAACTGTTTTATGATTCTATGCTCTTATAGCTCTTATAGCTATAAACATAGTAGCAAATCTGAGGAACCAAGAAGTGTGACTTACGTAGGATTCTTCTCATGATTATGGGGATGAAAACAGAGGTTTCAAGGAAGCTGAGCTATTTCCATTCAAAATAATAATACCATTCAGTTTTTTCAACCATGTGCGGATCAGATCTCAGCTGTCCTTTGGATGATGCACTTTCCCAAACTCTGCAGTGTAGTTCTTAGCTCAAAAAATGTACCAAAACAAGAAGAAAGTGTGTTTTGGATAACATATGATTTAAACTAATAGCTTGAGATATAATAGATTTAGACATGTGTATTTGTGGAAAAATATGTTCAAAACACATATTTAAATCTTTTTAATAAACCACATTAGTATGAATGGCATGGAATGGACTTATGAAAGAATGCAAGCCACACTGACACAGCCTGGAAATAGACTGACCTGTCTGTCCCTAATTCTGGCCAGGCAAACTGGAAGGACACCATGGTTATTAGTATCAAAAGCTACTACTCTGGTTCAGCAGAACCAACATGGATCACTCCCCATCCCATTCTCATCCACCAACGAGTGCAAAGCAGTCTCACTTCTCATATTGAGCCTGAGCTCACACTAGAAAGAATCCAGATGATCTTCTTCCAAGAAAATCTGGCATTGGGTCATTGCTACTTACTCAAAATAATTTGTTTGTTCTGCATATTTCATTGTTTCTTGGAGTGAATCTTTATTGTAGTGCAGCATTCACATAACTCTAATTAAGGACCAGGTATGTGCATTTGCTGTTAAACGCTGGCATCTTTCATTTAGCAATTAAAGTGTTTGCCATTAGTGCAAAGGTTTTTAATTTACACAGAACTGTTGGTCAGTCTGCTCTGGATAAGTCACAAAGTGCGGCTCTCCTGTCTGTACTTGCTGTGATAGAGCATCAAGGCGAATGAAGGCATGGATTATGATATAGTCTTCAGCAATGTAAGAGCACCTTCTTCCAGCTTGGGGAGCATAACCGGGGCTGTGAGCTGAAGTCCCAGGAGCTTTCCTAACTTCAAAATAGTCATTGCACAATGCATGCAAAGTCAAACATAGAAACAGAGTGAGTCAGAAGGGGTCTCCTGGGCCATCTGGTCTGACCGTGGGCTCCAGCTGGCTCCACTCATAATATGCCTACATCTTTAGCCACAGAGGGTATAAACATAGTTGATGATTCAGACTGGATGTAGGAGGTTGACACCACATCAAGACTTTTTGAGGGAGCCTGGCCTGAACTCAGTGGGGAACAATTTGAGAACTCCTAAATAGGAAACTGATCACCGATCCTGTGATACCCAGACACTGTTAAAGCATTCCATGAAACAGAGAAGCAAACAACACAGTATGGTTAGGAAATATTTGAACTAATGATTAAGGGTTAAGATTAGTTTGGAAAGGGTTTTATGGAAGCAGTTGAATCAGCAGAATTGTGAACATCAATAAATAAAATTGGAAAAAAGTACATTAGAAAGAAAGAAAAATATATGGGGAAAAAGATGCCAAGGGATATTCCACAAGTATAGCATATAACTTTGGTATTTGAACATGTCCATAAAAAGGTGAAAATTTTGTCTGCTATGGTCCCATTTAAATCATTCAATTCTTAATCAGAAATTAATCTAGTTTATAAAACTAATTGTTTTTATAATTGTTATAATATAACTAATTGTTATTTATAAAAAAATAACATTGCTTTAGAATTAGAATAAAGATCACTAACATTTGTAAAGATTCTACTTTCTTTAGCAATTAATTAAATTGTGCATAGTAAGCTTTCCATCTTTAGCTGGCATTATATTATTAAAATTGGTTAGTTCACCACTGCTGCATACTCAGTTAGCTTGGTTTTCCAATCTTCAACAGTTGGACGGTTTTCAGCTTTCCAATTTGAAGCAATTGATACTCTTGCCACTGTTATCATATGTTTGAATAACTCTAACATAATCTTTGGAATAGTCTCTGGTACGATACTCAATAACATATTCTTGGCTTTCATAGGAAAGTCAATTTTAAGTATTTTCTGCATTTACTTGTGTATCTGCTACCAAAATCTTTTGATTCAATCATATGTCCAGCATTTGCTTCTTTACATTTCCAACATTTTCTGTTGTAATTCTTGTCAATTTTCTGTATATCTTTTTAGGCAACATACCACTGAAAGTACATTTTCTCTTAATGCTTGACTGGCAGTAAATTTTATATTCATTGTCCATAGGCCTTTCCATTGACAGGACAATATTTCTTCTTCAAGATTTTGCATTCAACCCTTCATACATATTTTAACTTGTTGAGTCTTAGTGTAGTATTAGAGCAGTTGTTTACAGATTTGTTCTAGGAAAGATCTTTTCCATATTTGATTATACTGTCAAAATCCATCAGATTTCTTATTGTGCCTTTTCCTGTTTGAGTTTCATTTTTTTTTTTTTAAATTGAAGCCAGTTTGATGGTACAGGAGCCATTCTATGTGAGGCTGTAGAGACTGGCTCCAATTTTGTAGTCAGGATCCCTATAACTTGCACTATTGTAAGCAGGTGATTACCCAACTTTACTTTAAAAATTTCCTGTGGAGATCTTTCACTGTTGCTGTGTTGATCTAGCTGTCAGGAAGGTTTTGCTAATACTCAGCTTAATCTGATTCTCTGTTACTTAAACAGTTGACCTGGGCTGTATGTAGATTGCAGCTTCCCCATGGTTGATACAGTGCTGTGGATTAAATCTGAGAAAATATAAGCAAAATAATTAGGGCTAAAATAAAAGTGTATGTGTGTCATTCATGAAAATCTTTAACTATTCACTCTGTCTTCAGTGAAATTATCAGGATCAGACTAAAGAGAAGATCCCCCTTCTTAAGCTAGCTCAAAATGTTCCTCTTGGCCAGGTTCAGCTTGTAGAAAATGGGCTAAGGAGAACTGTTTGTAGGAAACATTTTAGAGCTGATTCACACATTCATCTTCAGTGGTTGATACCTAGCAATGAAATATGTGAGCTGGCTGCAGAAAAGTATGATTTAAAAGTTCTGTAATAGCAATCAGTTGGTATTGTAGTCATGGAGGGTCTTGTAGTGTATGAACCAGAACCATAAGTAGGACACAAACCTATCAAAGCTGTAGGACAGGAGTGCCCCAGCCCTACTCCAGTATCAGCTGAAACAATGCCAACCTTCATTGGTCAAATGTAGAGAGCAGATATTCCAAGGAAGTCCTTGCAGGACAGTTGCTCCAGCTGAATGAAGCAAGTGAACTACTCCTGTATCAAATTATTGCTGCTCATGAGTAGCAATTTCCTTTGGTGTAGGAGCTGGATAAAGTGCCCATATGCTTGATTAGATGTATCAAAAAGTGGTGGTGAGAAGCTTTATATAATACAGCTTTATATAATGTCATGTCTCTCTCTTACAGACTGTCCAAAGGGGCCTGATATCTTGGTAGTTCTCCTTTCAGTGGCTGGAGCCATCTTGCTTATTGGCTTGGCTACTCTGCTCATCTGGAAGTTGCTTATCACCATCCATGATCGGCGGGAATTTGCCAAGTTTGAAGAAGAGAGAGCCAGGGCTAGATGGGACACGGTAAGAAATACAGAATAATATGATGGGACAGAGAATAGATCTGTACCTTTTCTCCTAAGGAGAACGGTAGACTTACAGTGGCCCATACTTCAGCTTTCTTGGTGCAGTGTACCTAATGATGTCTGTGGGCTATGCATACTACATATCTGTATCCATTTTTATGCCTGTTTCAGGCTCCAGCTAGACGTTTCCCTAGGGAAATGTGTTAGGAGATGTTTGAGCTAATTAGTAAGCTTCCTGGAAACCAGCCCACATCTACTCCAGCATGGTGCCGTTGAAAAAAACAACACATGACTGGACATCATTGCTTTAGTATTTCCTGCCCTTTGCTCTGCTTCGGTGGCTAATACATGCAAAAGCTAGAAGAGAAACCATAATGCAATCATATAATGTTATGTTTGTACATGGTACTGGGGAGATAGAATGTGCCTTGCACTTGTTTCAGTTTCCTTAAAAAAAATCCTAGATTTGTAGTCTTCATGAGAACAAAGAATCCTGCCCCATTTTTTGACATTCCCAGCTAAGAGTCACTGGGTTGAGAGAGCAATTGTTAATTTTATGTCCATAACATATACTGGGGGTCAAACTATGTGGGAGGGCAGGGCACCCCCCTGACATAATTAGTTCCCCATCAGACATCATTCTTGGTAGATGACCCACTTGGTACCTCGGCCAGGGTGGCTTCACTGTGCACAGTGCCCTGAGAACTGGCCAGTGCACTGAGTAGAAGCCACCTGGAGCTACACTTTATGCACACTTCTGCCGTCGGGTGAAAATGCAGGGCAAGTAAAGCCCAAATGGGCAAGTACCTTCACTTCACTTGACTGGGGCAGCAAGCAGTGTGTAAAGGGAAGAGACTCGGCTGGTGCTAAACAAAGCTCCTGCAAGTGTTGGCTGAGATTTGTGTGCCACCCCGATATGAATGGGGAGGCACTCAATCTCTACTCCTACCAGTTGGAGTCCCCTTGTTTTGACTGAGCTGTGATTCCTGATAACAAGGGGATTACTTTTCCCAGTGCCTCCCAAGCTCACAGTAGCATCCATTGTAGGGAGGAGGGCTAAGGGAGGGGTCTCATGGAAGGAGCCCAAGGTTGGAGGTGCCCTATCCCTCATAAGGACACATATTTTGACAATAAGTTAATTAGCAGGTACAAGATATGCTTCGTTTAATCTATTCTTTTCTGTTCTGTTCCAGGCCAACAACCCATTGTACAAGGGTGCCACCTCCACGTTCACCAACATCACATACCGTGGGAATTCATGAAGGGAGGAAGTACATTTCAGGCCTTCCCAGGCCTTCCCTACTCATGTTTACAGAACAGTCGGTGTTGTGTTGGCATGTCTGTTGTGTGTTTGTGATATTTTAGCAGCTGTTGCTCAAGTTGCTCAAGAGCCTTTGCTCTTCACTGATCTGCTGTCAAGTGAGAATGACTGCATTAGCATTCTTCCAAAATTCTCTGTTTACCTCAGCTCACCCAGAACTGCGGCTGGAACCATGCATTGAAGGAGAAAGGAGGACTTACTGTTGAGTAAGCAATATACAAATCCCCAGGGGTCAGAGACCACACTCGTTGAATAAAATTAATGGGCAGGGATGTTGAGGTATATAATCTAACTCAAAAAGGTTTTTATAATGAAGTGTGGAATTGAGGGGTTCAGAAACAAAGTCTTGCAATTCCTAATACCAAAGCTTGAAATGGCTCAGCAAGTCACATCTAAGTATTCTTGGTGCCACTCCCTTCCCATGGAAAGTCTATTGTTGCAGAGCTTGCTTGTCAGTGTTTCCTGACTCCCAGTAGAAGTTGGAAAGTTTGGGGAATAGGGATGATGAAACTGAACTTCAAAACAGATTCAGAAATAAAATGTATTTTCTGGGGGCTTTGAAAAATGTATTTCCTGAATCCATTTCAAACTGAAGTAATTACTATATTATGAGAAAAGATGATACTATATATTTTTGAAATATTGTTCTAGTATTTTTGTCCACTTTAGGAGGTCACAGTTGTCTGCTATTTAATTTCTAGAAAGTGATGTGCATGTGTTCAAACTTTCCTGAACACTCTGTGAGCCTAACCATTCACAGATATGTAAGAGCTATTTGGTGAAGAAGGAAAATATATGTTGGAGGTACTTCATTTTCTATAATGGCATCCTATGTTCCAAGGCTCAAATTAAGCCTTCACCCAAAGGCTTCTGTACATCTTGTATAACAACTTGATCATCAAGGGATATGTTTGGGGAAGTATCCATAGCTTAGTGGTATGGACATGCTTTGCATAGAAAGGGTTGAAGGATTAATCCTCATTGTCAAGTTTAAAGCATGTAAACTAAAGCAAGAACCTGCTCATCAGAATGGAATAAGTATCTCTGCCAGTATGTCTGCATCCACATACTCCAAAGTCCTCAGTGTCTGCCTGTAGATGCATTCTCCTCACTCCTGCTTTTTACTCAGGGAACCAAAAATCCACCTTAAAGCAAAGAAATACTTCAGTGTCCTAAATGTCCAAACCACTGCCTCCAAAACTGTCCTCAGGTATGTTAAAGTGAGGAGAGGACATGCTGCAGCCAGTGAACCTCACTTCTCTGTGCCTTTGTTACCCAATATGTGTAAGACAAGTAGAAAGAGTCCTCCACTTTCCTCAGGCTATGAAATGCTCTTGCACAAGGGGGTGTTTTCACTGCTGGCCCATCTGCACCCCTTGTGGCTGCTCAGTCTCTAAAGGCCCACACTCATTTCTAGATGTGGGGGCAGCAGCACAGTACCCTTCCCGCCTTCCTGTCCTGGGTCCAAGTCAGCCACTCACACCAGCCCTCCTGTTGCCCAGCTGCAGCCTTCCCCAACTGGGTGCCTTCCCATGGTGACTGACTATGGGCTTCTCTGCATAAGGCATTTGTTTTATACTTGTCGTCCCTTACTCATGGAAGTTTGTAGGGCCTTCTCCCAACATCATCATCCTTCAGGGCCTCTTCACAGTTTTCCAGCCATTTACACAATTTTGGGGGGAAACGTCTAGTATTTTCTAGATGCTGCCATTGTTTGCTACAAAAGCTAGGGTAGTTTTACAATTCCACTCTGTACCAGTGTACCATGTTGTCTTGTGTAATGGGTAGTAATGAAAAAGCCTTGTGTGGAGGGCACTCTGTAAGTATGTCAGGAAGATGGAAGAAGAGTCCTTGATGAAGCGGGATCTTATATGCCTCATGCAAAGAAGCCCTGTACCTCCCATCAACTAAATGGACATAGAAGTATCCTCCCAAGGGCACCAGGTTGGGGAAGCTTATACATATTTCTTACATGTATAACTTTCTTACACTATGCAACCCTCCCACAACCCAGCACATTTCTGTCACAAATATCTGCCTCTGGAATGTTTTTTTAAAAAGGAGACAGTGCTGCAACTAGGATAGGCTATTGGGGATGATGGAACACAGGTTCGCTATTAGAAGAAGCTTGAGTTCCTTTTTGAGGGAGTCTCTGACAACAATTCACACAGTACCAATTTGCTTCTTTTCTACTGGCCCTGGAAATTATTCCCCAGGATTTCTTAGTCAGCATCCCATGTGCATGGTTACCAACTGTGGTGAATTTGTAGGCAGAGTGGAGTCAGGAAATGGCTCTGCTCCCTCCTTTTAAATGGGGGGTAGGCAGGAGTGTAAAATTGGTTTAAAAAAGAGGTTTGGCAGTGTTGTGAAGTCATGCCTGTAGCACATGCAAATAAAATCAAATTGTCTCAGACCACTGGCTTGTTGTGCTTTTCCTATTCATGTTTGCTTTTACCTCAATATCTTTAATATCAATATAAATTATACTGCAGAATAAATATGTTGCTGACACAAATCTACAAATTCATTAACTCCAAAATGTATGGAAAAGGGCAATCTTATATGGGTCTTCTCAGAAGTAAATTTTATTGAACAATGGGACTTATTTTAAGGCAAATGGATGGACTATGCAGCCTAAAATAATCAGTAGTTTGGAGTACATTCCCTAGATGGGAAAGGCTAAAGTGCTTAGGAAAGACATCAGTTGCGTGGCATGATAGCAATATGTACGATTATAAATTATGCAAACAACAGAATGTGAGATGTGTCTCATAATACTAGATTCAGAGTACACGAAGTGCTTTTCACACAGCATAGAACTGTAAGTGTTGAAATGGGCCATTTAGGTGACCAAGTTGAACCCCCCCCACTTGGTGCACTTTAAAGCAGCCCTGATCCAGGGCCCTCTAAGCCTTTGCTTGGATATGTGCAGCAACAAGAGAGCCTACCACTTCACTAGGCAGTTGGTTTCATAATTGGCTACCTACTTTGGCTGTTAGGAAGTTTTTCTTGATGTGCAACCAAAACCTGCTTTCCTTTTACTTAAGCAGAGCTCTCTAGGATTGTCCAGGGCCTATTACATGCTGGCTCAAGGACATCTTGGAGCCATCTGAGGCCCACTGTAATATATTCACTAGACACTTCCAGGACAATCTGTATTCACCAGAACTCAGACTCCAATGGTATAGCAGTTGAATCTGGTGAGATATCCAGAGCACAGCCTAGTTGTGTTGGATGAGTACCTGTTACTACAACTCAAGGATGATAACAAGGTGCTTGAACAGGCTAGTGTGACCATGTCAGTACTGGATCCTTGCTCCACTTGACTAATAGAACTCAGTAAGGAGGGAACTGCTAGCTGGGTCAGGGAGTTGATTAATGCTTTCCTGTGAAAAGAACTGGTCCCTGGCCGCCTGAAACAAGCAGTGGTGAGACCACTCCCAAAGAAAACCCTCCCTGGACACAGAAGAATTCAACAATTTTAGGCTGGTGGCAATTATCCCTTCCGTGGCAAAGTTCCTGAGTGGTGGCCAACCAGCTTCAGCCACTCTTGGATGAGACTCATTATCTGGATCTATTTCAGCTGGGGTTCAGGTCTGGTTTTGTACAGAAACAGCTTTGGCCACCCTGATGACCTATGCTTGGAGATAGACAGGGGGAATGCAACCTTGTTGGTTCTTCTGGACCTCTCAGCAGCCTTTGATACCATTGGCCATGGTATCCTTATGGGGCCACTGAGTTGGGTGCGAGAGGGCACTGCATTGCAGTGGTTCCACTCCCACTTGGATGGTAGGCTTCAGAAGGTGGTGCTTGGAGGATATTGCTCTCTTAGATCCTCCAGTATGAGGTTCCTCAGGGGTCAGTCTTCTCTCCCACACAATTTTAACATCTACATGAAACTGCTGAGTGAAGTCTTCCAGAGTTTAGGGTGTGTTGTCATCAATATGATGATTTGAAAATTATACTTCTATTGATACAACCAAAAATGTATTTGCCTTTTTTTGCAGATACATCACACTGCTGACTCACATGCAGTGTGTGATTGGCCACAATATGAGATCCTATGCTGTTGCCAAACCAGGTGTCTCACATTTTATACCTGTGCCTTTAATTTCTATTTTTAAATGAAGAACTTTGCACTTGTCTCTGTTGAATTTCATTTTGCTGTTGCCTGCTCATTTTCTTAACTGGTCAAGACCATATTAATTTTTTCCCTATCTTTTAAAGTATAAGCTATCCCATTCAAGTGTCATTTACAATATGATAAACATTTTCCCCACCTGTCCTTTTCTCCACATCAGTAATAAATACTTTATTTCTGGAATCTGTGGCCACATGCGATATGAGGATGGCTGATAGCTGATACTGGGATAACAATATAAATATGATGGTTGTATAGTTGTAAAGTTGTGTCCAACCCCTCACAACCCAATAGACAACATTCCTTCAGGCTCTCCTGTGTCCATGGGGTTTTCATGGCAAGGATACTGAAGTGGGTTGCCATTTCCTTCTCCAGTGGATCACCTTTTGTCAGAGTTCTCTGCTATGACATGTGCATCTTGGGTGCCCCTGTATGGCATAGCTCATAGCTTCATTGTGCTATACAAGCCCATTCGCCACAGCAAGGCAGTGATCCATGAAGGGGTGGCCAACTGCAAATGAGGGCAGGACTCCTGCACATTTCTTGTCTGGAAGAGGGAATTTATCAGGTTCTGTTTATTTCCTGTTCTACATGACAAGTTGTACTGGTTAAATGTTCATCTTCCTCACAACCATGAATAGCTGCAAGAGTCCAGGGCTTGCCCAACTACTATGCAGAGCAAGGTGGACTCCTGAACTAGCTTCCATTGGGTGTCATAAAAAGGCACCAAATAATTAATTACGTATGTTTTACTCCCACATTTAAAGAGTCTGTGGGATTTTCTACCTAAGATGGGTACTATAGCCAGCTGTACTGCAGGAAACAAAAGCAGCTTTGCAGGAACCTTGTCCTAGCGATCTTCTCTTCCAAATAGAAATACTTGGAGAAACCGTTGGGGCATCCCCCATGTCTGAACTAGTGCTGAAATGTAAATAGAAGGTACCCAGAAAGACGGAGGAAATCCAGATGAGGTTTTATTACAGTGGGCACTCTGTTGCAGTGTGCCACCTACTTTGTTCCTGTTGGTTCCTGCATGCCGTCTGGATCAGTGGGAGGTGTGACACACTCTTTACATGGTTTATGGAAGGCACCTCAGATTCTCAGTTGGCACATCTGAAACTTTCAGCCCCCTCTAGCAGAATACCTTCACCAACATGGTTTTGATTAAGTGTTAGAACAACGGTGACACCTAGGGGCAATTTTGGGGATTTCTTCAAAAGGATATGTAGCATTCTATCATATAAAAACATGTAGGATTTGCATAGTGTTTGTGTGTGTGTTCCAAGCAGTTCACATAGTTTCATTTATGTATAATTAAACTTAAAGCACAGCCTGGGATGGGGTGGCTACTTGCCTCAAACTGAGGCAAGCTTTGCACCTGAATTTAGTGCAAAAAGTTGAGATTCAATGAAGGATGTCCCATTTTATAACTCAGCCTCTTAACCACTATGCTACACTATTAGGACATCAGCTGATACATGCATACCCAAACATGGTAGCACCTTATCTTTTAGCAAAACTCAGTCACAGGCAAACCAACTGAACTGCACTGACATTTAATCATTCCCATATTGCGAAGGGTTATGCTTTGAGACACAAGATTCTCAATTTATGGTGTGCTAGAAAATTCCACTTCACATTAATGCATCTATTTCCCTTTATTGGAATATGTTGAGAATATTGCAGTTGTTCTGCTATCTGTTGCACTTTTCTCTGTAATTTGTGCTGGCCTCCTGCTTGATGTGTTACAAACCAGCACAATTTCTGAACTGGCACAGGGTCTAAATATTTTGAGGTGAATTTGGAGGCAAAGATCTACATCTTTTGGGATGGGGTGAAGTTATTTTCTACAACATTATCTTTGTTGGGATCAGCTGCTGCTCTATGACATCATCAAGTTGGAACCCCTCTTATAACAGTTGGCATCTAAGTGGTGGTGGAGAATGTGGCTTGGGGAAGAGATGTGCCTCCATCTCTACCAGAGAACCACCTCCCCCCAACGCTTTTCACCATCCTCTTGTTAGGGATAAAACTCCAGCTGTCATTGTGGTCCTTGGAACAATGGAAATCCTGACCTCTGTTTCTTATTCCTGTTTGTGGTCCTAGCTGCCTCTCCACCTTGCCTGTTCCTTTCGTCTTGGGCTGTCAGCCATTACCAACAAAAGTGCTGATCCCTGAGGAGTCATAGCAAGTGAGTGGTGGGAGGGAAGGGGTTAAAAAAACTGGCCTCTTAAGCACCTTTTCATGTTACTTGTGCCTCCACTGGCTGAGCATGACTCTAAATGCTAGCAGTGGTGATAATGATTCCTTTTCTACCTTCAAGGAGTCTTTGATGTGGCCTTCACTTTTTTCTGTTGACCTTTTACTTTTCAGGTTTGACTAATATCTCCGCTAATGTGAAAAGAGTAAAACTTTCCTCTATACTTCCTGACAAAAAAAATGGATAACCCCCTTGACAGCACCGACAGGTAACAGATTCTCTGTCTGGGCAACTTAGAGGTTTCTCAGGTAGCAACATGCCCCTAATTAGGACTACCAAATTGTAAAGGCTACAACTGTAACTTTAAAATATGAATGGCCCACAAAGTGAAATGCAGCCCATCAGCTATGTATTTCAGTGGGCTGCATTCAGACAATTCAGGTGAATTACATAAGGTGTGTTAGCTCTGCTAAACTGTGTGTATAGGGGTGGGGACTATTTCCAGCACTTAATAATTGTATGCACAGAAACCCACATGTCCATCTTGCAAATCTTTTCCAACAAGGTCTGCCCCATGAGACAGGGGTTGTGACCACACCCATAACTGCATAGGCTGTGACCACACCAGGTGGAGATTGCCCGATAAGTAAATTGTATACAGTCCCTCAGCCACCTGGATAAGGCACTTGCTGCCTTCTTTCCTGGGCTCCCTGATGCAAAGCCAGAAGTAATGCCTCTGATTCTCTAATGGATAAGGGCTTGCTACATCCAACTTAATGTCACATGTACACACTCCCACACATTCAGCTTATGCCTTATTCAACTATGCTGAGTAGGAGGAGGGCAAAATGAGGGAACAAACACTTTGGTCAGCCTATGAAGCACAGAGGTCATCTTTGCAATAAGCTACAAGTTGACATGAAGAACGATTTTATCAGAATGGAAACAGCATAGTTCTAGACCAGAAGAAAATCCACAGCCTCTGAAACTGTAACTACTGATCCTTCTTTTAAGAGTGAATTAACACATCAGCACCATGACCATTGATGTAAAGGATGGCTCAATAATACTCCACATTACAACTCAGAGTCTGATTAGGGCAATAAGAGTGGATGTTGTCAGTCTAGGAACATGATATGTTCATAGAGACTATGAACCTACAGTCAGGAGGGTGAAACTGAAAAATACATCTCAACATGCTTTTAAGTGCCACTGTGGATTTCTTCAATTAACTGGCCTATAGTCATCCATCGAGGTCTGACTGCAAAACTCCTAGTAGAAAGAATATGCCAGCTGGTTTGTTGAGGGATGTTTTGCTGATATATTATCTGTGCATATCAGCACAAGTTCATATTTACTTTGGGACTGAAATACCAGCAAAGCTAATTTGATGGTGCAAGGACAACAGTCAATTTATGCTTTTCTGAACCTCTCTCTTGGTCCAAGTGCTTGTGAAATAAAGCCCATTAGAGAAAATTATCAGATGGCATGCAAGAGAAATGGATCTCAGAATATTTCATGTACAGAGAGAAACAACAAATCACTTCCCATCCTTCTCTTTTTTTTTCAGTGTTAGCAATTTTGCCAAGTGAAAAAACAATCTGAGTTTTGTATTCAGCCCAGCAAGTTTAGCTGGCACAATCCACTCTAAAATGATAAACCCTTCTTAAAATATGACAACACAAAAATTAATGTATGAAACAGATGCATATCCCATGGAATTAGGAAGGATAGCTTAACACCTTAACATTTAAAATGATCTTGATAGGTTACAAGATCTGGCACTTTTATTCTGTTATTTTCTCTTGACAATGTTTCCTCTTTGGCCCTTAAAGTCTGAAGCCTTGCTAAGATGTGTAAGATAAACAGAGGGAAACTGAGAAATGGGGGGGGGGGGAGCTCTTCTAACCTTACATTATTTGCATGAGAAGAAGACAATCCTTCCATGGAACAGGGCTTATCCTGCAAGCTGGTTCTGCCTCCTTTCCTCATCAGAGGCATACTCCCAAAGTGTTGTTTAAAGTTACTGCGTGCATGTCTGGGTTGCACTTTAGTAACCTTGCTCTTGCTGTATGTGGCTTCTCATGAAATGCGCTTATGCTCCTCACATGTTCAGAGGCACTCTTCACTCATGGCAGTGGTTTTTTTTTTCAACCTTTCCACAGCTGGGGACAGGCAAAAACAGGAAAACCACCTCAGGAACTGCTGAGGCAGAAATAAAAAGCACCGTACACTTAACACAGTATTCTGTGTATTAGTTTCCAAACACAATGCCAAAAAACAAAACAACCAGAAACTGAGCAACAAAAAGAACAAAATACTAAAATCTGTGTGGTGTGGCTCCCAGCTGGCTCCTACCAAGCCATCCCTCCCCTCCCCGGCGGCACTGGCACACCCCCCACGAACGCAATGCCAACTAAGGAATTGGTGGTGGAGCACAGGCAGCCCCTGCACCAGTCTGCAGTGAGTGGGATGTGCCCCCACTCCCCATCCCTGGACTGGCAGAAACCTCTGGCGGACCAGCACTGGTTCACAGACCAGCGGCTGAAAACCACTGACTTATACTAATGCTAGGAGTCCTCTCTCTAAAGGCACCCAATACATTATAGCCAGTGTGGTGTAGTGGTTAAGAGCATGGGACTGGGACTCAGAGGATCTGGGTTCTAGTCCCCGCTCAGCCATGGAGCCAACTGGGTAACTTTGGGCCAGTCACAGACTCTCAGCCCAACCTACCTCACAGGGTTGTTGTTGTGGGGATGAGATGGAGGAGGAGAGATGATGTAAGCTGCCTTGAGCCCTTTGTAGGAAAAAGGCAGGATATAAATCACAATATAAATAAATAAATAAATAAATAAATAAATAAATAAATAAATAAATAAATAATAGCACTTAGCTCTAGTTCAAATATATTTGTCAGTTAACCAGAAGAAAACAGCCAAGTTAGGATCATCACACCATTTCATTACCTCCTTTGCGTGTTTTGTTAGGTGAATGGACAGATGAATAGGCCTCAGATGTACTGGAATCTCCTCAGCCCTAGCTTATTAAAAATGCAGGACTCTGTTTCGGAGTTCAGCAAACCTGGACCTCTTCTGAAAAATGGAATACAAGTTAGGACTGAGTAAAAATATGGTGCATGTTTCATGAACATTCCTCCACGCTGCTGCTGCTGCTGCTGCTGCTGTTGCTGCTGCTGCTGCTGCTAATAATAATAATAATAATAATAATAATAATAATAATAATAATCTGGATTTCTGGAAATCTTTTGGAGGCATTTTCATTAATTTTCTTGGGCAAAAGCAATGGAGAATGTATAAGGACCTCATCACCCCACATGTTCAGATACCACCTCCCCCTCATATGGCATTTAGGCAGGGGTAGAAGAGCTCTGTGCTGAACTTCATTTTTATGTGTTTGCAGACTAACCCTACTTCTCCCAGGAGAGGCCAGCTCATCTTGAATGGTCAAATGAAGGTAGTTCAGAGTGAGAGAAGCATAGCGCTCATTGCTATTGCTTTCCCTTAGTAGCCTCTTCACACATGACTTATGTGAAGGAGCATCCTCTGACTAAAGGGCTGCAAGGGCATGCCTCTGGCCAAGTTGTTTGGGTTGGCAGGCCTGTGCACAATGACTCTCTATGGCCAGGCTTCCCCAGACCTGGATACATGTATCATGCAGGTGCCACAGGCTAAGAAAACCCACACACACTCACGGAAGTCTGTATGCACAGGTTATCTTGCTTCAGGCATGTGGCAGGGCCAGCTTTGTGTTGGCAGGCACTCACCAAATTTGCAGCCCCTATAACCAATGCCAGCGGCAGCCTCCCATAAGGAAGGGTAAAGTCCTCGCCTCAGGCAGTGGAGTTTTGAGGAGCAGTAAGCTGCACCTCTCTGTCCTGCTCCCATCAAGAGGTCCTGCCTCTGCCCTCAGATAGCGCCCCCAGTCATTTTTCTTCCATGGTATTTGCCACAGCAGGAGATAAGAACCTCAGCACTCCTGGTGTGTTGGGAATGTTGTATTGTTTATTGGTATTGATGTTTTAATTGTTTTATTTATGTAGTTTTAACGTTTTGTGGTGATTTTATTACGTAAACCATCCAGAGCCATGAGGCTATTGCGATGGTATACAAAAGTGTTAAATAAATAAACAAACCAGCCAACCAACCAGAGAGCTTCTCGAGAGCAACGGCCCTTGTGATGACCCAGGCCCTCTTTTTTTTCTCTGAGGGAACCCTCTCAGCCAGAGCCAGAGAGTGGGCAGGCTCTCTGGAGAGCTACCCTGGCTAGGGTCGTTCTTCAGAGAGGTGGCCAGACCACAAGGCCTGGTCCTGAGGGAGCCAACAGGCATTGTGCTGGGAAGGGTCCTGGGGGAAGGGTCCCCTCAGAGCCAGACATTGTGGTGAGCTCTCAGTGTGTGTTTTTCAGGCAGCGGGAAAGCTCAGGCCTGAGCTGTGCAGTGCCCCTTTCCACGACTAACATGTGAAAAGGGTAACAGTCACATAGCTGGATCTGATGGGTTGCACTTGATAATACTTCTACTGCAGGGAGAAAGAAGGGCTATTTTTCAAACAAAACCCAGCATCAGCACTGTAGCCAGTTTAGCCTGTGAAGGGTAACAATGAATAAGCTGCTCTTGTGGGGAGGCAGGTTCTTCATAGACTTCCCAAAGATCCTTTTTCAAACCAAAAAAGTGTTATCTGGAGAGGATTTGTCTCAGACATAATAGAAGCCCTCTCCAAACGCCATATAGCAAATGTAATTGAAGCAGAAATGTAAAGCATTCACAATTTTGTGATAAATAATTTAAAATTTGGTCTCAAGGGGGTTATTTTTAGCAAAAGAGGCATCCTTTCCATCTAACTACACTCTTTCTTGGGACTATGTGGTAATTTATAACTGTATTGTTTATGGTTAGTCATACTGAAAAACTATTAAAACATCTATGGTATAAATTTAAACCAAGTGGAATTTCTTTAGCTCCCCAGACTTTATCCCCATACCCTAGGAATTAGAGAATGCTAAATATTTCTTACTAGAGTGCAGCAAACTTGACAACGAATTGGCCTTCTATAGTTTGGAATTATGGCAGGTAAGCAGTTTTTACTTGGGATTTAAAGGCGCAACACACACATGCCAGATCCATGCAAATTTGGGGAACGTAGATCTGTGTGAGATGATGACACTAAATTTGTCCAGCTATACTATAGCATTATGTTTTAATCTGTGTCTGCAACTGGCCATTTCCTCTGATTTTCACAGCAATCTCCAGAATGAAAGTGGACTGACTGAGAGCAGTAAACCCCAAGACCCTAATGAGCAACTCATAGAGGGCAGCAAACCCCCTGGTACATATGAAGAGACTGAATCCAGCAGCCCCCAAGAGCTAAATGAGCAGGTGCAAGTGAGCAGCAAACCCCAGGACCCAGATAAGCAGGCTGAAGACAGCAAAATCCAGGACCTAAATGAGCAAGTCAGCAAGCCACAAGACCCAAATGAGCAGGTCAACAACATCCCAGACCCAAAAGAGCAGGTCAACAACATCCCAGACCCAAAAGAGCAGGTCAACAACATCCCAGACCCAAAGGAGCAGGTCAACAACATCCCAGACCCAAAGGAGCAGGTCAACAACATCCCAGACCCAAAGAAGCAGGTCAACAACATCCCAGACCCAAAGGAGCAGATCCAAGAGAGCAACAAACCCCAAAACCCACATGAACGGGCTGAAAACAGCAGCATACAAGAGCTAACTGAGCAGGTTCAAGAGAGTGACAGATCCCAAGACCAAAATGAGCAGGCTGAAGGGAGAAAACTACAAGAATTAAACGAACAGATCAAAGACAATGAGCAGCTAGAAATTCCACCTCAGAAGCAGCCTGAGAAAGAGGCTGTCCTGTCTTCAGTGACTGGTGCACAGGATGTTCCTTTGAGGGAAACGCAGGCTGAGTCACATCACGCCCTGGCCCCTGAACCCAGGCTGGAAGAGTAAGTCTAGCACTGCAGTGTAAAGCCTGGGCTTAAGGTCTGGTTCTTTAAGGTTCCCTCCCCACACACCCCTTGCCACTCTGGGTGGTGTGCAGAGCACCTTGTTTGAGGATGCTTACAGAGTTCCTTACAGTAGGGACATCTCACCTGTAATACTAAGAATGTATTTCCTCATTTTATTAACGTCTTTGTTAAGAGTTAATTCATGTTATTAAGTACTCTTAAAATAAGAATTCCCCTCTTCTCCCAATAATTCTATCTCTAGTGGCCACCTTGTCCAGTATCAAGACATGGTGGCCATGTAATAAAAATTGATTCTTGTTGCTGTAACATTTATTGCAGAATCCATGTCTATAACTTGGCTACTAAGACAAATCAACTTCAGGTGTAGTCCTAGGCGCGTTCAGTCAGAAAAAGCATCCTGGGAGTTGTATGGCTCAGCTTTGGTCTAGGTCTGCACCTTTAAGGAAGTTCATGGAAGGAAAGTTTCCTGCCATCTCCTCTCTGCTGTAGCTTTCTGCACCCCCTGAAAACCTTCCCACAGGGTCAGGAGGGCCCATGTGGAATGGGCAATGGGGCCTGTCAAGAGAAAATGGGATTTTAGGTGATTCTGCTCCACCAGCAGCCTTCCTCTCCTCATGCCACATTGATTCATTTCCCCTGCTCCCAATTAACTCCACATTGTTGCAAGTCGGATTAATTAATGAGAAAATGTCCTTCCATAAAGTTCCTTAAAATAGCTTATCCTAGGAGCCAAGCCTATATAATTAGTCAAAAATTAGTTTTCACTAGTTAAGCTGAGTGATACTGTACAACATAACATCTAGATTAGTATATCCAGTATAAGAGTCAGCACTGTACTTTGCTTACAAACCCCATTTGAAAGTAAGTTTTCCATTATTTAAGCCTTTTTTTTGTCAATCCAGGATAAAGACAAGCAAAATGAAAAGCTAAAGAGATTGGAGGTGTTTAGTTGAGAAGAGTAATGACTAAGGCTGTGATCCTGTGCGGATGTCCCTGTGTCCCTCTTTTTTTTTTTTTTTTTGCAAAACAGCAATAGACAATTTTAGCCATCTAATTGCAGCACTGCAGAGTGGAAGGGAATGGGTCTAAGATGCTGCCAGGCAAGCTCTCCTCCAGCACCACGTTTCAAATGCATCTATTTTCTTCCTGTCAGCTTTCTTCACTATCCCACTTTCACACACATGCACAGTGATCTAGAATACAATTATGTGGATGACTTTGTCCTTGGTCCCCAGTGAAATGCCTTACACTGGATGATCTTTTCTAGTTCCTTCATTGCTGCCCTTCTGAATTTGAGTCTCCACCAGGTATCTTGACTGCAGTCTCCCTTTAAAGTGACACCTGAGCCAAGGTATGCAAAATCTTTCACAATTTCATTTCTTTATTGTTGACATTTAAGTTGTGTAGTTCTTCTGCAGTTATGGCTTTTGTTTTCTTCATGTTCAGCTGCAGTCCTGCTTTTATGATTTCTTCTTACACTTTTATCAGGAGTTATTTCAATTCATTGCTGCTTTCTGCCAGGACTATTGTATCATCTGCATGTCTTAAATGATGTGCTTTCCACCAATTTTCACTCCTCCTTCCTTTAATCACAATTCAGCTTTCCAAATGATATGTTCTACATACAGATTGAACAGAGAGATAAATTAGACCCTTATCTGATGTCTATGTCTGTAGGAAACTGTTCTGTTTCACCATATGCTGTAGCTTCTTGTCCACAATAAGGTTATACATTGGCACAATCAAGTGCTGAGACACACTCATTTCTTTCAGGAACGTTAATAGTTTCCTGTGATCCACACAGTAAAAGGCTTAATCTATAAATCACAGACTGATCTTTTGAAATTCCTTGTTTTGTTCCAGTAGCCAACATGCATTTGCAATATGATCTTGAGTCCCTCTTCCTTTTCTGAATCCAGCTTGAACATCAGGGATTTTGCACTCCAAATAGAATAATATTCTTTGTTGCAACACCTTGAGCATCATTTAGCTTGTATTGGAAATTAGTGCAATGTTCTTATGGTTGCTGTCCTCTTTTGCCTCTCCTTTCTTTGACTCTGGAATGTATATTGAATGTTTCCAGTCTGTGGGCCATTGTTTTACTTTCCATTTTTGTTGGCAAATTCTTGTTACAATTTGGAGCATTTCAGTTTCTGCAGTTTGGGTGCTTATTCGCTCTATTTTTAGAGCAGCTTTTACTTCACTTTCTAATATTGCAGGTTTGTCCTCACAGCATTCCTCTTCAAAGGAGCATATCATCCAGCTTCTCTTTATGTTATCCTGATCAGATATTATGTCCTGTTGTTGTTCTTTCAACATTACTAATCTAGGCTTAAATTCCCCTTTGATTTCTTGGATCTTCTGGAAGAGCTCTCTTGTTATTCTTTGTACTTCTCTTCTATTTCTTTGCTCTGGTCATTGTAATAGTGTGGGGTTTTGTTTGTTTGTTTGTTTCTACATGATAATCACTGAACAGTTGCATTTAGGATTCTGAATTTCTGCTGCCTTTCCTTTTGTTTCTTACATGTCTTTAGTAACTGAGTGTTTCTCTTGTCATCCACTTTGTCTGTCTGTCTGTCACAGGAATTGTCTTTTTGTATTCTTCACTAATAATGCTTCTAGTTTCTGTCCACAGTTCTGCTGGTTCAGTCAACTGAGTTCAGCAATGCAAATCCTGAATGCAGGTGGCACAGTGGTTTAAACTGCTGTGCTGCTGTGCTGGTTGATCGAAAGGTCACCAGTTCGAATCTGCACAATGGGGTGAGTTTCCGTTGCTCCATCCCAGCTCCTGCCAACCTTGCAGTTCGAAAGCATGCAGATGCAAGTAGATAAAAAGGTACCACTTTGGTGGGAAGGTACCAGCGTTCCGTGCACCTCGGTGTTTAGTCATGCCAGCCACATGACCACAGAGACCGTCTACGGACAAACACTGGCTCCCTCGGCTAGGAAACGGAGATGAGCACCGCCCCCTAGAGTCAGACATGACTGGACTTAACGTCAAGGGGAAACCTTTACTTTTACCTTTTTAACGCAAATCCATTCCTTATGTGGACTTTAACTTCCTCAGAAATGTTATGTAAGCTGTATTTTGCAATGTGCTTATGTTAATGATCTTTTCCAGATTTACTCTGATTTTGATATTCATAGTTGCTACTAATAATATGTGAGGAATCCAGTTTGTGGGGCGGGAAACCATTGGATTTTCTCAGTTTGGCGCCTCAGAGCCTAGCCTGCTTTCTTTCTGCCCTGAGCCTGACTCCCATTGGGCACGTATGTGGGCATCCAGCAAGAAGCAGGTTCAACTGCCGCACAGGCATAACTAGCAATGTCAGCTTGTGCACACGTTGCCTGCAAGCTGCTGCACAAATGGAGTTCTGCTTCTGCAAGCATAACTAGCAGGCTTTGCATACTTAGAGGGAGAATAATTTAGTGCAAAAAGGAAGGCCAGCAACATTCCCAAGCTTTCCCAGACTTGATCTAGCCTCAGCTTGGCTTGCTTCCCAGGCCATGCCCAGACTGCACATTCCTTCACTCACAGCAAACAGAAGGCCCTATAAGACCAGTTAAGCAATGGACAGGAATGACACAGGAAAGGATCCCAGTTTTACAATTGAGCTTTCATCATTGTAACTAGGCTTATTTTTCTCTCCCTCATAGCAGTACCCTGCATGAGCAGGCCAAAGAAAGCAGTCCCCAAGACCTGAAGGAGCAGGTGGAAGAAAGTAGGGAAGCACCCAAGGAGGCCCCCAAGCAACATTCCCAGAAGGCAATTTCTCTATCCACCTCTGCAGTCTCACCAAAGAAACCCATTAAAAATAAGAAAGATGAAGCGTGCAGCACTCATGCCCCTGGAAAACACCTGCACAGTGACTACTTTTCTGCCAGGTAAGCAGCAGTGGGTGAAGATGGTCCATGACACATGATGGACCACAGAATGTGGCACTTCCTCCTCTGCTTTGAGCAATTTTTCCTCCTCCTCCTCCTCATCCTAAGATTCATATACCATTTTCTACAGAAATGCCAAAGCAGTGAACATAAAATATAATGGCATAAAAGTACCCATAAATATAACAATAGAGAGAAGACAGTGGAATTAATCAGCAATAAAACTGCTTGTGCTGCAACCCATAGATGGCTGAGTTGTACTACAGCAAAAGCCTCTGCATTTTAAGAACATGTCTGACAGAACTAGGGAGGTCTGTATATCAGCTGCTGAAGTGCTCCAGAGGGGATCAGTGCAGAACCACTGCAGTGGCGCCCAATCTATGGAATGCGCTCCCCAGAGAGGTCCACCTGGCGCCGTCGTTATTTGTTCTTCCGCGCCAGGCGAAGACCTTTTTATTCAAACGTCATTTTAATTGTTAATAGTATTTATTCATTTTATTCTTTGGCCAGGGCGACTTAATTTTTACTGTTAATTTATATTAAGTAAGTTTATTTATGGATGTGAGCCGCCCCAAGGCTTCGGCAAATGGGGCAGCATAGAAGTCCCCTAAATAAATAAACCACTAAATGCTTTACTACACATGCTCCTGAGGTAGACCTCCAGAGCACGTGGCATCCTCAGAAATGTTTCCTCAGATGGTTGCAGAACTCCAGCAGAGATGTAAGGAGTGAGACAATCCCTAAAGTAACCTGGTCACAAGTTCTTTAGGTTTTGTATGTTGGCAGCCAGTGAATCTTGGCTCAGTAGCTTGTTGGCAGCCAGTGAAGCTCTTCTAGCTGCTGGAAGGAGGAACCCTACTGGCAGCCTTGCCAGTGGATTCTGCACAGCTGCAGCTTCTGGACAAAGCCCAAAGTCCCACTGAGCAGATTTCAGACACAGTGATCCAACCTTAACATTACCATTGCCTATACCACTGTGGCTAAGCTTATGATACCCAGTGTTTCCATGTGATTGTACTTCTCAAGTGGTAAAGGGTTCGTTTTCATTTTATCAGAGTTTTGTCCGTCTTTTTTAAAATTACAAATTATGTTAAGTAATAACAATACAATGAAAAAGTATATCCATAACAAAAAATTAGAAGGAGAAAAAAACTTAAAATACAAATAAAGTGCATCATATAAATCAGTCAAAAGAATTAATATTGAATTTGCTAGATACCAAATACAAAAAGTGCACCCCCACATCAGGACAAAGACATCCACATTCATTGTGCCAAGAGTTTTTCTGTACCAGAGCCCGCTCTGCCAATTGCATGAAGTGGTCCCTGGATGTGTTACTAATGAAGGCAGGAGCTGGTCAGTGTAGATTTTAGATGCTTTTCATTCTTGCAGTCCTTTGTGTCTGTCCAGCAATATGACACACCTCTTGATGGCTCTTGCATGAATAGACTTTTGGGCCTCCTCTGTAAAATCACATTTTAATTCTCATTAGTGAGAACATCTACCTGGTGACCACGTTGTACATCTGATTTAGCCTTTAAATTACCCCAAGTCTCTTGCGGGTTTTGCTAGATGGCTGCCCCTCTGACTGTCTTTGTCATTCAGCTAGACAAATTCCAGAGTGCAATCCACTCCTAGCTGGTGGTGAGTTCATGTTGGAGTGTGACTAATATAAGCAAGCACCTAATGCAGGACAATGACAGGGCTAGCTTCCGGTCTGAGGGCCCTGGGCAAAGTGTCCCCTGGTGGGTTCCATCCTCTGTTATGGGCCCTGGTGGGATTATCTGGCTGTAGCAGAAGTCCTCCATGAAGCTCTGTGCCTGGTTCCCCATTCCATTTTCCACAGTGGCCCAGAGCAGGGCCACACTGGGGGCATGCTGAGAAATGGAAAGGGTGGTTGGATCAAGTTGCTTGGAGAGGAGAGGAGAGGAATTGTGGGGTATCTGAGATTGGTATCACTAGGTGGCTGGCCCAGGTGCTGGACTCTGAGCCAAGCAGTTGTGCCAGAAATAAACTAGCTAAAATTGAGCTAGCTACTTCCAGTCTTGATTTAGATTAGTCTTCAAAAGATCAAATGTGTTGATGAATGAGACAGAGAGAGAGCAATCTCTAATGCTGGGTCGTCTGATCAGAAGTAACAGCAGCTTGCAAAGCCACCAACTCAACTGGTGCTTGGAGGAGCCATCCACCCTCTGAAGGCAGAGACTTGACCAGCTCTTGAAGGAGCCACTCCTCCAAGGCTGCCCTCCCCACACCCACAGTTTTCCCTTTTCCATTTCCCACAGGCCAAGGATCACACAGAGCCTGCCGGTGTATGGAAGAGCACCCTTTCAGGGATGCCTTTCTCCAAACAGAAAACCCAGAACTGCTGAAAAGGCCATTCAGGTAAGCTGATGTTGTGCTCTGTGCAGCCCGCCCAGTCCTAGGGTTGGTTTTCAGTAGGATGCTTGTCATCTTCACAGTCCAGGAAATTAAGCCCTGTGTTTAGAAGCTGCTGAAAGGCCACAGAATGGCAGCACCTACTGATAAGCAATGAAAATTGGGACACTTTCAGTTGATAACAAAAAGAAACTTGAAAAGTTGAACAATTTTGTCTCGGCCCTTGCTTGCATGTACTCAGGCAGTTCATGTCATTGTCCTCCTCCTCTTCGCAATCTTATCCACACAACAATCCTGTGAAGTAAGTTGAGCTGAGAGTCTGTGACTGGCCCAAAGTCACCCAGTTGGCTCCATGGCTGAATGGGGACTGGAACCCGGATCGCCTGAGTCCCTGTCCCAGGCTCTTAACCACTGCACCCCTCCCCCCTCACACACACACAAAAGAAAAGGCTTGCCCAAGCACACTCAAGTCATGATCATGTGTGTTCTTAGTAGGTTTTTAAGGCAAGGAACTTCTTCAGCACCAACAGCACATTCACACATATTACTTAGGTCTGAAGGATAATGTATCATATCATTTATTATTCAAGTGTCACTGAGACTGTAGCTGAATCTACAGCCTTGGAGGAGGGTAATCTATATGGTCCCAAGCACCATTATGTGTCATTATGCTATTATGCTAGCTCCATACAGGTGTTTGTCATTGACCAATTTATATAAACGGTATGTGCAGTTCCCTGGCAGGCTCCAAACCCAGTCCTGCCACATTTTTCTCTTCCACAATGAGGAAGAGAGAAGGGGGAACAACTAGGCCAGCTTGTCCTTAATAAGGGGACAGTTCACAGGTAATTCACCATGCCTGAATTCAACTCAAGTATATTTCAGATGACAATCCTGCATATAGTGGCCATACCTGGTGGTGATGAGCAGAATTGCAGTAGCAGGTCCCACCCTTCAAGGATTCTTAACCTTTCTGGGTTCATGGGAACATCTACTGATAGGGGAAGATGTTGTGAGTGCTCTCAAAACAGTTACCACAGGCTATTCATTCATAGAATAGCTGCCATGGTGGGCCTAGCCAGCCAGAAAACACTCATTTCACAGAAGACAACTAATGAGACTAAAGAAAAAGAACTTGCCCAAAGACTGAAGTTCAAATGGGGCTGAATCTCAACTCAAAAACACAAAGCCACTGTTCTGAACCAGCCATAAGAATGGTGCTGGAGATCATCATTTTGCTTTCCAGTGTGCTTGCCTCCTGCTTTAAAAACATTAAAACATTTCAATAAATAAAAATAAAAATAAGAAGGGCCAGAGACTCTGATGGGCACCCGGAGAAGTAACTGGTGCCCCTGGGTGCCACTTTGGAAGCTGAGCATTAGACTGTCCAATCCCTGTGTGCCCACAGTTCAGGTGTGAGGATGGAGACCTTATTTTCACTGGATTTAATGCACTTCAAGTTTCTACCTGCAAGTTTGTACACACAGTTTGCAAATACATGAAGGCTGAGAGTAGGGCTTGCTTCAACAACCTTGTCTCCTCACAGCTCCGCTCACATGTATGTATCCACTGTACACAAGTGTCATCTGAAACATGCAGCTGTAAAGACTGATGGCATGCAGAGACCTACTGCCAAGTCGCAGAGTTTTTCATATATTAAAACAGTAGAATCAGTTTATGTGCCTTCTGGGGACAGTCATTTCTGTTTGGTTGAACAGTGTAACAAGATGCTTATGCGGCGCTTGCCACTGCTTGTGAGGAAACCACCTCAGAGAGTCTTCATCCCCAAAGCAAAGCCTCCAGTAGATGACAAAGCAACTCAGGTGAGACCCAGAATGCCCTCCTCCACCTAGACAATGGGCCTCTACCCAAGGAGCTTTCCCTGGCTCAGCTGCCCCTGCTCCAAGCTCCCCTCAGCACTCTCCTCCCCAGCAAGTGCCCTCCTATCACAGGTGACTGAAACCAGACTGCTCTCCTGGTTTCACAGGAGTTCCCCTGCCATGTTCTCCTGGGTAAGTTCACAAACTCCAGAAATCTGCATCATTTTCATTTGCACAGTGTGACGCTATCCTGGGCCAGCATTCCTGCTGTAACTCCAGTTCTTTCACCCTCCCTCTGGGGCAATCAGGAAGCAGGAGGAACACAGTGGGGAAGAAATGTGCCCCACTTGTTAATAGCTTCCTTCCAAGAAGAAAGGGCCAAACCTTCTCTGTTGCAACTTCTGTGTATTTGCATACATAATAGTACTTCATACTTTCCTTTTCTCAGCTGAATTACTCCATCACTTCTGGCAGCTGGTTAATTTCAACTGGGTTCTGAGTGATGAAGCTTGGAGGAGCTACTGTTATAATGCCCATGCCTGTAGAACTAAGGTTAGGAATGTGGAGTTCTCCAGTTATTCTTGGACTACAACTCTCATCAGTCCCAGCCAGCAAAGCCAATGTGACAGATGATGGGAGCTGCAGCCTGACAACACTTGGAGAGCCCCACATTCTCCATCCCCACTGCAGAATGTTCTCCTTTTGTTCTGAACAGCTAGAAGCCTAGCAATTCTAGCAGTTATTTGATCAGATTTGGAAAGTGGGTTTTATGCTGTGAGATCTCCCTACACCACCCGTCCAAGGAGGATTCTCCTTCCCTGTAATCTCATCAAACATTCTTGACCCAAAATTGACAAGCTGAATGGCTAAGTATGTGCTGTGGTCACCCCCACCTTGACTACCAGATTTCTCCATCCTTTGAGAGGCTCCCGAAGAGGCCACCTCTTTTAGCCAAGAAGGAGAAAAAAGAGAACAAGGTGATCACCCAGATTTCGCCAAGCAAGACCCGCCCACCCAAGTTGCACAAAAGGAGAAGCAGTAATTGTAATTGTCGCAGGTATGCATTCCATAATTGTGGCAGGTATGCATTCAGGAAAGCAAATATCTTAATCCTCATCTCCTTTTCTCTTCCATCTCATGCATCCTTAATTCTCTCAAAGTTTATCTTCCATCATATTAATGCATGCCTTCCATAAATTGGAGACTCCCTAGTGTCGAGCTATTCTTCCTTCCTTTTGCTTTGATGTCCAAATTTTGCCTCTTTTCTGTTCAATTTCCTAGTATTTTCTTACTTCCACCAGCAGAGGGGCCTCCATTAGAGATATTTTGCAAATACACAGATGAGCATGATGCACAATCAAATTCAGTGTCCTTTTACTTCTCTGTACATCTGAAATTTCCCTTGGCAGGGGCTTCCCCAGTCTGGCTCTTGTACTTCATAGAACTGAGCCACTCACAGGAGGCTGAGTTAGGCTTTCTGTGTATTCCCGTAACTTCCACATGATTAGGGTGGGCTGTAAGGTTGGACACCTCTGTACTTGACTGTCTCATTGTGCGAGGCAGAAATTGTAGACATTGCTAGGAGTGGTGCAGAAGCACCTACAGGATGACAACAACCATGCACCATAGAAATGGAGCATGGAAGAAGGTGGGGACTTGGGTAGAGACAAGGGTTGGGTAGCTGCTCTGAAACCGCTCTCTTTGCTGTCTCTGCAGCGCAGCCGCACAGCCGTCCCTGACACTGAAAAAGGGCAGGTGAGTATTCCAGGCATGCTCTTCTTGCAGACTTGTTCCCTGCAATGCTGTGTCCCCCTTCTTTCCTTGAACACCTCCTCTTCTCCTTCTAATCTCCTGGACTTTCCACATTCCCTTTCTCTTTCCTTTCTGCCTCATCTATCCTTTCCATCTCTACAGTTGGTCTGAGGCTGGAGTGAACCTGGCAAGGCACCTCTATGGTCAAATTGTGTGTGTGTGTGTGTGTGAGAGAGAGAGAGAGAGGGGGGGGGTGGTGGTGGTGATGATGATGATGATATACAAAGTGGGTGCTATGTATGCTGGGGCACTGTGAATGCTCCAATATTACAGAATATAAGCTTTGGCTGAGTTTATGGCCAATGCGATGGCAAGTGTGGAGAGAAGTCATAACCTGGCACAGTAGAAGAAATGGGAAACATTTCATGCTTGGCAATGCTTGAGATGTCTCCTCCTAGTTCAGAAGGACTCATTCTGCAGTGGCAGAATAGATAACTAGATAAAAATTAAGCAAAACAGCAGTATACTAATCAACTTTTGTTACATGTTTTGGCAGGAAGCCTAATGTTATCTACAATCTCTATATAACCGTCTGTGACAGGTGGAGTGAAATTGATCCACTGCATATTAAGAGAACTTCTTGGGAAGGTACTTCATGGGGTTGTACTCTGATGAAGGAGGTCCACGTGGCTAAAAAAAGACAGACTTCCTTATGTGTGAAAGTATTTTTCTTATTTTGATTTATTCTTTTGTTTTATAGGCCTGCAAAGAAACACACAAGATGGGATACAAAATATTAAAAAATAAAAAACATACACAAATTCATGTAGCATATTTTATAGCAGCAGAAGTTGTAAAAAAGTGTCTTGCCTGTTATATATGGGAGTGAGCCATACCCCTTTCCCCATCAGTGGCTATCAGTAGGTGCTTGTCTAATATGAAGGGATCTCTTAGTGCTATTTGTCATTAGCTGTTTGTTTTCCCACAGAGGAGGTTGCTATTCCAAGTTGGAATTCCCACAGAGGAGGTTGCTATTCCCCAGTTGTTCCAGAAGGCAGCCCAACATCTGAAAAGAGCTCATGTGACCTTCCCGTGTGGGAGAGCATCATGCCTCCTTCCCAGTTCCAGTCCACTTTAGCTCCCAAATACAAGGCACTCATGTTGCTTCGTGGAAGGCAATTTGTTTCATCCAGTCCTGTTTCTTTCTTTCCTTCACCTTTGCTCTGGAGATGGCTCACGGGAAGGAATATGCTGCTTACCAGAAGACTAGGGAAGGAGCAAGCTGCAGAAATATCTTCCAGGTCCTGGGTCCTTAAAAGCTAGAGCTCTGAATACAGAACTGTTAAGAGTCCCTTAACAACTGTTCAGATTGCTCAAAGCTCTGCAGAGCAGAGAAGAATAACTGGTAAAGTGTCCAACTCTCCTGTCATAAAATTAGGGAATGTGGGACTCCCAGGCAACTGCGGCGAGTCTTGATAAAGGAGCTGGGTTCAAGCAGGGCTACAAAAGATCTACAGCACAAATAGGAAGACCACCTTAACTCCCACTTTCACCAGAAGCCACAGAGAAAGAGCCAGAAACTTCCATCTCCCTCTCATCTTCAGCCTACTCAAAGAAGTAGACATTAAGGGTCTACTATACTGAGTACACTTTCCATATTAACAGAAAGTACTATGATCAAGCCTTCAATTCTCAATATCCTCAGATCCTAGATACCCCGTTAGGTAATGTTGTAAGGCATAAAAAGACAAGGTAGTCTACCCCCACACATACAGAGGTACCACAAGAGCTCCCAGCCAAACAAAGACCAATGACTAAGAAAGATAGTCAGGAAAAAAGGCAGAAATGCCTTAGTTTTGCGGGACACTCATTGCAAAGCTCCTTTGGATAGGAAGGCAGGGAGCTGTTGGCCAAAGAGTGTGTGGGGCATCCCAAAAAAATTTGGATCTTGTCCACCAAGGATTTTCCTCTCCTCCTGCAGAAGATGGGTAAAATTCTGGAGATTAAAACTCAGGTTAAAGTAAGCCAACCCAATATATTTACAACCCTATCAGTACTTGCTTTCCAAGTCCAAAGCAAATGATGCAGTTATGACCTTTCCAAAAAGTTTACTTGAGATAGTATAGGAGAAATGGGCTGCCCCTGGCTCTGTTAAGACAGGCACCATGCATTCCAAATACTTTTACTTCTTCACAGATGATACTGTGAGGAAACCTAAGGTTCCACTGGTTGACATACCTGGGGTGACCCTTGTGTCAAATGCCATTTATCTTAAGAGTAGAGAAAGACACACAAGCATCCTGAAAATAGGAAACATTGGGTGCTGCTCCAAAGGTCTCATGAGGCCTCTGCATTGGCCATTTAGGTAGCTTTTGCTACTTATTTACCCAGGCTTCCATCATATGGGCCAATATTTGATAAGGTTAAAACGTATAAAGGTGTCAACTAATGAGCCCAGCCATGAAATATGCCACTTTAGATACTGTCCAGTTTTTTTCCAGAACAATAGCTTTAGGTGTAATAGTCAACAATGGCTTGTGGTTAACCAACTGGAACGTAGATTCGCAGTGCAAAGTAAATGTAGCCACTGTAGCCTTCAAAGCATGAAGAGTCTTTAGATGAGGTTCTGGTGGAAGCTATAGAGTAAATGGAAGTTCTTCATAAAAACAACACAGGAGAAAAGCTTCAAGAATTTGCTCATTTTTGGACTTCAGTCCTATGCACAATTTCACAGAGCTATAACAAAGACATCAAATATCTATCCCATGACTACTTTATTTTGTCTCCCAGGTCTTACCTGGAAGAGGAAACAAGGTGGCAGTCAAGGGTATTGATGACCTCCTCCTCCAAAAAAAGAATGATGCACTGAGGAGTATTTTAGAGCTGAAAAGAATCCATTGGTGTGTGTTGTGAGACACATTTAATGTGGATACACTGAAAACCATCTGGAGATGTCTAATAAGGATTCCAGATTATAAGAAGAACACTCTAAGAAAATTCTTAATTTAAATTCACACATATCAAATTCACTTAAGTTTACTTAAAACATGGCTACCAGAATTAAACAATTCACTATTGCTCCCATAAGCATATGCATTCAGAAATAAGCACCATATTGTTACTGAAAAACAATGCACCTATTCTTAAGTAAAAACAATTAAATGAGCATCTCGAACCACAGGTAAGTCAGCCACCCAGCTTGCTGACTATCAAATATTTTTTATAAAGTATTCATGCTGTCCTAGTACTGCCTGTTTTCAGCAGCATTATTCCCCAACCCCTCACTGGTGACCCCAACAGCCAGCCTAGCTGCACTCCTGCTCCTCAGCATTTCCCATCCCTATAAGTACAGGAATCCAAATGCTTCATGAATGGATCCCTTACTAATGCAAAGCACAGACTTTACTATATCTGAAATTATGGGACTATGTGGGAATATTGAACTTCTACACACAAACTATAAGGCTGGAAACACACGTTCAGCAGAACAACCTAGGAATGGGGGACTAGAGTTCTGAAGTTGCAAAGGGACTGTACCACTTCAGCCCATACATGAGGTAATCATATCTTTAAATGCCCCACCCCCAGAACTGGAAATAGAAAAGTAGGTCAGCAGGGAGAATCTTGGGCTAGAACCATTCTCCCTGAAATGTTATTTTTCTTCTTTAGTGATTTTAAAATGTGTATGTTCAGTACTGGCATCCTCCACCTGGCATCTAAATGGAACACTCCCCCAGTGCCTCAAGACTCTGCCATCTTGCTCTACTGTGTGTGTAGAACAGAGTTGTTATCAGGGGAATAGTGGCTCTCAAAAGCACAAGGAGTGTTGTAGGAGGTGACAGATTTAGGTCCCTTCTCTCAATTCTCTTTCCATGTGGCTTTAACTTTTGGTTGTCTCCTAGCTTGTCACAGTCAGCTCTGGCACTAATACCTTTCTACCCTCCTGTCCCAGATTGTGCAATGTGTTCAGGGCTGTCTAGGGCCTGCACTGTTTTCAGCACTCTTAAGGCAGAGAGGATCCATCTCAGCAAACTCCTCCAGGTCCTGCGCACCCTGGGAATCCTGGTGACCAGCGATGAGATGCATCAGGCTCTCCAGTTTGTTAATGTGGATGGTACGTGGTAAGGTTCTTTGGCAGCTTTACTTTCTTGTGTGTGATCTGGGGGAAGCTTGATGTGCCTAGAAGTCTTGTTGAAATTGGAGGAATATATGGGAAAAACCCAATGCATTCATTTCAGTGTGTTGGACCCTGTTGATGTGCAGTTGAGAGCAGCTGAGCAGGGCAAATGGCAACCTATATTCAACAGGTACTGAGTGTGTGGGGCAGGGAAGAATCACCTGACCTACTGTGGCCAGGTAAGCTTCTATGGCAGGTGTGTTTGGTCTCCTTTGTGCATTGTATAGTACACAGGGTGACTTCCTGCCTGGAGTTTCTCAAGTCATGTGTCCAAGACCTCCTATGTCCTCCTGTTCTGATACATTGTGATTTTTATCAAATTAGCTTTCAGTGGGTTGCACTTGTTTCTGAAACTTATGAAAAATGTGCACTTTTGAGTATATGATATAGCTTACATGTGTCTTTAGTACCCCCGTCTCTTAATGAGAAATTCTATTGGCTGACTCTCTCCTGCTCATGCACACTATTTTCCCTACACAGAGGAGAGAGCACACTGGGCAAGCCACCATTTATGTCTTTCCACATGAGTTGGCCAAGTAAAGTGCCTTTTTAAAATCTCTTTTGCTTTTAAAGATGGTTGGCTCTTAGTGTCTTCCATAATGCCCATGCTAGCAGTGAAAAGGCAGAACCCCACTCTGAATTGGCAGTAAGCCAAGATGCTCATATGTGGCTTTTTGCCAGGCCGAGAGGGGCCATTGAGGCCAAGAAGAAGCCCCCCTCCTCAGTGCAGGTGGTCCAGTTGGCAGCATTTGTGTGCTCAGATACTCTGAATCCTCGCATTCCATTTGCAAAGCCCCCCAAAACATGCAACAGATACACAGATTTTAGGAAAAGGCTTACAAATTCGAACCTGCAAAATGTCAAACTTCATCTAATTTTCAAAAGAAATAGGACATCTTAACAGATTTTAATCAAATGTATTGCCTTATGATATCCAAATTTACTTCCACTTACTGTGATATTGTACTATTAGTATATTCTGTTCTAATATGGTATAGTTAATTTATTAAAGAATTTCAAAATCCAAAGCTGCACATTTTGAAAATATCTTTGTGCTGTTTTGATTTTCTAAATTCAAACTCTGAAGACTATATAACATGTCAACAGAAATGCCTCACACACGGAAAACTGCAAAGTATTCCCTTGTTGTTGTTGTTGTTAGTCGCAAAGTCGTGTCCGACCCATCACAACCCCATGGACAACATTACTCCAGGCTTTCCTGTCCTCCACCATCCCCCGAAGTCCACTCAAACTCACACCAACTGCTTCAGTGACTCCATCTAGCCACCTCATCCCCTGCCGTCCCCTTCTTCTTTTGCCATCTATTGTTCCCAGCATACGACTCTTCTCCAGGGAGTCCTTCCTTCTCATTAGGTGGCCAAAGTATTTGAGTTTCATCTTCAGGATCTGGCCTTCTAAAGAGCAGTCAGGGTTGATCTCCTCTAGGACTGACCGGTTTGATCGCCTTGTGGTCCAAGGGACTCGCAGGAGTCTCCGCCAGCACCACAATTCAAAGGCCTCAATTCTTTGGTGCTCAGCCTTCCTTATGCTCCAACTTTCACAGCCATACATTGCAACTGGGAAAAACATAGCCTTGACTATACACACTTTGGTTGGCAGGGTGATGTCTCTGCTTTTAGTATGCTTTCTAGATTTGCCATAGCTTTCCTCCCTAGGAGCAAGTGTCTTTTAATTTCTTGGCTGCAGTCCCCATCTGCGGTGATCTTGGAGCCCAGGAAAATAAAATCTGTCACTACCTCCATTTCTTCCCCATCTATTTTCCAGGAAGTGAGAGGACCGAATGCCATGATCTTAGTTTTCTTAATGTTGAGTTTCAAGCCTCCTTTTGCACTCTCCTCCTTCACTCGCATCAAGAGGCTCCTTAGTTCCTCTTCACTTTCTGCCATGAGAGTGGTATCATCTGCATATCTGAGGTTGTTGATATTTCTCCCAGCAAACTTAATTCCAACTGGTAATTCATCTAGCCCCGCCTTTCTCATGATGTGCTCTGCATATAAGTTAAATAGGCAGGGCGACAGTATACAGCCTTGTTGAACTCCTTTCTCAATTTTCAACCAATCAGTGGTTCCGTGCCCAGTTCTCACTGTTGCTTCTTGACCCGCATATAGGTTTCTCAAGAGACAAATAAGATGGTCTGGTACTCCCATCTCTTTAAGAGCTTGCCACAATTTGTTGTGATCCACACAATCAAAGGCTTTAGCATAGTCAATGAAGCAGAAGTAGATGTTTTTCTGGAACTCCCTAGCCTTCTCCATGATCCAGCGTATGTTGGCAATTTGATCTCTAGTTCCTCTCCCTCTTCAAAATCCTGCCTGTACTTCTGGTAGTTCTCAGTCCACATACTGCTGGAGCCTAGCTTGTAGGGTTTCGAGCATAACTTTGCTAGCATGTGAAATGAGTGCAATGGTGCGGTAGTTTGAACATTCTTTGGCATTGCCCTTCTTTGGGATGGGAATGTAAACTGACCTTTTCCAATCCTGTGGCCACTGCTTAGTTTCCAAATTTGCTGGCATATTGAGTGTAGCACTTTTACCCCATTGTCTTTTAAGATTTTGAATAGCTCAGCTGGAAGACTGTCACCTCCACTATCTTTGTGGTTGCTCAGACTTCCTAAGGCCCAGTTGACTTCACATTCCAGGATGTCCGGCTCGAGGTCAGTGACCACCCCATCATGGTTATCAGGGATGTTAAGCTCTTTCTTTTATAGTTCCTCTGTGTAATCTTGCCATCTCTTCTTAATCTCTTCTGCCTCTGCTAGGTCCCTGCCATTTTGGTCCTTTATCATGCCCATCTTTGCATGAAACATTCCCTTCATATCTCCAATTTTCCTGAAGAGATCTCTGGTACTCCCTATTCTATTGTTTTCTTCTATTTCTTTGCACTGTTCATTTAAGAAGGCATCTCTTCTAGCTATTCTCTGGAATTCTGCATTCAACTGGGGTATTTTTCCTTTTCTCCCTTGCCTTTCGCTTCCCTTCTTTCCTCAGCTATTTATAAAGCTTCCTCAGACAGCCATTTTGCTTTCTTGCATTTCTTTTTTTGGTGGGGATGGTTTTAGTTGCTACCTGTTGTACAAAGTTGCAAACCTCTGTCCATAGTTCTTCAGGCACTCTATCAGATCTAATTCCTTAAATCTATTTGTCACCTCTACTGTACATTCATCAGGGATATGATTTAGGTCATACCTGAGTGGCCTAGTGCTTTTCCCTACTTTCTTCAATTTAAGCCTAAATTTTGCAACAAGAAGCTCATGATCTGAGCCACAGTCAGTTCTTGGTCTAGTTTTTACTGACTGTGTGGAGCTTCTCCATCTTTGGCTGCAGAGCACATATTCAATCCGATTTCTGTGTTGCCCGTCTGGTGATGTCCATGTGTAGAGTCATCTCTTGGGTTGTTGGAAAAAGTGTTTGCTATGACCATCGTATTCTCTTGACAAAATTCTACCAGCCTGTGCCCTGCTTCATTTTGTACTCCAAGGCCAAACTTGCCTGTTATTCCAGTTATCTTTTGGCTTCCTACTTTAGCATTCTAATCCCCCATGATAATAAGGACATCATTTTTTGGTGTTAATTCTAGAAGGTGTTGTAGGCCTTCATAGAACTGGTCAACTTCAGCCTCTTCAGCACCAGTGGTTGGGGCATAGACTTGGACTACTATGATGTTGAATGGTTTGCCTTGGATTCGAACTGAGATCATTCTGTCATTTTGCAGATTGTATCCCAGTACTGCTTTTCCTACTCTTTTATTGACTATGAAGGCTACTCCATTTCTTCTGAGGGATTCTTGCCTGCAGTAGTATACCTGATGGTCATCTGATTTAAATTCACCCATTCCTGTCCATTTTAGTTCACTGATTCCTAAGATGTCAATGGTCAGTCTTGTCATCTCTTGTTTGACCACATCCAGCTTTCTTTGATTCATGGATCTTACATTCCAGGTTCCTATGAGTATAGATCTTTACAGCATCAGACTCTCCTTTCACCACCAGATACATCTGCAACTGAGTGTCCTTTTGGCTTTGACCCAATCGCTTCATTCTTTCTGGCGCTATTAGTACTAGCCCTCTGTCTTCCCCAGTAGCATATTGGACACCTTCCGACCTGAGGGGCTGATCTTCTATTGTCATATCTTTTTGCCTTTTGGTACTGTCCATGGAGTTTTCATGGCAAAGATACTGGAGTGGGTTGCCATTTCCTTCTCCAGTGGATCACGTTTTGTCAGAGCTCTCTGCTCTGACCTGTCCGTCTTGGGTCCTGCATGGCATAGCTCATAGCTTCATTGAGCTACACAAGCCACTTCGCCACGACAAGGCAGTGATCCATGAAGGAGAAGTGTTCTCTACTCCTCCAAATAAGGAAATTTAGAAAATTCAAATTCTTTTTTCCAAAATTCAGATTTTAGAATGTAGCTTTTACATAGAAATCTGAAATTAAATGGTCTGAACGGGAATCCTTTGAGACAGGTAGGTGTACAAAATTGGGTTCAGCTGCAATATGTGAACACATATTTCATGCCAACTTACTCTGTGTCTCACTTTCTTACAGGATCTGGTACTCTGAATTTCTATGAATTCTTGAAAGTCCTGGATAAAACGTCACCCTTCGCTGAGACAGAGGGTATGAGGAGGGAAACATGGTTTTGGGGAGGAGAGATAGCTGCATTCTTAATGTTGGGCTGCATCCTCCTTTTTCTCAAAGACTCATATGATTGGAAGGAGCTATTTAGGAAAACAACTATACCACTTTCCTTGCAGACCACCACGCTAAACTGTAGCCATCCATCTTCTCTTCCTTGCACATCCTCCCTCTTTGCTACCAGTACAGCAACCCTTTCTCTTTCCCGTAGCAGGTTAGTTGGCTAGCCCTTCTGAGGACACACTGTCCTCTTAACTTACAGGGAATCCTTGACTTCCTCCACCAAACTCCGCTGTGAAAGTGACCCTGTTAGTACTTGGTTTGTTTCTTCCCTGGGAATGGTTGGCTTGTGTATTTTCTGGACCTCAATGGGATGCAGTCCTCCTATCACACATGATGAGCAGTCAAGCAGCTGTTTCAGGACCCAATCTGAGTGCACAGCTTCTTAGGTTCACTCTTTTGTTGTGCCTGCAGTTGTGGAATTCCTCATCTTCCGCTTGTCGAGCGTCTTACAGAACTCCTTGTCTTTTCCACCTGCTAACCTCCACTGCCAAACTGCACTTAGCTTTCCCTGCTTTTTCTCTGTGTGTGTCTGTCCACACCTACTCATCAGCTGTTTCTCATTTTCATTTCTCTTTACCTTAACCAAAAGATTTCATTTCAGGTTGTTTTTGTTTTCCCAAATATATACTAATTTAATATAGGTATCTGGAATTTATTTATTTATTTATTGCAATTGTATTTCCAGCTCAGCAAACACAACTTGCGTTCTGCAAGCAGAAATATCTGCCCAGGGAATCCCACATTCCCTCAGTGCAAGTGAAGAGGAAACTCTGATGCACCCCACACTTCTGTCCTGTATATGAGCTTGAGTTGCCATCTGCTGGAGCACTGGCCACAGTTAAGATGTGATTTGATGTTGGACATAACTGGACTAATAATAAGGGTGCCCTTCACTATCTCTGTGTGAGAATGCAGCATTCTTGTGTTCTGGGAAGTACTTTGACATCCCTGAGTGGGTCAAGGCCACAAGCATAGATGTCAACAGCAGGCAACACAGCATCCTGGGCACCCTTGGTGCCTACCAGCCAAGACACTCAAGTACTCCAGCACTGGGTATTCTCCAAGCCCCACACTGCCTAACTCACCTCTGTACTGCTGAAGCCCTAAATGGATGCTGTAAATTATCAATCTGGTCCCTGTCTGATGTCTTCCTCTTTAACTATTCTGTGGTGCAAAAGTGAGGTTAGCAGGTGGGGATTGTGACTAGGGGCTGGGAAAGGTGTGTGTGTGGGGGGAAGAGTGAAGAAGGTGTATGCACATACACAAAAGCAGGGACTGCAGCAGGCAGAGATTGAAAATAGAGATTCCAGGAAGGGTGGAGGCAAACATTAAGAGATTCCTGGCAAGCAGAGAAAGAATCCAGGCAAGGGAGCAAAAATTAGAATCCCTGCTCCAAGTATAAATCTTTCTGCAGGACCAGGAAAAAAATTACAGCTTTTTCCTCAGGACCAGAAAGGGTTCCTATCCCAGCTGCGTGTGTGTTTGATGCTCCATTTATCCACACATAAGAGAAATTAATCTGAAAACATGGCTGCTGCTGCAGCTAATATGACTTCCACCCTCTCTCTCTTCCTGCTAGCCCCTTCCCTCTAATTGTCTCCAGTCCTTTTCTCTTTTTGCCACCCCGCCCTCTGGGCTCTCCATTCCCCCATGCAAGGTGCTGGCGGCAGCTCTGCAAGGCCTTTCTGGCACTCCCACTCTGGGTCACATGGTGTCAGCCGGCCTGCCCTCCCCCACAGTTCCCCCTCCCCATTCTAAGGCTGCTGCAGCAGCAGCTCTGTGAGGCCTCTTTGGCTTCTCTCCAGTTCAGCTGGTGTTATTCCAGCTGGCCACCTGACCAGCTCGCCTCCCTCCGGCTTCTACACTCTTCTGATGGAAGTTCTGTGGGCCTTTGGGGCACTCCCCGCTGTGCTCCAGCTCACACCAGTAAATGTTCCTCAGTAGAAGCTGAATGCCTTGGCCCTGGCATGCTTGCACCCTCCACACTTCAGTATCACTGCTGCCATCTCTCCTCTTTTTCTCAGTTGTCCCACAACAACCAAATGTATGGAATCATTACTCTTCTGCCAGAGTGGTTTGATGAGTTAGTTGGCAGATGGAATTTGGCCAAGGGGCTCTTTGTACCCCTCTTTTTTTAAAGGTTTGGCAAACGAACATGGTTAGAGATTATTTTCTTTTCCTGCCTAATTCTTGCCCACTGGAACATGGTTGTTTTCATCCTCCCTCTCTTCTTTCCTTCCTGTAGCTTTCCAAAATACCCTTCGGGTTTTCAAAAAGATAAAGAATGGCACAGTGACTGTTGATGAATTGAAACCTGTCCTAACAGACCTGGGAGTTAATCTGAGCTCTGAAAATATACAGCAGACACTGGGATGCGTGCACATTAACAGTGAGTATCTCCACGCATGACATGAAATTGGGTTGCATGGCCCATTAGGAAGTATATCAGCATTGACACTGGGCTGGAAAACTGACCCAAACAAGACTTGGGGAAGTTTGTGAATTTTGTGAATTTTCTTTATAAAGCCCACATGAAGAGAAAAATAGTACACAGCTTTACTTAACACAGTTTTACAGACATTTCTCCTAATATAATGTACTGTTCAGTATTTTAAATATTTCCTAAGTATATATTTTTCTACACATTGCTTGATTAAAGAAGTGCTTTGTGGGATTTGTAGAAGTGTGCATTTCAAAGCATAACTGAATCCTGGTTTGCATATCAGTTCAGGAGAGTGAACTCAGATAAGTCTGCATTTAGATCTGAACCAAATGGGATGCATGCACATTGAGTTCAGTGGGACTTATTCCCAGTCAAGTGTGTCTCGAACTGAACATACAACTACACTGTAAATGTTCCTGCTTGAGCTACTCCGATTCCAGTTTTGAGTGTAAAGGCCAGAACTAAAACTTTGAATTATGAATGGAAGCCAACTGGGGGCTACTGAAGTTGCTTAGATGCATGACCATTACTTTTTTCTGTGGCAGAGAATGGAAAAGTGGACCTTTTAGAATTCCTACTGGCTTCAAGGAAACTGCAGAGTAGCCTTGAGGAAGAAGGTGAGTTGCTTGATGATTCCTAACCAGGCAAGAACTGGCTATTGCAATGGCTTATTTAATTTATTTATTAAATTTCTACCCCGCCCATTAGCTAAATGACTCTCTGGGCAATCTATGCTGCCTCAGTTTTGCAGTTACATTAGAATCTATGAATGAAGGCCACCTGCTGGCAACGGTAGGCACAAATAGGATATCCAGCCCCTCTTCCATAGATTCTGAATCTGATACATATTTTCATTATTTGATTTATATGGAAACTCTTTCCTAGGTCTGTACATACCTACTTTCCACTTACTTTCCATTAACTGTTGTACTGAGTAGCATTTTTAAAAACATCAAAGTAGGTGTTATAAAAACTTCAATAATAACGTTCCCCATTCCGTTGCAAAAATAAACACCCACTTTTCTTCATATGTGAAAATGGAGGCTTTCATCATATGATCTGTTAATTTAAGTAAGTTCACAGAAGGAAAGTTTCCCATCCCCCGCTCTGAAAAAAACCTCTTTTGAGGGCTTGGAAGCCTTCCTGGACAATGAGATTTAGAGTGTGGGGACCTATTGCCAGAGGGAAGAAACTGCCCAAAATTGGATGAGGTGAGTCCTTCTTTTGTACTGCTGCCCTCTACCAGACAGTTAAGAAGTCCCCCCCCTTATTTTATTTTTACAGAAAAAATCATAATTACAATGCATCACAACAATAATAATATAACAAAAACACAATAATAAAAAGGTAAATAATAAAGTGCCCCCACCACCCCGGAGACCAATACTACCACCATGCACATACTATAACAATTAATAATAGATAATATACTTCAATTAATTCCATATCCCCTCCAAAAGTTCTTATAATCTTGACTGGGTTTACAGCCTTTGCCTTCTATCAGTACTGCTTTTACAAAATCTTCCCATATTTCATTATATTTATTTGCTTTCATTAACCCTCTTTTAATTTTTATTTCTGTCATAAGTTTATCATTAATTACCATGTTCCATATTTCATTATACCATTCATACCTTTGCAAAGCCCAATTCTGTTTCCAATATTTAACTATCACTAGCCTAACTGCCATTATCAAACTTACAATCAATTCTTTCTTAGCTTCATTTATATCTTGTTTTTCTATCAACAGTAATAACACCATTCTTGGTGACATTTCTAAGTCTATATTTAAAATTTCTCCAATTTCCTTAAATACCATAATCCAAATCTTTTGTATATTTTCACAATCCCACCACCCGGACAGTTAAGAAGCTGGCAGACTCCTCCACATTAATCATGTGGTGAATTGGGTGTCTATGCATCCACAAGAAGTGTGGCATCTGGGAAGCAGGAGCTGGCAGTCACCATGATCAGCAGACACAGAGGGCAAAAGAGGGACTGCTGAGAGAGGGACTGAGATATCCCACAGTTTCATTAAACAATACTGTTCTAGTTGGTCCCATAAAGGAGACATGGAGCTATCATGATGACAGATATTTGGGTAGGAACCATACTACGATTCCTGTCAAGGAGGGATGCTATTGAAGTTAGATGATGTTACCCATTATGCCAGGGGTAGGAAACCTTTTCCAGTCCAAGGGCCAAATTCCATCCTGGGAATCATGTTGTGGGGAGGCATTCCATCTGTGAGCAAGACTTGCTTATGAATTTAAATGATAATTAGCTGATTCTAATCCTATATGCAGTTGGATGCCATTTTTACTTTGAAAATTTTTGTTTGTTCATGCTTCCAACAAAGGCATTATGTTTCTTGCCATGCAGAGCAGACTTAAAGTCAAAGGGTTGCTGGGGATCAGACATATATTGCGCTGCAGCATTTTTTAAATGGATTTCCTTCTTGTTACTGAACTTCAGATAGAAAACCTGACCCAGGGTCCTTTGCTTCTTCTGACAGCATTCCAGGATGAGTATACCACTTCAGGAAGGAGGCCTTTTCAGGATGTAGTTGCGCTTGTCAATGCAGAATCTAGATGGAGAAGAAAGTACCAGAGCTATCTTGATGAGGAAATACCAAGCTCCACATCCCTGCTTGCCCTGCAGGCATGTCCAGGCTCACATGAAAAATCTTCTCTTGCCCAACCACAGAAAAGTGTATCCTGGAACTCTGACCAGGAAATCCTCAGCACTGTATCCCATGATGAAGAAGGGGGAGATAAGGGCCATGACTTCAAAGAAGCAAAAAAGTCCCACTCAGGCATCATTGACCAAAGAAACCCCAGTGTTGTACCTTCCTTACATACTGCAGAAGAGGAAGGTAAGGATCATAACATCATGGAAAAGGAAAAGTCCCAGTCAGATGGGAGCCCCTCGAGCCAGGACACTATCCAAGTCAATTAGCTAGTACAAGAAGCTGGACTGCTACTCCTCTCAGACTGGTGCTCTGTATTCCACCTTGGAATCTGTGTATCCCCCACTTCTGCAGCCTCCTTTTCAACCATGTTTTCAGGTGGAGCATCTTTCCAAAATGGGAAAAGTTAAGAAAGGGAGTCAATTCCTCTTGAACTCGAGGATCACAAATGGAGGAGGGGAATAGGACTGTTTCATGTAAATGTGGACTTGCTGGAAATGACTCATTGGCAGATGAGAATAAAATCCAACAGAACTGTGTGTTACCAATCCATGTTTTAATTCGTGGCCTAGTTATTAATTTGCAATTGTTGCTGCTTTAAAAACACATTCATAACCAACAGTAATATGCACAAATAGAACATGCACAAGGCCATCACAGAGGGCCCTTTTAAACAGTGGGGTGGGGAGTAGAGAGAGCAGGAAAAGAAATGAATATAAGAGAATATGTTGGCAGAAATAACACTTGGAAGGAACCTTTTCAAGATTCAATACCAATGATATTTACTGATGGTATCCTTATAAATTAAATCAGATGATGCTTCTGAAGTTGTAGGAAACCAGCATATTTTTCTGGGGATGTCATTGTCATGGACCAATACCTGCAACCTCATACTCAGAAGATTCTGCCCCCTTGTCCTCCGAGGAATCTCCAGAAATAAGAACTCAGGAAGAATATTTCATCACAGAGAGGCATCACGAGTCTTGTCTGTGGACCTAGTAACCCAAATGATTCCAGGAGTTGGCTCTCTTGTGCACAGAGGAGGCCACCTTACCATTTTTTAGCTCAAAGGATTCTGGTCATTGGGACACTTGTATGCCATAGTCATTCCCAAATCATCCTAGCTTGAAGTTGCTGAAACAGTCCAAGCAACCATTACATGTTGTGCTGTCAATAGACCCATGTGCAAACTCATGCATGCCCAGATGAGACCCACAAAGACGTTTATAAGGAATCTTTAGACATTGATTAATAGAGTTTATATGGCTAAGAAGGCCAAAGAGATCCACAGTCAAACAGTGTTGGAAAGGAAAATGCTAGAAGGGCACACACTGTGAGATTTTCAAAGATTCAAATACACAAGCTGATTTGGGGGGAAGTTAGATGAGCAGGTGGGTTTGGTAACCCTTACAGAAATTTGGGTTGCTCCGACCTTCAGCAGGATCTGATGAGGAAATTAGATATCTTCACAGTGAAGTTAAACTCCTGGACAAAAGGGAGACAGTTCCTGTTGCTAGGGTGTTGGGGTGATAGATCAAAGAAGGATGGGGTTGGGGTACTTAGTGTTCATTCATACCAGAGGGGAGGAGAGTATAGGACTGAAGAGGGAGATCTGGTGTGAGGCAGGAGGAGAGGAACCTAAAGAGAAGGGGGATCATTCTTGGATTATGCTGGCATTTATGAAGTGTCACTTTTGAGGCTGCAGGAATGTGTCTCTCCATGGCTTAAAGCCAATAGAGATTACACTAGAATTGGCATCTAGAACTCCCAGAGCAATATTCCTTTCCCTGGGTGAAGCCTTATCTTGCAGCAAGGAACAACTGAGTGTTGCAACTTCTAGTTTCTAGTACTGGAAAGAAAAAGATTTCCCTTTAAATTAGGTTGAGGTCAAAGCAAGAGATTTTCTACTAGCTAGCAAAGCAGACTAAGCTGGCTGGAATGGAGCCAGCCAGAACTGCAGCTTCTGCTGTCTGGCCTGGGCTCATGAATGGGGCTTGTCTGAAAGTGGAGGGATGCTGACCTTGCAGACCTCTACTGGAGAGCAGCCCCATCATTGTAATATGTAATAAAAAGACAAAAGTAGTAATTCAGTTATTTGAAAACAAGGGCAATCTAGTATCAAAACCCCTTCAGTTTAAGAAAACAGTTATGGTACTTAACTGAGAAAATGTACTGAGCAATCCTATACTCCAGTTAGACTGCAGAGCAAGGTGGGTGGAGAAAGAGACATTTATCACTATATTCTATATTCACCAAACCCAGGAGAAGATGGAAAACATGGCTTGGAACTTTACAAAACAGTGGGAAAATGGCAAACACACATACAATGCCTCTGTAATTGCCACTGAGCCCATGAATAGAGGCAGTACCAGTGATAACCCCCACATGCCACACAGAGATTGAGGGGACCAGTATTCACAGACCACTCTGTCACATCATGCTTCCAACATGGAAGACAATTAGTCAACAGCTATGGGCACAGTCAAGGAAGACTCTGAAGCCAAGGAATGTCACATTCCAGGAAGCTGCGGGACAACGAAGGTGATCTGGAGAGAAGGGAGCAAGGACTTCATGACTCTCAAAGTCTCCCCCTCCCCCCCCCACTCTCTCTCTCTCACATACACACACTGGACTATAAGCACAACTTCATGGTTGAGGACGAGGGAGTGAATAGCCAGGTTGGGGAAGCCAAATGCACACACACCTTGTGATTCAAAACCAGAGGAAGATGAGTCAGCCTGCTCTTGTCCCACCAGATGAGAGACTAGACTGTGTTCCTGATGCTGAGTGTGAGACCATGGTCAGGAGGCTTTGAGCCCTGAGCTGAGACCATCATAAGTGCCTCACTGCAAACCTGATTCATCTAAGCTGAGTTGTCACCTACCTCCGACATCATTATGTCTGCCCAGTGATGCAGGGAGCACATCACGTGGGAGGCCAAAGAAAAGAGGAGCGGCACTTGCTATCAGGAATTTTTATTCTTCTGCAGGAGAGTGCAGAGTGGGGGATTGCAAAGGAGATTTCAAAAGAAGTTGGTCAACATCCAACTTCTGTTACGATAAGTTCCTTGCTTAGAGCTTTCTGTGGTACTGAAAGCACCCCCCCCCCCCCGTTGCTGCTGCCACTGGGTCAGCAGAACATCAGAACTGACTGACATGTGAAAGAGCAGGCTTGGCACTCTCTAGAAGTTGTGAACTACAAATCCTAGCATTCCTGACCATTGACCATGCTGGCTGGGGCTCATGGCAACTGAAGTCCAAAGCATTCAGAAGGTGCCATGTTGGAGAAGATTGTGATCTAGTTTAACGTTGTAAGCTGTCCTGAGATGTTGTTGCAAAGGACAGCATATGAATGTTTTAAACAGCAGTAAATCTTATAGTATGGCAGATATTTTAGGGCACAGTTCACTGTTCTTTTTGGTTCAATGAATCAATGGATATCATCCCCAAAATGATGATAAGTAACTCACAAATGAAGATGTATTTTATACTACTTGGGTCAGTTCCTACTCTATGACATCATTAGATTGGAACCTCTTCATGCAACAGTTGAAATCAAGGTAGTGGGGAAGAACTCAGTGTGGAGGAGGGCTGTATATCCACCTCCAGAGAGCCAATTCCACCAATCTCTCTTGGCCCCTCCTATCCCCCTGTTTATCATCAAACTTAAGACCTCATTCATGGTGCAACAAGAAGATCAGCCACCCCAGTACTCTCCCCTACAACAACCTCATCTTTCCATTCTGAGTCCTCCAGCAGCCTTACTCTTGGACAGTGAGCTATAACAAAGATTAGCAACAAAAACATTTTGTTGTAAGTATTTTTATTTGCATCTATTAGGTGGTGGTGGCCATTCTGGGTGAAAAGCTGCTATCAAAAGTAGAAAATGGCTTCTGTTTCATCTCAGATTGAGACAAGGAGGAATCCATCATGTTTCCATTGTGCCTTTTCCTTTTCTTTTCCCTTTCAGGATTTATCAGACATCACTACGGATGTGGAAGCAGCAGAACTTTCTGTTCCAGAAGGATGGAGTCCCCACTCGAAGATGCCAGCAGGTAACTGGTTTTCAAATGCCTTGAGCAAATTCTTTTCCTGTTGCCAAAAATATAATAATGCTGGCATGAGGCAGACCTCAGTGGGCAAAGTGTCCCACAGAGAAGGCCCTCTCCCTTGTTGCCATCCTTCAAACTCCCCGTGGAGGAGACCCTTAGAGGAGGACTTCGGAGGAACATAGTGGACAGACCGGTTCATTCCAGGAGAGGTGTTCAAATACAGTGAACTGATACTGGCAGTTGTGTTTTCATCATGATTAAAACTGATAACAATATTTTAAGGCCTGCATAATAAATTGTGACATTTTTAGACTTTATCTGGTCAATTTTCATATTCTTTTTAATTTGATTGGGCATTCCCATCCTCACCCCCACTCATCTGCAGTTGTTTTTTCACTGCAACAGTTTGTATTCACCAAACCTGCACTTCATAGGCCTTTCAGCAAGAGACAGCACCTTAAGTGCACTTGACACCTTCTTATAACAGGCCTCAAGCCTCCATCTTGGCTCAAACTGAGCTCAAAGTCTTTAATTTCCTTGTGACCCATATACAAACAGAGGAGCTTCTCATGAATGAAAGATACTGGCTTGAGCTGTGATGAAACGTGATATGAACTTGAAATGTGTTGTGTGCATGTGACTTTTATGTTCCCAAACTGTCCAAGTTCCATCAAAAATTATTTTGAGGGTGCACACATGCACAAAGAAAAAAATGTTCTTAATATACTCTCAAGGCAGTGTCTTCAAATATTGAGGCATGCTTTTCTAGTGGATTCAGGGAAGCCTTATGTTCTGTGTTATAAGTCAGAATTTCTATGCAGAGCATGCTTCCTCTGAGCATAGTTTATTTTGCTGTGGTGCAGACACATAGCAGAGATGAGTTGCCCCCTGATTCAGAGGCGGGCTGAAGCTACATGCCCCCTCCAACAGGTTCTGATTGGTAGGAAATATGTCCATGCAGGGAGGCTACAGGCAGCATCTGCTGCCCCTCTGTATCCAATGATAGCCCTGGCAGGGAAGGACAAGAACTACCCACCTGCAGTGAAGTCTGTCAGACAGAGAGGCACAGGAATGAGATGCAGCAAATTGACATGGCACACACCAATTTATTTATCCATGTTTGTGACTGGGCTCATGTTTTCTCCTTTCATAGCAGATCTCAAGACCCACATGAGAAGGCAGCAGAGGAGAGCAACTTCCAAGACCCAAATGAACAGGGTGAAGATGATGACAAATCCCAAGACTCAAATGCACAGAGTGAAGATGATGACACATCCGAAGACTCCAATGAGCGGAGTGAGGACAGGATCAGTATATTTCTGGAGACGCCAGACCAGCCATCCCAGGAAAGGGAGGTGACACACATTTCTAGTTCACAGGAAAAGAGCGCAACAGACTGGAAGAACGATCTATCCAGCTTTCTTACTGATGAGTCAGACCCATCCACTCGCTTCTCTGCACTCCATTTGGACAAGTAAGGGAGCAACATATACAACAGAAGATAGAGTTTGGCAGCTCCTTTCCCCTCTTAGAGCTAACAGCAGAGCTTTTCATCTTGGGGTATTTTTCCAATGACCATCAGTTATATAGTCCTTCAAGTTTTCCTTGCCTTTTTGTAATCCCAAATTGTTTTGATGTGACCCTAGCATGATATATGTAATGCTGCCAGCCATTACTGTTGTTTCTATGAAAAGGTTTGTTTTTCCCTCTCTTGCAGCAAATCCCAAGAGGCAGCCTGGGTAGAATCAGACCTGGAGATCCCAGAGACGGAGACGAAGTATGAGGAGCAGCTTCCCTGCACCTTGTGGAAACAGACCAGGACTGAATGGAAGGAGGAAATGCCCCGCTGCTGTGTTGCAGAGCGCAAGCAATCCTTTCACAACTGTTGCTGCTATAGTGCCACTGAGTAAGCAGAGGCAGGGTGTTGTGCCTGGCAGCACTGAGTCTGGATGGCTAAAAATGGCTGTCTAGAGAACATACTCAGTGTGAGGCATGGTGGTGGTGGCAGAGGTCACTGCATCTGCCATGGAGGTGATAAGACTGCACTCTCTGTCTCTCACCAATGCATGGGCAAAGTCTTGCCACTTTTCCCTTTTCTTTTATTGTGCCCTCATTTCTTTCCTTGGGGAACTGAAGTGACTTTCTGCTAAATGGGGTTGTCGCTCCTGGCAAGAGGAGACCTGTGAAGCCCTGTGAGGCAAGTTTACATGCTGGTCAATGTCCCCAGCTCTGTCAGCTCTGGGGCTTGCCTCAAAGGAAGTGAAGTCCCCAGTGTGTCACCCTTTCTGCTTTTCCCATTGCCCACAGGCAGATAATCAAGCACAGCCCAGTACGCCCTGCAAAGGGACCATGTCGCAGAGGCATCATTTGGAAACATCAGGCACCAAAGTTCAAAAGAAGTGAGGTGAGATGAGCGCCTTTGAAAGGCATTCAGGTTTGGAATTTGATCCTCCAAGGCAGTGGTTTTCAAAGCAATGGGCTGCTCAAGGAGGAGTTCAGTAAAGGCAGGCAGACATCACTGAAAGACAGTTGCCCAGTTTCGCTACTGCTTTTCTGCTGAAAAGGGCAGCCCTGGGGAGAGTGAGGTGCTCCAGGGCACACTCTTGGCTGAAGCTGAAGAGCAACGGCCAACATACCTGACTGCCTTGTTTGAACGGCATGTGTGCCCATTGATAAGCTCACAAATGCTCTGGCAATGCAGAGGCATTCCTTGCTAGACAATTCAATATGGAAAGTGCTTCTGATAGAATGGTAACTTCAGCATGCCCCAGTTTGCTGTGGCACAGAGGCTGGGTAGTCCCAGGACTGTACTAGGTGCAGCTTTCAAACCCCACACAGTACATGTTACATCATCAAACTAACAATACACAATGGCTAGGATCCCTATGCAGGAATGGGCACAGTTGGCACCATAACCAAGGTTGGCAATGGGTGCTCCCAGCCACAGAGGTCACCCAATTTGCTAGTGTCAAAAATCCAGACCATAACTGTGTCTCATTCAGAAGATATGGCCTCTTCTGGTTTAGATATCACAGACAAATAGGGCTGGGTGTCATCAGCCAGTTGCTGACAGCCCACCCAGATCTGCAGTGACCACTCCCAACAGCTAAATATAGGTGCGAAATAACTCTGTGGACAAAATAGTGTGTACATATAGCACCTCCTTCTCCACTCTCCACTGGTGACTGTTGTGTGTGCACATTCTGGCAAGTTTCCCTGGCACACACAAGAAGCTGACCATTTTGGCTGGGCTGATGGCTCAGATTCTGAGAAGGGGATGTATGAAGGGGAGTTGACCTATCCTGGCAGGGCTGACAGCTCATGCTCTGATAACGAGATGGTTGTTGAAACAAACTCATTCTAGCTGCAGTCCAAGGCCCTGGGTACCTGTCTGTGCCTGCTAGGGAAGAGATTAGTTCAAGGGCAGCTGAGGGGTCCAGTCAACTCACATGTGGAATGAGCAACAACATCCTGAGGCAGGGGATTAGATGGGGAGTCTATTGGATGGAGAATTCCAGCCCCCTGAGGAGGTTAACCCCATAGTCCATTGTCAAGTCAGAGGGTGGCCTAATTGGGGTCCCAGAGGAAGAAACACAGGCGTGCTCCCTCCAGAGGCAGGAGGAGAGGGTTTCATAAGCAAGGCTTTGGGTGAAGGGGGCCAGAGAGGGTTCAACATTTTGCTTTGTGTATGTTCAGAGATTATATGTAAAAATAAAGATGTTTGGCAAGAAGCACTGGCGAGACTGTTACTGCTGGGAGAAAGCAATCAGCTCACGAAAGTGAGGCAGATGTGCCAGCATATTGCTAAAATCACACTGGCCCCAACTCTGCACCCCTGCTGATGTCACCTGGATGAAATGTGGGCTAGAGCTTTGCCACCTGTCTGCAGGACTACAGAGTGGCACCTGTGGAGGGAGGAAGCTGCTGCTTTCCATCCCTTCCTGCTCTGCTTCCAGACTGTACACTTGAACAGATCTCCTGTCACTCCATCTCAGATCTCTGAAAGGATGCTGAAACAGAGGCTTCTTGCGGGCATAAAGAGGAAGAGTGACCACAAAGAATTTGCCAAGAATCAAGCAGATGAGACAACTTCATTTGGCTCAGCCAAGGGCAGGTTTGAACACCTGATGCAATATGACAGATGGCTGTAGGAGACAGACCACTTTTACCTGAACCAGTGGAAAGCTTTGCCTGTTTCAGAATTTGCTCCTGGAAACTCTGAGAAGGGTTCCTGGTCTGAGCTGCAGAGATGCTTGAACTTAGGGCAGATCTGCATAGTGCAGTTTTCACAGGAATGCACACCAGCACTGCTAATCCCAGAAAGCCAGTTATCATGGACATTTCCTGCATCAGTAGCAGAAAGATGTGACAGCATTGTATGTTCAGTAGCTTATTCCAGAAGGAGTAGCCAAAAGATGAAGGAATGGTAATCAGGGACTGGAGGTGTTTTTTTTAACACCTGGATAATGCAGTCATGGAAGGAACACTTTTTGAACAGAAAAGCTGAAGGCTGGAGAGGGGACTACCTAAACCCTCTCTATGTGCTGTTTTCCCCTCAGCACCACATCCCCCAGATAAGGGGACCAGATGTGCATTTACTGCATCACGAATAAAAGAGGCAAAAGGATTTTAGAGGGAAGGCAGCATGTAGGAGGAAATGTGATCACCTCTGTGACAATCTCTGTCTCCATGGCAAATGTCCTGCCATCTCTTCACAGCCCTTAGTGGCTATGTGGGTTCCCAAACCCAGGTATGCTATCATTTATGAATGAACCTCACGAACCCCAACCAGCTAGAGATCCAGAATATGCTTGGATCTATGTTTCATGCCAGCATGTCACCTTACCATATAAACATACCCTGGTTTTGTTTGCTGATGTGATGTTAGACTGACATCAACTGCAGCCACTTGTCACAGGTCAGTTAAAATGAACTGCTTGCACAGGAATTTGGGGATCTGGATAGAGACACCAAACTGGCAGAAACTATTGCATGTGTCACATAAATAAGCATAGACATGTGTTTTATCACCAGTAGGAATCTATGTTGTGCAGTGTTATGATATTTATGTCTTCAAGAAATGCTAATAGTTGTGTTTGCTCTCTCCCTCTTTTCCACTTCAGCAGACTCAGATGAAACCTTAGAAACACAGTCCTTTTATTAAAAATTAACAAGTTCCAAGATTTGTATAGCTCAAAGTAGCATTCTCTACAAAATGTGAGAGAAGTATCTGCCCATGTGAAGAGTTGAATCTGAAGTGAAATCCCCTCCTTTCCTCCATTTCAGTAAAGCTTCTGACTCCACCCTTAGGATGGCTCCTGCTGCTTGAGGATTACATGGCAGGAACATCAGGCACTTAATTGTTCTGCTTGCATTGCCTGTCTGCTCCTGACAGGGTCCAGGAACTCCCTTGATCACCTCCCCACCCAGGACTGAAAGGTCACCCTCCTTTTCCAAGGCAGGCTGGTTCTCAAGCTCTGTCTGTGAATCTTCACTAAGTAACTGCCAAGACATATGCCCAACTGTGCCTCAAAACCAGATGTATGTGTCTGAGCAGGAAATAATGTGCGAGAACTGGGTCCCTTCTCTACTAGTTACTCCATTTTCCTCATTATTCTCTAAAAGCAAAGCCCCCTTCAGTCATTCAAATAAACTCGAGGAGAAAGGAGTAAAACCTCTGTCCCTGCTGTGTTCATTTCTGTTCCAAGGTTCACTGGAGTAACTGAAAAGATCCCCATATGTTCACATGTAATGCATGATGAAGTTTCTCTTCATGCTCAGGAATCTTGCTGTTCAAGATGAACTATAGCAAGTCAACTCTCTCTCTCTCTCTCTCTCTCTCTCTCTCTCTCTCTCTCTCTCTCTCTCTCTCTCTCCCCCCCCCCCCCCCCCCCCACTCTTTCTCTACCTATAAGGTTGCCTGGTTTGTTTGTCCACAAGGACCATTTGACCATGTTGGCCACCCATTGGCTGATCAGCTGCAAGCCACCTGCCTTGATTCACCTCCTAAAACTATAGGAAAGAGTGGGAAAGACTCTACCCTTGGCCAGCCAGTTGAGAGGCTTCCAAGTCCTGGAATACTAGGGATCGAGAGAGAGATTTCAGTGGTTGTAATAATGAACTGTATGCCTCTCTTGGCAGGAGGAGTAAAGCTTTGTACAACCTCTACACTACCTTCTATGATGAGGGAGAGCAGTTTGACCCATGTTTTGTTCAGAGAGGAAAAGGTAATGATGAACTGGGAAAGTTATTTTCATTGTCACAGCAAGGGCTGGAAATTGTGGCCAAAGTCTAGATGGCCATCCGGAAGGCAACAAGTGATGACGACGGATGTAGACAAGGCCATTGTGTTGGGCTGGAAGTCACCAGCTTGGTGGCCACATGTTGCCCTGATGTTTTTTTCTTTGTATTTTCAAAAACATATTATTGGTGGGGGTGGTTGGCTAGGCAAGTACATGTCCAGATTCTCATGTTATTATTTTTACCTTTAAATGATATTATCCATTCCTACAGCAAAATGATACTTACTTCCAAGTAAATGTGATATGCATCAAGGCAACAGATGGAAACTCCATTTTATGTCTATAGTCATGAGTTTAAAATGCAAACTACACATGCTCAGTATATTTTGTCTTCATTTTATCAGGTTGGTATGCTCCAGCAGACCAATACTGAATTCATTGTAAATCATGGAATGAAATGAAAGTGGGGAGGAGAGGAGAAAGAGGAATGTTAGTTGTGTGCCCCACAACTGAACTGAACATGACATCTGAAGCCATCATGAGACTGTTAAGCCCAGGATCTAAAATTACCTAGCTGCACCACCGTTTTTGTCACACTGCTCTGCTAACAAAAGTGATTAGGCCAGCAGCTTCCTTTTCATTAGATATCAGAGGATTTCCTCGCCATATAAGTTTGTCAATATTTTAGGCTATTTCACTGATGTGGCACGATGAAGTCATCTTTTCATGTTGATGGCAGGGGAACCCGGAATTACCACCTGGATGTATATATCAACAAACATTTTCATGTTGTCCAAACTGGCAGATTCCAGAAAGGTCTCTAGAAGCTGGTATGCAGAAACATATGATGCTTCTAGACAAAGTATTCCAAGTTTATGGCACCACTGCGCTTCCATATGCATAGAACATTAGGGTGGGCCCAGATTCATTCTTCTACTCCTGAATCTCCCATGTTTTCGCATTACTTCTTCTGTCTTTTTCTTGCAAATGAAAAGCTGCACAGTGCTTCTTTGACTGCTAGTGCTAGGATCCCTCCATCAAGAAGTATCCTGAAACAGATTCAAGATGGGGTTGGATGTTTGGGGAATCACCTATTGGGCAGCAGGGGCAGGAAAATCTAGATTGACAATATTATCCTTGCTTTTCAGGACTCTCTAGGGCTTGCACCATATTGAATGCTGTCAAGAAGGGAAAGATTAATGTCAAGCACCTCCTCCTCACTCTGCACACACTGGGGATCCTGGTGACTGCTGCTGAGATGCATCAGGCTCTGAAGTTTGTTCCAATAGATGGTGCGTGCAAGCTTTCAGTTCCAGACCTGAAGTTTTCCTCCACTATTATTTTGCATTCATTGAAAAAGGGAGACTTCTGGTGGAAACAAGGGGAGCTTCTATTGAAATGAGCAGGAAACATAATTAACATAATTGCACTTATAGTTTTGCATCTTGACACAAATGGTATGTATCTACTTGCAAAATTTACATCAAGTTATGCCAATAAATTTTATGGTCAGTCAGAGAAGGCCTGTGTAAATAAAGATGTGTTCAAAGAGTCGCATCAATGTGAGTTCCCCAAAACTTTCAAAATCAGAATATTCTTTCATTTTAGACTTGCTTACTAGAAATTTCAAGTAATACTTGTTCTCACACACGTTATAGAGCATGCAAACAAGTACTTCTTCAAGCCATGACAACAGATCTGAGCAAAAGCACAAATGCCCACTGACTGACAGCTAAATGTTTTTGCTATTAGATTTCAGGCCATTTGCAAGAACCTCCTATTTGCATAATAACATGTTAGATTGTGCCTTTTAGAATTGGATTCATCTGAGTTTGGGATCTGAACTCGGATTCTCATTAGACACACAAATGAAGCAAAACATTTGCTTCAGTTATAATACACAGACTGCTGTCACCCCATACCTCTTACCAATGCCTCTTATCAACGCCTCTTACCTCCTTCTTCTCAATTCAGTACATGGGAACCTGGACTTTGGCGACTTCCTATGTGTTATCAAGGAGACATTGCCATGCAATGAAACAGATGGTAAGTGGAAGGAAACTGAGACAATAGCAGGAAAAAATGGCTCCTTAGTGCCTTAGTGAATAAAACAATGTATAATAACTATTTATTCCTTAGTGAATAAAATAATGTATAATAAGTATTTCTGACTGAGGTATCACACTCTTTTCCTTCACAAACACTCATCACTCATAAATCTACCTTTCTCTTCTGCACTCCAGTTCCTGTCAGCTTCACTCTTACACACCCTTAAAATACTTGACAATATTAGGTTTTGACTCTCCCTGGTCACTAATATGTCCATTAAGTAGTCTTTCCTTATGCATCCTAAATGCCTTCTAGAGCACCATATAGGATTCTCAAGAGAAGGCTGCCTCTTCAGATTTTGCAGATCACTGACTGTAACTGCTGACAGACCACACCATCTATTTCTCTCTTCTCCCACACTCTCAAGCTCTGCCCACACACTCTCAGTCACCAGCCAATTACCTCACTCATCCCCCTCTTGTCTCCCACTTGCCCTTCTGAAACTTGCCAACATTTAAAGGAACACACTCATAACACTTTAAATCACTACTCCTTTGATCTCTGTTTCCCACCTTTATCCTCTTCTTCATTCATGTGGCTCACAGTCTCCTTGCCCTATCTCCTTCCCACTCAGTCAGCTGAACTCTGCTGCTCTTCGCTTTACATGTGTGACATTTTAAGCCATCACTGACAGCTTGCCCTTCCCTTTTCAAAGGTGGACTGTGCATGTCCTGGTGCTGTTTTTTGTTTTCTGAGATACAGGCATCACACCTCCTCAGCCAATCAATATGAGAGGCTGCGCTAGCTCAGCCAAACAATGCCTAAGACGTCAGCAACACAAGTGAAATAGAGGATAAGACCTGAACATGTTTCCTGCACTATGGGCAAAGATGGTTTATGTTGCATCATCTGTCCACCTCAGTCCACCCATTGGAATATATAGGAAAAGGGAGCGAATATTATTTTGTGCTTACTAATTGTGCCCTTTTTCCTCCCTGGTACTTTTTGCAGCTCTACAGAATGCACAAGAAGTTTTCAGGAAGATTAAGGAAGACATGGTGGCTATTGAGGAGTTGGAGCCAATTTTGGCATGCTTGGGAGTCACTTTGAGCCCCATGGTTATACAACAGGCACTGGAATGCACTCAGCTTAGCTGTAAATATATACCAGTCTCAATATATGCTGGGGGAGCAAACACTGATTGTAGCATTAAGCTGAAAATTTTAGTCAAGCCTCTGTAGTCAACAGAATATTCTTGCTGGTAGTAGAGATTCTGGCAAAGCAGTCCTGATCCAGCTTGGAAAAGAACTTTGGGAGCACATTTAAACCCATCAGACAAAACAAGGCAGGTGTCTCAGGGAGCAGGTGAAAAAGGATGGCGAATGCTGGTGAGGTACTGGAGGACAGAGATGTGTGGCCCTCTGTCCCTTAATTTAGTCTGCCACCCTCAGGTATGGTGGAGGTCAGCTGGCAACACACAGGCAAAGAAAACCGAAATGCACATCAGCCTTCTTTCTCACTGCTATGAGAGTAGAAATGAGAGTTTTAGTTTCTGGAGGAAAAGCAAATTATAAATATAATTCTAAAAAGTAAATAAGGTTATACCAGAAAAAGATAATAGTTTTACATGATGCTCATAATAAGACTCCTCTACCAGCATATAAAATGGCCACTTGTACATTGTGTTTATTTATTTATTTATTAAAACATTTTTATGCCGCTCCATTCGCCGAAGCCTCGGGGCGGCTTACAACAAAAAATTAAAATAACATTTTAAAATATATACATTAAAATACAAATATATAATATAAAACATACAATATAAAACATGTGCAGTAGAGCAACATGCATCAAGTACCCCACCTGGAAATGTATCTTACAGAAACTCAGAGAAAATACACATAAAAACCAACCTGCTTTGACCTGCACTGCAGTGATCTCAGCCTGTCTGCAAAATGGGACTAACAGCCAAGGACTGCTTGGGCATGCTGATGCGGCCCACAGTCAGCCACAGAGTGCCCCCACCCACTGCCCTGCATTTAAGGGCATAACAGCAGATTTATTTTACATTAGTAGGTGTTTTCATAGTTAAAGGCGATTTTTAAATGGTGCTTTTTGGAGTATGAAATAAGACCTGGGCTAACACACACACACACGCCCAATCATTCCTGCTAGCTGTTGTGGCTGCCATGCACAGCTACATGGACTGCCCAATAGTTTTCTGTGTGTTCCATGGGCAGAGATTTTTTTTTAAGAGGCTGGTTCAAAATGCACCAGGGAATTACATCTGCAGACAAGCGCTCACTTTGTAGTTATCCCCATCACAGTAGTGGCTTCGCACATTACCTAAATGCACTGAAAGGCAGTAGTAGCTTCTTGTTTTGCAAAACAGTTCTGCTCTATGATTGCCGTTTCTCACAAAACAGTTGAAATGGGCCTGAACATTTTGCATTAGATCATATGTTCTATAAAGGCCAGAGACTTGTGCTTTCTTTATTTGTATGCTGGGAATCTGGGCTAGCTTGTGGGCACCTGGAGGTGTTGGGCCAAGGAGCTACTGTCCCTATAGCCTTGTGGGTACTCTTCCTGTGGAAGCCACCTTGTCCTTTGCCTCAGGCAGCAAAATGTCTTGGGTATGTCCTGCCATGATGGACTCGAAGGGAGAAAGGCATTCCCTTGCATAAGCAGGACACCTCCAATTCTTTCTCTTCTGTCGCAGGGGATGGGAAAGTGAACATCTTGACATTCCTGCTGACGGTGAGGGGAGCAACAGGCCTCTGCACAGAAGTAGGTAAGTGCCCTCACAACCATCCTGGCATCAGCCAGAAAGAGCAACACCAGGCTCCTCTGCTCAGTGGAATCAGTTGCTGCCCTCTAACAAGGATGGGGGACCTCCAGCATGCAGCTGCCAGGAATCCACCACAAAATTTTTCTGCTGTTATCTGTATTTATGGCAATTAAGTCCTCAATGTCCTGTGCAGTTTATTGGCATGGGGGATGTTGCATGGGGGCTTACTCTTAAGTAGGCAGGATTAGAGTAGAGTTGTGTCGTGCATGCTTAGCATGGAAATGTTCCAGATAGTAAGAATGACACCCAGCCTGGCCCAACTTGCTTCCTCTGTCCTTGCCCCCACCCCCATTGTGCCCTTAGGTCCACCCAGTGCTGAAACTGGGCTATTGAAACCCTTCCCAAATTGGAACTTGGGTCCCAGAATGGAAAACATTCCACACCTCTTCTCTGTAATAATAAAAATCAGCATTGTGTAGTGCTTTCAGGGTGTCCCAATCACTTTAATAGGACATCTTGTACAGTATTTTATATGGTTTATTAAAAAGCTTAACTTCTGATAAAAGAGGCTTACTGTATTTATGTTCTGCATCAAAAGTGACTCTTTGCTCTTACTTTTTGTTAGAATTTATAAGAGATGGCCCAGTTTTGGAGGGAGGGCATTCCTCCTGAGTTTCTATATGAGTTGCTGATTTGGAAGTAGGTACTGGATAAAAGGAGGTCAGCCTAGAGCAGCAACCCCTGGAAAAATGCAGTAGGAAGGCACTTCTGTAGTGTTTGCGGAGAGTCACTGAATGCTCCAGCCATATATGTACAACAGCAACGGGATGCAACAGGCAGCCTTCTTTGTGAATAGAATCATAAGTCCCCTGCCTTTTAATTTTTTTTCCTTGCTCATAGCTGTGCAACATACTATTTGAGAGAGATTGTGCAGAATATTCTCTTTGCTTCTCTGTGTCACATCTACAGATGACTATGCAACTTCCCAGGACTTTGCTGCTGTGGGTGATTTAGAGACTCTGTTGAGAAGAAAAAGGAGTTTACTAGAAGGGGAGACACAACCTGGTCATGCTAACCTTTTTACATTCTATGATCCAGATGAAGGGGTCACGCTCGCCCAGCTACAGAAGGGAAAAAATAAATCACAAAAATCTGAAGGTCCAAGAAGACCCCAAACTGCATCTCCAGAATGTCACACAGAGCAGAAGAGCAAAGAAAATCAAGGCATACAGTGGCCAAAGGTTCGACCACACTTTGGCTATACCAGCCAGTACACTCTGTTTCCCCTAAGCTCCTCTCTGTGCTTTAAAGAACAGGATAAACAGTTTGTCCAGAAGCCAAACACAAAAGAGTTGTCACCACGTGTGGACCAAAAGTCTGCACCTTCCTCGGTTGCACAGATAAGAAGCAGCCATGAAGTCTTTCCACAGCAGAGGAAAAAGAAGATGCTGACCTTCCAGGAGAAACTCCCAAAGAGGTATGACCATGAAGATAACGTTCATGTAGCAAATCCCAAGACTTCTGGAAGTGAAGGCCAGCAACATTCAGAAGATCTTTCAGCCCAGCAAGGTGGGTCCTGAAATGTTGTCTGTTCAATGCAATACATACCCGAGTTGCACATTTTGGTTCAGGTGAATTGTAGGGGAGACTTTTGAAATTACTTCTAAAGATGTAAGGAGAGTGTGCACATGTATGTTGCGTGTTGGGTGTTGTGGGGGGATCCTTCTCAACTTTCCAGCAGGATTAAGAAGTTCAGTTCATCAGTGGGACTTTCCTGCAACAATTTTGACTTAACTTGGATACTATACAGCCTCTCGTACCTTGATATAGCCTCTCTCCCTCCAATGGCCTCTGTTATCCCTCCTTCTTGCCCCTTCTGAACAATATTGACTTTATTCTTTTTTCCTTTCCAAAGTTGGCTCACCACTGGATCCTTGAGTCCAGATTCTCTCCAGTCTAGTACCCTCTTTTAGTGAACACAAACATAAGATGGCCAATCCTTCACCAACTCCTGGAAGCTCCCCTTTCCTCACTATGTTATCTAACCTCCTTTAAAGATATGAACCAGGGAACCCTTGCTATTGAGTGATGGGCTAAAAGGCCAGTATTTTCATTTACAGGTTCTGGCACAGCTCCACCACCAGATAGCCTGCTGATTCTCCCTGTGTTGACTGTGCTTGGCTTCCCAGCTATGCCATGCCAGTGTGGCATTCCATGTGGCAAAATGTCTGTTGCATTTTGCTTTCTGCATCCAACTCTCTGGCAGGACCAGCCCAACCGTTAGGCAATGGGGCCTCAGGCAGGAGATTTTGAGTGTGACTAAACAGCTGTTTCTTTTATTGTGATAGCATATTATTGTTAGGAAGTGAAAGAGGCACCTGTGAGATTTTCTGCCTGGTGGTACTATTCACCTTCATTTGGGAAAGGTGGAGGGGGTGTTATCTCAGGCAGCAAATGCTTTGGGCTAGGCCTGCCATATTGGATGTGTTCCATAGTAAACACTCTTGTTCTGGATGATTCAGGCAGTACCTGGTTTCTGGCATTCAGCATCAGAGCTTGTAGACAACATTGGTCCCTTGAATGTGCTCCTGGCTATTATAACATCAAGGAATCAGGGCAAAAGCAAGTTGCCTAAGGCCCAGTACTAACAGACAGCAAGGGGAGACACAGTCCTCTAGGTTTTTCATCTGGATCTGGAGTTCAAGCAATCCATTTGAACTGAACAGCCACCTAAGGGGGATGGTTTAACTTGGAGTCCTGCAGTGAGCAGAGGGTTGGACCTGACATTCTCTTTGACCCCTTCCAGGTCTACACTTCCATGATGCTATGACCATGGGAATGGTTAGCTGGTTTGCATTCTCTTTGTGGATTCACAAACTGAGCAAACATTTAAACCATGGGAAAAGCAACATTGATACTCTGTTCTCCCCAAGCACTGAGATGTTCCAAGGACAGTGCTCTTGGTTTTAGTTTCTTTTGGATGAAAGAATACTGGAAACTCATCATGTTTCCATCAAGTTCCTGAAAGGCTGTCACAAAGAGGAGAGACAATCTCTTCTTGTCCATTCCAGAGTGCAGTGCAAATAATAATAGACTTAAACTAAAAGAAACCAGATTTAGACTAGACACCAGGAAGAATTTCCTCACTGTCAGAGCAGTATGACAATGGAATTTATTACCTGGGGAAGTCATGGGCTCTCCCTTGCTGGAGACATTCAAAAAGCACTTGGACAGTCATCAGAGTGCGATGGTGTGATTTAGTGTCCTGCAACAGCCGGGGGTTGGACCCAATGGCCTTCTGGCCCTTCCAATTCTACTATTCTATGATTCTATGTCACTCCCTCCTTCATGGATCACTGTCTTGTCATGGCGAAGGGGTTTGCGTAGCTCAATGAAGCTATGAGCTATGCTGTGCAGGGCCACCCAAGACGGACAGGTCATAGCAGAGAGCTCTGACAAAACGTGATCCACTGGAGAAGGAAATGGCAACCCACTTCAGAATCTTTGCCATGAAAACCCCATGGACAGTACCAAAAGGCAAAAAGTTATGACGCCAGAAGATGAGCCCCTCAGGTCAGAAGGTGTCCAATATGCTACTGGGGAAGAGAAGCAAACACAGGCTCCTATAGCAGGTACCATGGCTACAACCCTGCTTTAGATTTCCAGAGAATGCATCCTGCAGTACATCACTTTCGGCCAACCAAAGCAACAGACTTGGCTCTCTTTCCATCCCTTTGGGCTTCTCTAGATGAGGCATTTATTTTGAACAGTCATGGCAGTTGCATGGCATTTTCTCATCTTCCAAGGCCTCTCTTATGTTTTCCTCCTCGATTAAACATGATTAAACTTACTTATAAAAGTCAGCTATTAAAATTCCGATTGCAACACCCAGGAACAAAAGCCTTGCAAAAAGTCATAAATCCAGTATACTGCAGCTATAGCACCACCTTGTGGTTAGTTAGTACAATATAAAGGCCAAGAAATAACAAACCACAGGGGAAAACACCCATGTAAAGGGTGCATTTTAATTCCAGCAATGGAGATGAAGCCTTTGTAAAGCATCAGGGTAATGCACTAGGAAAAATATAAAAGGTAAAACACAAACATAAATATAAAATATAAATGCCCTTAGGTTTCTAAATGTACCTAGGAAAAAATAATCAAATGCATTGTTACAAGATGGGAGATACTTGGCTCAACAAGTGGAAAAGATCTTGAAACTGTTGTAGATCACAGGTTGAATATGAGTCAACAATGCAATGTGGCTGCAATGTGATGTGGAAAATGCTATTTTCAACTGCATTAATAGAGAAGTATCACTTCCAAATCCCATGAAGTACTAGTTTCACTTTAATTAGCACTGAGTAAAAGGCATCAGCACTCAGTTAGGGCTCATCTGGAGTATTGTATCCTGTTCTGAGCACCACAGTTTAAGAAAGATGCAGTCAAGCTGGAACGGGTTCAGAGGAGGGTGACAAGGTTAATCAGGGACTGGAAATAAAGCCCTGTGAAGAGAGATGGAAAGAACTTGAAATATTTAGCCTGGAGAAGAGAAGACTGAGGGGAGATATGGTGGCACTGTTCAAGTACTTGAAAGGTTGTCACAAAGGGGAAGGCCAGGATCTCTTCTCAATCATTCCAGAGTGCAGGATGACAGTGGGCTCAAGTTATAGGAGCTGGATTCCAGCTGAACGTCAGGAAGAACTTCCTGACTGTTAGAGCACTACTACAATTGCCTAGGGAGGTTGTGTGCCCTCCCACACTGGAGGCACTCAGGATGCAACTGGACAGCCATGTGAGAGGATGGTTTAACTGGGAGTCCTGCACTGAGCAGGGGGTTGGACCTGATGGCCGAACTGGCCCCTTCCAACTCAACTATTCTGTGATTCTATGAAAACCAAAAAAGGTAGGTGTCCACTAAACCTTCAAGTTTTATCCCATCCCCATCCACATAGGCTTCCTGTGCAATAAATGAATGATGCAGGGTTCCATTTTTGGTTGCCACTGTGGTTGTAGGACAATGAAATCCTTGCGGAAAGGCAAGCCACACCTTGTGAAATATGTATTTTCATGCCATATAAGGCACACTGCCATCTTTCACTCTGTTTTGGGAAGCATGTTGTCAGGAGGTAGGCTGGGATTGTGTTGTCTTTCACAAACTATTTGCCTCTAAAGTGTCAGGCACAACACAATCTGCTTTTCTCCCCTTCTCTTGCCAAAGAGAAAGGCAGGGATGTGAATCCTGCTGTGCATCGGCTCCTTTAATGGGAAAGTGCAGTTTTAAAGGTAGTAAACTTGTTATCTCTGGAGACGTTTGCTAAATGGTAGGTGTGTGGGGGAGATTTTTAGCAGAAGATGAAAGGTATGGAAAGCACTTCTCTTTCCTCCTCTATTTTGGTGCAACACTACTTTGCACTAGGCACTGCAAGCTAGCACAAGTACTACCAGGAACATCATTGAGCTGGAATTTTTAAGCAACTTCCCAAAGATGACAATTCCCATGGGACATGCTTCTAATGATAACTTGCCACTGGCTCCCAAAACCCATCTTCCAGCAAAATGATTTACCAGATCTTCTTGGGTGAACTTTCAAAGGAGGAAATTTTGACACTGAGCTAGCCATGCTGAACAGATCTTCCTAAACTGTGCTGTAAGGTATCACCAGGTGAAATTCAACATGGATTTGTCCATGCTGACATGAGGAAATAGGTCAACATGATTTGGAACCTATGTGGGATCTGCATGAATATTCACCATAGAGAGGCAAGGAATTACACAATGAAACATGTTTTCAAAGCTCCAGATTCTTCTTAAACATTTTTCTGCCATATCCTGAAGATTTAGTATGAATTGCAACATGCCCTGTGCCCTTTCACTCTTTGAAACAATTGCATTCTCAACTATGGAATTAGTCCCTGATCCACCCTCCCAGCATCACAACCACAATAAGTAAACTGTACCTCTCCTCAGTCAGCCAGTTTAGAGACCCCCTAAAGGGTTTTAGCTTTTCATTATCCTACAGAAAGGGAGCTTCACCAACACCAAGCCGTGCTGGCAGTTTTGCAAAGAGCATATTTCAGCTGGGTTTTCCTGTGATTTCTCTGCTTCTAAAAGGATTGAAGTAGATCCACAGAATTCAACATCCTTTATGGCATGCCTCACTTGACTATCAAGGCCTTGGTTAACACGGCCACAAGCTTCCAATATCAGTGGGCACAAGCAGAACATTGCCCTGTATTCCAGTGGAAAGCAGCCAGTATCGATGACAACAGAATGGGTCTCTGTTGGATTGCTGCTTACCTCACACAGGTGGTAGGAACTTGTACCATTGCTTCACAAGCACATCATACTCATTTTAGGACTGAATCTCTTGCTTGGCTCATGGAAAACATCCAGCTTTTAAGATGGCTAAGAAAGAGGCTAAGAAAGCTTCACCAGAAGTAATTCCTGGACCTGACCAGAATGTGCCACGGGTCATACCAAAGTTTAGGGGTGAGATGTCCTCTTTTGTCTTTCTGTCCCATGTGAGAGATACTTGCTATATGTTTCTCTAGCATGAAGAAAGTGCATAGGGAGACATTTTTCTTTCCAGGATTTCAGGCAGAGCTTTTCCTCCCCTCCCTGGGGATGCTGGAAATTGAACTTATGACCATCTGAATGCAAAGCATGGACTCTACCATTGAACCACAACCCTACCTCATTAAGCTAATGGGTGGAGACTTAGAACAGAGAAAAGGCAGTGCTTCATACAGCACATAGTTTAACTATGGAGTTTGCTACCACAAGGTGTAATGAAGGGGAAATTAAATGAATTAATGAAGAATAAGATTATCTGTGGCTACATCTGCTGATTATATGCTGCCTCCTGGATCTGAGGAAGTATGCCTTGTATACCAGACCAATAGGATATTTCATCCCATTCTACCTGTGGATTTTCCCTTGTATGAATGGGAACTGGACTAAATGGACCTTTGGTCTGATCCAGCATGGCACTTATATACATTTTTCAGGAAATACAAAGGTGCTCTTCCTGAAATGAAATTACATGAGGTCAGACTATCTGTGGTAGCTTGGCAGAGAAGTTGTCAAGCAACTGAATTTGAAACCTCCTGACATGGTCACAGATCCGTGAAATACCATCATAAAAATTTTGCCTGTTGTGGTGGCAGCAGGGCAGACCTTCACAGATGCCAGGGCTGAGCCCAAACTGGTCATGGGATTAAGGTTTGGCTCAAATGCAGCTTCCAACATACATCAGACAAAAATGGGCACTTCCACTTCATAACATGTAAACATTTCCTCACAGTTTGATGAAGAATGAAATGTACTTGCGTTGTGGGTCCTGGATACTATGTACTTATAATTCTGGCTGGCTGTGCATTTTCAAACCTCACCATCCAAGCACAAAAAGAAGCAAAAATATGAGAGGATGGGAGGTACAATAAAAGGTAAACTTGATTTATCTGAGACCAAATTCAGAGGAAGCAGTTTGGATGGGGTGGACTCAGAAAATAAAAATGGCTGCCAGACAAAGGATTAACAAAATCACCCTCCTGTGAAGCTGTTGTTATTGAAAGAAAAACAGTGTTGGGGCTTTGTTTCATATATCCACATAAAACAAAGTTTTATTCAAGCAGTTTTTTTTTCTTTTCAGCCTTGCAGGATGCCCTTGAGCTCATGCAGACGCTCTCTGAAGAGAACATCAGAGAAAAAGATCTGTGCTCTGCCCTGAAGAAACTGGGAGTGAATCTGAATGACAAGGAATTCCAGGAGGTGTTGCAGAAGGCAGATATAGCAAGTGAGTCTCTTCAGCTCTCTCTGAGTTTTGTAGTAGTCTTTGGGCCAGCTGGGCCCCTCTCCCTGTCCTCCATTTTGGCTCCTGTAGGTAGGTAATGGCTTGCCATGGGGAGTAGGGAGGAGGATGAATTGCAGCAGTGAAACTGAAAAATGTGGGAGCAGGATATGGGACACTTCGGCAAACCACAGGATCCCTTCCTACACCCTCCCATTCCCCCCCCACACACATTTCTGTATCCCTACCTATGCAAGATTTAGGGGTACTCTCCAGCACAATATCAGCAATTTTAAAGTTGCCTTGTTCCACCCCCACCTCCGAACCCTGGTTAATTGGATGAAGCAAATCCTTTAGCTGGCATAGGGTGAAGGGAAGCCATGTGGGTCTATCCCCAGCTGGTTTTCAGTGAAAAAGGATAGTCGATCCATTTAAGGCATGAGTCCTCAAACTAAGGCCTGCGGGCCGGATCCAGCCCACCATGCCCATTTAAGCGGCCCATCCCACAGGTTTTGCATTTGCTGGGCACGCACGGGCGCATGGCTTGCTCACGAGGAGGTCAGTTTGGACTAGCTCGGAGAAAATGATCTCCTCGCAAGCAAGCCGGCGTATTGCCCCATGCCTGCCCCCCCGTCCCCACCTTGCCTCATGTGTGCACGTGCATGTCCCACCTCCTCACTGGCCCGTGCCCCCTGCCAGCGCTGCCTTGGCAGCTTGCACCCACCGCTGGCACCTGTCAACTGGCTCCCTTTAGAAAAAGTTTGAGGACCCCTGATTTAAGGCATCCAATTTAACCCTTGCATGACTTCTCCCAGCAAACTAATGGGCTTGTTTTGTTCTCTTAGCTTGCATGGGGGTATTATGTGCCAAAAGCACACCCAAAAACTCAGATGTGCCCTGGAAACAACTTTTTACCTTCCTGCAGACACTTGGAACTCTCAGAATGACTTAGAACATTTACCCACAATTTTCCTTTTTTTTTTTTTTTTGCCAGAAATACTTGAGTCAGAGGGAGCTTTGGGAAGTTTGCTCATCTCTGTAAGAGCTGTTCTAATTTCATTTCTGAGATTCAGCTTGGGGAGGGTCATTTTGGCCAAGCCCTGAAGTGAAATGAAAGAGAAGGAGCAAGATGATTTGTGAAGACAAAATGAGGCTTTCACTTCTGCCACAGCATTAATATAACTGCTCGTTCCATCTTTCCTTTCTCGACTGTGGGCAGTTACTTGAGGTATATGGAACCAAATTACTATCAAGGCTTCTGGTGATGCTTCTGTGAGCATCCACTTGGATATCGTAGTCCTGGATTTTGGACAGGACACAGTTCTAACTAGAGCCTTCAGTGCACCTACATCCACCCTTCCAGAAGGTTTAAGAGAATTTTTCAACAAGCCCCTCCTTTGGTTTACTGGCATTTGAAGGCATTGTGACAGAATCATGGGACACCAAAACGAGTGAATCAATTTCTAAATGAGGTTTTTCTGCAGACCATTTGAATGCAAGGGGCTATGATAGACTGAGAATACTTGTCTGAAGGTCTCAAGATGTTTGATCAGTGCCATCTTCCAGCCTACCACTCAACCTGGAGCCCACTGCTTTTCTAACATGCCATATAAAGCCCTTTATAGTTGCCTCCATATCTGTCTTTTATCTGCCCACATGGTTTCACATAGCTTTTGAGTGCTAATTAACCCCTCCCCCCATAGTTAACTGAGGTTAAGACAGTGACTTAGACTGAATAGATCACACTTCATGTGAAGCCAACCTGAATATAAACCACCGTAGACCAGCTGCATACAAGACACTACTCTCTGGTGTCCTTTCGTCTTCATTTCTAGGAGCAGAGGACAGAGGGCACTGGGAAGGAATCTGGCAGGACTGGGTTTGTTTGCTCCTTTACCAAGGAGTTCAGCAGAATGGTGACTGTAGTGATGGAGGTCTGACTTCTATGGCCTTGCCTCCAGTCTTACCTCTCAAGGCATTTATATATGGAACCTGGGGCAAGGCTATGAAGAGATGGGTTGGCTTATTTCGCAGGGGGTCTCATGAAAATGGGCTGCATTATGGGAGGCACAGAGTTGGGAAGGAGCAAAATCAGGCTGCCTGCAGTCTTAGCAATCCAGACTTACCTGACCCAGAGTATCCCTGAGTGCGCTTTGCTAGATAGAAGTGAATGATGACCCTTTGCGTCAGAGAATTCATTCACTACAGAGCAGTATAGTACAATTTAGTCACCACCCCCGTTTCCTTTGCCTACCCATTGTCTGTACAGATACATATTGTGCTGCCCCACAACACACAGAGAGAACAGAGCTTCACCTCACCGTCATATTACCCTGAAAAGTCAAATGACTTGAAGAGGTACTTGCGCCCACCTTGAGCTCTAAAATAGGAGTTAGGAACCTGCAGCTCTCCAGCTATTTTTGGACTCCATTACCCCTGACCATTGGCCATGCTGGCTGGGCTGATGAGAACTGAAGTCTGACCACATCCAGTGTGCCACAAAGTTCTTTTTCCTACCTTATAGGATTAGGTGGGCTATAGAAACCCTAAACAACAACAACAAGCATTCATCATAACGCATGTTTAAAATTTGACATTTCAGAAGATGGGATGGTGAACATCAACACCTTCATGTCTGCCATGGGGAAAACACATCTCTTCACTGAATTTACAAGTAAGCCAATGGAGCTTTTTTGTGTAAAGTTGGGTTTAGCTCTTAGGGGAAAACCTTAGTACTAACCCAAACCAGTGCCATTATGTCCTAATGTTACAATCCTAAACATATTTAGACAGAAAAAGCTAGCCAAGGAATGCTGGGAGTTGTAGGACTTTTTATGCATAGGATAATATGGCCTTTGCAACATGTTGCATACAGAGATCTACTGTACCCCAGGGCAAAGTCTCCTAGTCTTTTGAAAAAAGTGCAAAATGTCACTTGGGACAGCTTTTTCAAACAGTTCTTTTATCCCAGAATACATGGCAGGCTGATTACTTACTCTTAGATTTTACCCAGCAAAGTATATATGTAAGACATGTATTTAATTGGTCTGAGCTGCCATTTTGTTATGTCTAAATGGAGTCCTGGTGATATTATAAACTTTCCCAGAATATTGCTGCCCAATTTCTACATGAAATTTTCTGAATTTATTTATTCATTTATTTATTTAAAACATTTCTATGCCGCCCCATTCGCCGAAGCCTCGGGGTGGCTCACAACATAAAATTAAAATATAATACATTCAAATATACAACAAAATTAACAATATAATTTAAAGGCAGCCAACTTTTTATTTCACCCCAATTTGTGCCTATGGTCATACACACAAAGTCTTCTCTCCCAAAGCCGACATTTAGCAACAGAAAATGTATCTCAGTCTACACAAAGCACACTGAGTCTACACAAAGCACACAAAGCACTCTTCAGAGGCTAAATTTAATGTTTAGATTTTTAAGCACACATAAGGGCATTTCTATTTATTAATAAAATACTTTAAGACAACCTTTCATCCTTGTGAATATCAGGACAGTGTACTAAAAATGTATAATATAAAACTAAAACCACATCATAACAGTAAAAACAGAATAGATAGCAAATACTAAAGAACAAACAAATCCAACCAATTTAAATTGTTGGGCAAGCAAAAAGGTTTTGAGCTAGTGTAGAAATAATTGCACTGACGGTGTCAGTCATGCCATCAAGGGAAAAATATTTTATACGCGGGGTGAAACAACTGAGAAGGCTCTCTTGTTGACACAAGGAATCTTAGGTTCTTGGAGAAGAGCTTCCTGACCTCCTTCAGTTGTGGGTAGGCAGGTATCAGGAAGGGTGCAGATATTTTCAGTACACTGGATCGAAGGTTTGTTTTTGGCATAAAGCTAGGCTTAAGTACACCTGACTTTGGCTTGAGACTGCAGATAAACATGTTTGCTACTTTGCAGTGCTGAAAGATGCCATTCAAGCCATTGACAAGATTGAAGGAGACAAGATGGCCGTGCATGATCTCCCTTCCTTTATGAGAGATATGGGGCTCCATCTGTCTGACCAAGAGTTCCAGCAAGCCTTAAAACAAGTTTCTGTAGATGGTGAGAACCTGAGAAAATGTGTTGTCTTCTGTACAACTGCAATAACCAGTGTGACTAGCCCAACCACACTGCTCTTTTAGAAATGTCTCTGTACAAAAGACATGCCCAGGAATTGTTAGCCACCAAAATATTGTGCATCTGACTAGTTTAATGCTGGGTCTTGCCCTTCATCCTGACTTTCATGACTCATACCTATACAAGGTGCATGCAGGGATCACCTGGAAGATGTAAGATTAAATCTTGCAAGGCTATTCATTGGTGAATTTGGATTTCCCTCTTTGGGAATTGCCAAGCCCCATAAAAATACTTTTGTGAGATCTATTGTTGCCATCTTCAGACAGCTGCCAAGGAGTCCAGACTGCAGTCCCGCTATGGCTGGTTCTGGCTCATCCTCATGCAATCTATGGGACAAATCCATCTAAAAGGTCCAAAGGCAGGTAGCAGTCATCAGAAGCACAAGCACACAGTCCACTATAGGCACAATCCAAGAGACAGGGTCCTATCAGGAATTCAGGAGTCAACAGCATGAGAGATCAGTCCAAAGAAGCAAAATGATGGAAGCAAGCTCACTGTCAACTGAAATAAAGGCAATTTTCCCAGGAGCCTTTTCATTTTAGAACTGAAGCTTAAAGCTGGAGTTTCCAGAGTTTCACTGAGCACTCAGCTGCTATATATCAGAGGCTTCTGGAAAAAGTCCTTCTCCTCATGAACAGCTTTCCCCACAAAGATACCTTTACTCATGAGTAGCCTTCTTTGCAGCTAGGCACTCCTCTTGGCGGTTGTTCAGGCCTGCCTCTTAAGAAGCCACTCTCAGGGCCCAGGTGGTTGCTCAGCCACTGTCTTAGAAGCTAGGTTCCCATCCTCTTGTGGGGATAGATCCACAACTGTCTCCAACAGGGCCCCGACTTCTCCTGGTCTGCTGGCAGGGACTGAAACTCGGACAAACGTGCCCCGTGATCAGTCACATCTTCATGCATGTCACAAATCTTCCTTCTCTGCCACTTACCCTCCATGCATCCACATTGTTCCTTGGTCTTTCCAACCAAATCCAGATAGGGAAGATGGAATTCCTGGAACCAGCAGAGATGACCCATGTTGTCCAACTCCCGTATTGCCTTATGAAGCGACGGAGTCCCAGCATACACACAAGTCCTAATCTGTGTAGTAATACATAGTCTGACTTGTCTGGGTAGCTAATTGTAGTTTTATATGCCATAATTAAAGAACAGGCATTGAACATGGAATACAATAGATTTCAACACAGAATCCCTCTCAGAACTTTCTCTCTCAGGGTATTGCTAGTGATCTAGCTTGAGCATGCATGACATAATTTGCCAGCTATTGCTGCTATATAGTCTATAATGGAGTGGAGAAACCTAAATAACTGTTGAATTGCTGCCAATTCAAAGAAAGGCATGCCTCCTCAACAATTCTGAACAGAAAGGATCAGTAATTTTCACCAAAATGTCAAAGAAATATATAATATGCCGTACCGCAGACTAGAGAGAGAAGTGTCAATTTTCAGCACATTGAACTTGCTATAACTGCAGCAGTTTTTGTTGAATTCCATGAAAGTTTGCACAATTATAGACCTCATCAGATAGGACATGTAGTTATAAACTCAAAACATGTTATTTTTATAAGCATCAGAATCTTGAGATTTACAACGCTAAAATGTTTTTTGCAACTTTATTGTTGTTAGATGTGAAGTCACGTCTGACCCATTGTGACCCCATGGACAACATTCCTCCAGACCTTCCTGTCCTCCACCATCCCCCAGAGTCCACTTAAGCTCATGCCGACTGCTTCATTGATTCCATCTAGCCACCTCATCCTCTGCCGTCCTCTTCTTCTTTTACCATCTGTTGTTCCCAGCATTAGGCTCTTTTCCAGTAAGTCCTTCCTTCTCATTACATGGCCAAAGTATTTGAGTTTCATCTTCAGTATTTGGCCTTCTAAAGAGCAGTCAGGGTTGATCTCCTCTAGGACTGACTGGTTTGATCTCCTTGCTGTCCAAGGGACTCATGGGAGTCTTCTCCAGCACCACAATTTAAAGGTCTCAATTCTTCAGCGCTCAGCCTTCCTTATGGTCCAGCTTTCACAGCCATACATTGCAACTGGGAAAACCACAGCCTTGACTGTACACACTTTTGTTGGCAGGGTGATGTCTCTGCTTTTTAGTATGATATATAGATTTGCCACAGCTTTCCTCCCCAGGAGCAAGCGTCTTTTAATTCTTGGCTGCAGTCCCCGTCTGCGGTGATCTTGGAGCCCAGGAAAATAAAATCTGTCACTACCTTCATTTCTTCCCCATCTATTTGCCAGGAAGTGAGAGGACCGGATGCCATGATCTTAGTTTTCTTAATGTTGAGTTTCAAGCCAACTTTTGCACTCTCCTCTTTCACCTGCATCAAGAGGCTCTTTAGTTCCTCTTCACTTTCTGCCATTAGAGTGGTATCATCTGTATATCTGAGCTTGTTGATATTTCTCCCGTCAATCTTAATTGCAATTTACCTTAACTAAAAGGGACACTGCCATATCTCTTTTATAAGCCTAGATTCTCATACTTCCAGGAGATAAGAGCTATTTGAAAATGTGAGTAGTAGCAGTAAATATCTCTGAAAAAAGAAAAAAAAAATATCTTGCAGCCTCCTGGCAAGCTTAGAAATACAGAGTCCCATTTGTTACAACCAGCCCACATTGTGCGCAGTGGTTTCTCTTTCTTCTTTGGAGTGGCACTGACTACACAAATGCCTTAAAACTGGTCACATAGAAACACTGCTTTTGGTTTTTTACACTTAAAATGTATTTATTTTGGCAAATTACATACCCTGCCTATCAACTGTAGAAGGAAGATTCTGTGGAAGAATTACCTCACTGCTCCCCCACAATTCTCCTTGCCCTTTGTTTTCAAAGTGATTCTTGTGCGTTTAAACTTTTAAATTATTCTTGATTGACAGGTAATGGAAAGATAGTAGTGAAAGACTTCATTAAAGTTCTTACCAACACTTCACATTTCTCAGAACTGTCAGGTAAGTAAGACTGATAGTTGGGTGAGGGAGGGGAGAGTTGGAGGCCCTGCAGGGAGCCTATTGAGGCAGGCTCAGGGGATAGCTTGCCTGCCGGATTTGAGAAATTATTATTAGGTTAGATGCAGATTTAGTCATATCTGAATGATGTTCATTGAAGTAATTTAAATGGTTTATCTCTGAGTTTGACTAATGTATGGATCCAATCCATTAATATTATTACTGTTGTTCTGTGATAAATTAGCTAGGTTCACTGGAGGACTACATGTGAAGTAGTAGTAAATCATTATAACTCAGAATAATCATGCTGATAGCAAATATCAGAGAATCCTATGAGAATATTAGTGCAGAATACAAGTTTAATACATAAATAAGATATTCCAAGAAAAGTTGAACTGCAAGATAGAAAGTATCTTCCCCCTTCCAACAATTCTCCCATGAGAGAGAGAGACTTCCTCTATCTTACTCTAGTCCCACAAAATATCGAGCCTATTGTTAGGGGCACTACAAATGCTGCGAGGTTCCAGGGCAGCATTTACTTGGGTTTTCTTTCTTGTGAAAGGAGTGATCAGAGCAAAGGCCTCTCAAGTTGGGTATTCTGTTTGGACAGTGGCCAAGCAGATGCCTAATGGAAGTCCATAAGAAGGACATGGAAACAATTTAGCATCCCTGTGCTGCTGTTGCTCAGCACCTGATATGCATAGAAGTCTTAAGTCGTTTCTTTAATATGTGATTTCATTTACAGATACAGAAGTTAAGCATGGGTGGAGAGCGACAGTATAACATTCCTACAAACAGCAAACCCATTGTTTCCTGGGGATATATGGTTTATTTATTTATTTATTTATTTTTAATCCATTCAGTCTGTGTTTTGTGGACTGTAAGGCATTTTTCATTCCATTATCTGTTTATTTACAGAATTGAATTTTATTTCCCTTTGGAAAAGTCTGCAAAAAAAAAGTCTGCCACAATTGACATAAGTTTCACTGGTGCAAAACCCTTGTTAATATTCTTTTAGATCAGCATACACTCCAATCCATGAGCAAAGCACACACACAAAAGGAGTGCTACATTCTGGAGGCTGAAAAGAGATCCAAGATGTATAAAACATTCTGCATATGTGTGTGTTAATATCGTGTATAGATTAGCACATTTTCCAGAAATCTTCATACATTTGCGTACTGTTTCAGAAAGTGTAAAAAGTGGCCTGCAAGTCCACATGACTTAGAAGATGTTGAGCCACTGTGGAATCTGTGAGTCAGATGCATAGAATTCAGGAACCATGCCAGGTTCCTCTTCCTCTGGCCTCCCTATCCCTCCCATATCAAGTGCCAGGGAAGAGCTCCCCTCCATTCCCAGATGCTCCTTGCTTACAGCTCCCAGCCCTCTCCCAGGTACTTCCAGGCTGAGGGGTCTGAGATGCTAAGACACAGCCAGCTGTCTGCTCTGAAGCCAGCCCACCCTGATGCCTCTGTGCCACCAAAATTTTGAATGATCCAACAACATCAGATGTGTAGACACAATTGGAAAGAGGCAAGGCCCACACAGAGCAGCCTCCTCTGGGGGCCAAAAGAATCAAAGCCCAGCTTTGGGTTCATTGCAGCATTTAGTTATTCTGATTCCTTCTCAAAGTGCACCAGCAGTACTTCCCTACCATAAGGAAGAAGAAATAAGGCATGAGGCAATCTTTCTAGCTCTATGAGTTCCAGTGGGCCCAGAGCTCTATTGCTAACGTTTTAGCCAGGGAACCAACATACCAGATGCTAGTTCCCATGACCTAAAATAAACTTTGCAACTTTGTTTTATTCCTTAGTGCTAAAGGACACGATTAAAGCAGTAAGCAATATTCAAGGCAACCAAGTTAATCTACAGGACCTCAAAGCCACTCTCACAAACATGGGCATTCACTTATACCCACATGAGTATGAGGAACTCATTCAAACAATTCCAACTGACAGTGAGTATTACTTGACTTGCCTCTTGGAAGGTTGTGTCTTGTTCTTGTCCTCTCCGCCTCCTGCTGGTTTCAGATGACAACAGCCTCCTGTGCTGGTTTCAGATGACAGGAGGTGACACAAGGTCTTAAGCCTTGTTTGCCTAGATGAGGGAAGTGCTCTAATGGAGTCTCAGGAAGGCACAAGGCTCCCAGCAATCCCTATGATCACTGAATGTTGGATCTTTTCATTTTGCAGAAAAGGGGAAAATTGATATAGAGCAGGTCACAAAGAAGATATCCAAAATGCAGCGCTTCTCAGAAATGCAAGGTGAGTGGGCAGGAGCAGGGAGTCATGGCTGCTGGTTCTGAGGGCCCACATTACCCTGAGGAGGGCTCAGACTGAGTTGGGTCACAGAGTCCTTAGCATCACCTTCTACTCCTGCCTGGCCAGGGGTAGCTCTCCCATCACCTGGCTTTGAGGAGGACTCACAGCTTCACAGGTGCATTGAGGCTGCAGAAGCAGGAGGAGTGGAGCCACTGAGCCATTTGGTTCCTTTCAAATCATTGACTCTGCAAAGTCGCTGAAATGTTGAATAATACACACACACACACACACACACACACACACACACACACACACACACACACGGAAATATTACAAATCTGACATCATTTTCTCAGCACAGCACTGGATACAGACCCTAAAATCAATGATGGCCAGCCAGGGTAGGAAAGAGACTCTCTACTTCCAAATGCCTCAGGCACAATACATGATTTCTGCCTGCTGCTTAGAGGGACCCTTGACTGGGGAAGAGTCTAGCTCTCTAAGCTGAAGAAAGTGGCAGCTGCATCTCTTATACAATAGAGACTGCTGTAAAGGCTATGCATCACTTAGTGCACCTCAGAGCTTTGCGTGTCATCATGGCTTATGTGGACCTCCTCCAATGCCCACTTGCAGCCTGGCAGAAAGAAGATGATGGATGAATATGGGACCTGAGTGAATGTTGTCCACAGTGCCAGTTCTGCCCCAATTGTTTGAGTTTAAAGAAAGTAATTCCGTAAGAATAGCAAAAGAAGCAGTGGTGGTGACTAAAAAGGGGCAGTGGGTGTTGGACATAGATTCCTGAGGACCTGAATATTCTTTCTGTTTTCTTTTTAAAGCAAGTTTCTAACAGTTATAGCTATGTGGTTGATGGCTACTGAAATCTTAAAATGTTAGACAAATGGCTATATAAGATTTGCAGGTGTTGGAGTTAGGATGCTATTGTCCTCACCCCTTCTAACATTAGGGAAAGCAATAGAAATTATGCCAAAATTGCAGGAGAAATTATGAAAAGCTTATTTATACAGGTTGCCAAATTCATGTTTTTGTACTATAGAATGTGAATGGTCTCAGTGCCAAATTTCTGTTTCTTGTGGCATGGAATATGACATAGCTCTGACAATAGGTTTATAAGGGTGAGTTTTTAAGGAGGACTTACATTTAGTTCTCCTTTCTTACAGTTCTGAACAATGCCATCAAAGCCTTTAGCCAGTTCAAAGATAAGAAATTGAAGGTTTTAGACATGGAGGCCTGCCTCAACAATATTGGAATCCATTTAACCAAGTCGGAACTAATGGAGGCCACAAAATCCTTGCCGGTTTCTTGTGAGTATTTGTTCCTGCGTTTTCTTTTTGTCAAGCATGTCTAAATGCGCAGGCCCCAAGTCTGTGAAGGCAGGTTAGAAGAGCAGCAGTGTTTCTGTGAGCACTGAGAGCACCTTCACTTGTGACATTTTTCATATAGAGTGGGAGGGGGTGGGAGGAATGCAGGCTGCGGACGCGAATCAACCACCGGTTTGGTGAATGGGGTTCATTAGGTGAGAGCACATTTGCTTAACATCAAGGCTATTTTGGCTTTGGTGCCGCATGGTAACAGAGAATGAAATATAAAGCTATACAAGATGTTCTTTCCTTCTAGAATTAAAGCATTATTATAAAAAGCCCAAAGTCACAGGGTGATACATCGTCTGAGACCTGTAGAACTTTTATTGACTATAACTGCAACCACTCAGTCCGTTCTCATTAAGTTAGTTACCTCCCGGAGCAAGGCCAGCTCCAGTCATGTACTCAGCAATGGAGGGCTGTGCTGTGCGCCAGGTGCCTCTTTGGTGTTCATCTTTGGATTCTTCTGATTTCAGTGTATCTTACAAACCTCCCCCCACCCCTTTCCTTTGTACAATGCAGATGAACATGCCTTTGGCAACAATTTTCAGCTGTCCATTAATTGGGCCCATCTTATCTCTTTGGAAATTCAACTGTGCAGTTTTTTCCCAAACTCAGCTAATTAAGTGCAACTTGTTCTTCACATTTCACAGTTAGTTTGCACATAGACACACCGGCATATTTTAGCATTCTTTCTGGTAGCTTTCACTTTGTGGGGGCTGCAAGATGAACTCCCTCCCTCCCCCACTTATAACTCAGTTATATTGATGATATCATAAAAGTCATTCAATTCACAAGTGTACACTCATTGGCATTCTTAGTTTAATAAAAATTACATGTATCTTATAGTACATAATAGTAAAATAAGTCTTATAATAGCACATATTTGTAAATAAAAGTAAAACTGCCCTTGGAAGTTATCCCTTAAAAATATCATACCAATGGCATTCCATTAACACCTTTGTTTGATCAGCCATTCATTCTCCTTGGTCATTTGATTGCTTGTGTTTGTAACCAACCCCCTCAAAAAAAAAAAAAAAAAAAAAAAAGCTTAATGCTGTCACATTAGGATGTATAATTAAAAACCTTATTGGATTCTTTCACATTATTCCTCATTCTGCAGTAATATTAAATGTAATGAAGGTGTTAGGCATGTAGTTCTCTATACCAGGTGTCCATCCATTGCGATGCATCCCAATGCATGGTTTCCAATGGCCCTGCACATGCACATCCCCATCCATTGTCAATGTTGTCATCAACTCTGATGACAAGATCCCTTGCCTTTTCCCATATTCGTATCATAAAAGAATGTTCTAGCTACAGTATATGGGTTAATAAAAGGAGGCAAAAAGGGCATACAGACCTCTTAGACTTGTTTATTTTCAACTGTAAAATTGGTACCAGACACAATTGTATCAACTGTATCCAAAACGATTTCCAAAAATTTGGAGGTATTTTCTATAAAATATCCACCTTGAGTCCCAACACTAAGAATAGACAGGAACAACAACACAAGATTTTTTCATCCCAGTCTTTTGATCCCCACACCTTAAATTCTGTCTTACACAGTTTGATAGGATTCATGACCTTGCCTCTCTGTAGCCACGCAGGGCTCATATCATCAGTCAGCTATCAAATCCTCCTGAAAACTGAACTCATCCCTCTTCCTTCCAATATCGTGTGATCTATAGCCTTCTCTTCCACTGCTATACATTTCAAGGCCCTGCTCTGGTCTTCATTTATGTCTCGCCATGGTCCCCTGACAGTGCCTTGCCATATGTTATGTAACCTTTCTGCTTTGAGCTTAATCACTTGCACCTTGCTGGATCTGGCCCACTTAATATGGTCATCACACACTTCAAGCATGTGGTGTTTATGATAAACACTAAGCAAAGTATCAGTAAAACATTACTGGAGAGCAACATAAAATACAATAATAATATGCAAACGTGGAGATAGGCCCAGCCAACATGGCCTGCTGTTTTCAGAATCTCAGCCCAAGTGCTGCTAGAAATGCTTGGCTTGCTCTTTTATCTCTAACAAGATGCAACCAGGAGTAGTAGTTTGTTCACAAACCATCACAGGATCCCAGGTTTCAGGATGATGATCAGGGTTCAATTGTTTATCAGTTTCAGTAGTTCCCATTGAAGTTGCACCTCTTAACATACACTCATCATATATACAGACACACAGACACGCATGCTACAGATCTCCCATTGTGAATCTTATTGTTTCTCTGCCTTCATTCCTCTGTGAGCTTTACATAATCAAACTATCCTGATTTGGCATACTCTTGTAAATTAGGGAGGACTATGTATTTAGCTACTTCTCAAAAGAATCTGACTTTTAAATGTCTCTTACAACACAACCACATATAGGGTTGCAGCCTTTACAAGTTCTTTTTTTGTAGATGCAGTGATCATCTTGCATCCCCAAATTAGGTGGATGTCAAATCTAAGAGACATGAACCCATATAATCCACTCATATCTTACCATATATGGCACTGACAAACTGGCTTAATAGCCCTCTTTAGCGTTCTCCTTTCCCCAACAAGTGTCCTAAACTTGTTAAGATTATTGTTCTAGTTTTGGAGCCTTATTAATAACGTTTTTCTGTTATTCCCCGTGTCTCCTCTTTATTTCCCCATATGATGTTACACTTGCACTGACAGACAAGCAAAGAATAACTTCAATAATTCTCAATGTTTGTATGATTACCTCTTTCATTTAAATCACACCAGAATATATTTGTACTGAACTGATCAGTTCAATAAATAGCATATAAGCAAAGGATTCATTGAATTCCTTTATCCAATGATGTATGTAATGAATAAAAGGAACATTTATATTTCTTCTGTGACCAATCAAAAAGAAAAATTAGCTCAAAATAAAAACTCTCTACTTCTATTGCAGGAGAGACAAAAGTAATAATAGAAGTAATTATGGCTGTTTTACTTAGCCTGTTCCAGGTAAACAACACAAGTCATGTACAATGCAAAACATATTGAACATGTGAGACAGAGAACATGTCATTTTCCATTCTCAGGAACCTCGTCAGCTCACTGGCCATTCTATGATTTTGCATGACAGAATGAGTGGTGCCTGGAAGGGGCAAGCCCAGGCAATAGCTATTCTGAGTGCAGGCAGTTTTGCTGTACAGTGGTACCTTGGTCACTAACTTAATCCGTTCCACAACTCTGGTTGTGACCCAAATTGGCTGTGACCGAAGTCAAATTTCCCCATAAAGTTCAGTGTAAATAAGGTTAATCCATTCTGTAATTATTTTTTTTAATCATAAAAATTTGAAACAAAGTGACAAAGAACAACCAAGTAACAAAGTACTGTAAAGTACAGTGGAGAACACTAACCTAGTTCTGGGAGAGGTTATTGTTTTGAGAAAGAGTCCCCCTCCATAAGGACACTGGGGAGATCTCTTTCAGGAGTTTCCTCTCTTCTTTGTCTCTTAGCTGCAGGGGTCAATTTCGGTGAAAAATCTGTCTATAGTCACTTGTTTTTTCCTGGGTTGCATAACCCTCCGGAAATGAGAGACCACGTTATCGTTCATCAACACTCTGTTCGTTACAGTTATGTTGGGGTGGTGCTTCTCAAAGAAATCCTGGCACTTATTCCATTTTTTCATAATGGATTGTATCACATCACTGCTAACCTCCTCCCTGCCTTCCTCTTCCTCCGTGGAATCCTCCTCAGCAAGTGCCTTCTGCTGCTCACTCTGGAGTTCAGCAAGTTCTTCTGTCATCAGCTGCTCTATGTCTTCCCTGCATGAATGCAACTGCGATTGTGGCCATCTTCCCACTCAGTGGGGCGGGGGAAGATGGCCGCGAACATGCTGGTTGGGGTGGGGGAGAGATGGCCAAGATTGTGCCCGTCTTTCCTGCAGGAGCGCACCCATGATCATGCGCATCTTCCCTGCACGAATGCAACTGTTGTAAGCCGCCCCGAGGCTTCGGCGAATGGGGCGGCATAAAAATGTTTTAATAAATAAATAAATAAATAAATAAATAAACTGCGATCGTGGCCATCTCCCCACTTGGGGTGGGTGGGAAGATGGCCGCGATCTTGGTTGCCACCCAATGCGGAGTTTGTGACCCAAGTCAAAATTTTAATGAAATTTTTGTTTGTGACCCGATTTGGTTGTGAACCAAGGAGTTTGTGAGCCAAGGCAGCACTGTATTTCTGTTTCAGCAGTGACAGACTGGTCCTCAGGTATGGTTGAATTACCCATCCCAGTAGGGGCTGGCCATGGCAAGGCAAGAAGAGGCCTCCTGATGAGCAGGTTTTTGAAGCTTAATGTGGTTTTAAGATTATCAGGGTGTTTTACATATATTAACTCCATCATGGTCAGAACAACCTGAAAGAGTGTCTAGTATGATTGTTCCCATAGCGGCTTAACACCGAGACTGAGACGTACCTATAGCTGCCTAACAAATCCATGGCTGAAGCTGAGAACCTGGCTGGCTTCCTGGCTATGCCGTCATCTGCAGGTTTTTACTGAGAAAAAGAGGTGATTGGCAGAGATTTTCCTTCCTCAAAGAGGTTGGCCATGGATTTGCTGGGGATGCATCAAGTATACTGTATGTTGCCCTTTCAGGTGAGGTGGTATTAGGGGACATTTAGACCTATTGGGTGCTGGTTGTACTAGCACGATTGTGTAATTTCTCTTTTTCTTCTGTAGCTGATGGGACTGTCGATCCCAAGGAACTGATTTCAGCCATGAAGGAAACCAGGCGGTTCAAAAATTATTCAGGTAAAGTATCAAGAGAGCTCTGCTGCAGCAAAGGCAAATAAGAGATGGCTCTGGCTGGCTTTTTATGGATGAACGAATGACAAAAAGGAAGAGTGGTTTTTGCTTTTGCCCACTTCAGACAATCATCCCCTGACAGTCTTCCCAGCAGCCAATGCTCCCTGGGGCTGAAAAGGGTTTCTCACCCATAATTTCTGTAAGGAAGTTTTGACCAAAGCAAATGGGTTTAATGGAGTCACAGAGTGAAGCCATCTCCAGTTGAGCATGGCTTTAAAGTGGTGTTGCTGTTGCTCCTGCCTGCAGCTGTGCTGGATGCGATCCTTGCTCTCAAATTAATTGAAGAACACAAGATGGTGAGGTCAAGGAGTTCAAAGGGAAATCTGAACAGTTTCAGCTTGCACATGGCTAACCAGGTGATCGCCCAGGTACTGAACTCGATATGTATGACTGGTAAGTGACCAAATGGAAGGAATTGGCTAGTTGTAGCATCTTAGCAGTTCTACAGAAAACTCTGCTTTTTAGAGAATTTTAGTGACAATGGTTAATAATAACAATAACTTTAATAATAATAGCAAGTAAGAATAACCTTCAGAACAATGTGTTCCTTAATATTTGGAACTTTTGAGATGAAATTTCCCTTTTTCTGGGACATAAGATCTTCTTGCAGACTTGAATGCAGTGGTCTGAAATCTGTTGCAGACATCAATATTCAGAACCAGTTTGAAAGTAAAGAGTGTTTTTTCCTAAAGCCAAAGTTTGAACTAGAAAGGGCCCCTATGGAGGGATCCATCTGCGTCACACATAGGGCTAATCTAGGGACACCCCTTTCCCCCAGCGTCCCATCTGCCTGGCTAGCTCGGAGACCTTCGTGTGTTAAGTGTGACCTGCAAAGGTCTTGTGAGCATATTTGGCTAAGCTCACCTATGCAACTTCCACAATCTGGAACCCTGACAGAGGTTGAAGCTAGAGTGCTATGCCTGGAATTTATTCTGCGTATTTTTTTTCAGGCTTTCTCTTTCAATTTTATAAAAAATTTTGGCACCAGGCCAAGACCTTTTTATTCAAACAGTAGTTTAATAATTCTTAATATTTATAGGTTTTAATTGTGCAACCAGTGTGTTTCCAGGTTTTAATAGTAATTGTTATTGTTTTGTATTAATTTATTTTTGTGAGCCATCCCGAGGCTTTGTAGCAAGGGGACGGCATATACATCTTTAAATAAATAAATAAATAAATGCTTGTTAACATTTTCTTAAAGGAGAAGACAATGTTGGTAAAATGTTCAGTGGATGTGGGGTTCTTGAACTTACACTAGCTGTGTAAGTGGTGTCTGTGACTGTGTGTGCCTCCTGCCTTTGAATGTGCAATCATTTCCCCAACAGTCTGCAACTTCCATGGTCCCATGAGAGGCTGCCCTGTACTGGACAGTTGTGTGACAGGAAGCAAAATACACACAGCACCATTAGCCACATCATCATGATACAGTAACCCCAAAACCCTCACCAAAAATGATTCAGAGGGAATGGCCTGAGAATGAGAGGGAGGAAGAAATCTTTTGGCAAACCAGGGCACAGCTTTTGGCACTGCACTAATTGAAACCTAAAAAATGGGAATGCCAGCAGCTCATGCTAATAAGGAAAAAGAAAGTCCTCCCTAAAAATGTTCCAAAAGGCAGAATAAGGACAGTGATTTGCCAGAAAGCAGAAAGTGTCCCTAGTAAAAAGGGCAGTTAAGAGAAGGGTTCTTTTACAATACTTTAGATTCCTGTTGAACTCCTTTCAAGTAGAGATTTGATGAGTCCAGAGCCTCAGTCTATTCCCTTTCAGTTTTGCTAATACATTAAAAATTATCATGAAATTTTTCAATAGCAATGTTTGTAATCCCAGCCCTTATGGTAACTTGCAGAAACTGGGCAAACAAAATTCAATGAGTTCTTGCGGGCTTTGACAAGAAGTGAGCAGTTTCGAACATCTGCAGGTAAGGGGGTAGCTTCTTTTGGTCTAAGTTCTGGTAGATCCTGCAAGAAATGGGTCCAACCTCTTCAGGTAGGGAAAAATCAAGTTTGTAATATTTAGCAAGACTAGAGTGACAGCAAGGTAATATTAATTTTACATGTGCAAAGCAGAATGCCTTAGAACTGCACAGGACACAATTTGAACAAAGCTTTTATAGGTTACTTCATCACATGACCACTTTCACATGGGCTTCCTCCCTTACCAGTCTAGGAATATTTCTCCCTCCTTTCATACCTTATCTAAGGATGACCCTTTCAAGATACAGGTCTGGTCCCCTCTCTTGTATCTTGGAGCAGATTCTTCTACAGCTACATACACGCTAGTTTTTTTTTTCTTCAACCCTGTACTTGTCCAAACAAATAGACACCATCTTCTCCAACAGTTCCCTCTGGGAGAGTGAAGGACCCCCACCCCCACCCCACCCCACCCCACCCCACATACTGCTCAGGTTTTCAGCTTCCATTTTGACCGTTATATGCTATCCACAATCTTGGTGGAAGTTGAGGAAGAGAACAAAAAAGGTTTTTCTTTGTGTTGTCTGAGGTTTCATGACTCCATGATTAGAACACAAAAAAGGGCTTTCCAGGTGGCTGTTGCCAGGCTTTGAATCTTCTTGCCAAGAAGGCTGGCCCGGCCCAATCTCTGTTACCCTTCCACCAGTGGGCAAAGACATTTGTCTTCTGGCTCACTTTCATGATCTAGGCTGATTTGCTGCCAGATGGGACTTTAATCTTTTGAGTATTGCCATTTATGTCTTATTGAACTGCTTTTATTTGTCTTTTATTTTTATTTGGTTTTTTTTTTAATTTGTATTGTTCAGTTTGAATATTTAATTCTAACTTTGTTATTTTTTGTATTACATTGCCTGGAACAGTATTCATAGTGACTAGATATATAAAATACATGTATTTTGCTAAATAAATAAATACATGGCTGTAAAGTAGGAGACATGGCCACCCCAGGACAGTTGTCTGCCTTAATTGTCTTGGCTCTCATCTGGACAGTCCTGTGTATTGGAATGGGGTGTGAAAAAGTGCCAGATAATTCTTCAGCAAAGTAATCATCTAACAAATGTTCCCAGAAGTGTCCAGGTGGGGTGGGAGTGCGGGTGAGGTGGGGTGGGGGAGATAACAGCAGTTGAACTGGAAACCACTTGGAGCCATTTTGGACTTTGCGCAGCATTAGTTGCCCAGCTGAAGCTTCCCTGTAGTTTGTTTGCTGCCTGACCTCTTCCTCATTGCTCTGCCTTCCCTTGTCTCCCACAGCCCTGACAGATGTTTTTGACATCCTTGCCAAACTAGAAAATGGGAAGATTGGTGTGGAAGAATTGCAGGTGCTTATGAAGAGCTTCAACTTCAATTTGCCCTCTGATGAAATATCAGATGTATTAGCCTTTTGCATTATTGATGGTGAGTATCTGTTGAGGATGAAATGAGGGACCTATCTGGAGCCTGGGGGTGGTGTGGATATGTGTACACACCCACACTGATAATCAGACTCACAGGTAAACTATTCATTAAATAACCAGTTCAGATTTAAGACAAGCCAATCACTACTCTGGTTTGTAATGTACACAGTGTTTTCCTTCTAGTTCACTAAGTTCTTCTCTTTTACACCTTCCTTCTCCTTTGTGCTTTCAGATGATAATACGGTGAACCTGAAGGACTTTATTAGGGGGTTGACCCATACCAGTACTTTTATCACTAACCCAGGTAAGTAGAGCTATCAGAAAACAGTGGAAAAGATCTCAGCTTAGGTGACACAGAACACTTGGTAGCTTCAGATTTCTTATGAACTAGATGCCTGGAGAAGGTCAGGTTATTCAACTGTTCTGGTGCTGGTAGCAGATTCCTTTCCTGATAGAAAGGAAACACCCTCAGGATGTAGAACAAAAGAACAGAAGGGGGGGGGGGAATTACCAGGATTACCACCACTACATTGTACTTATAGCCTGTCTTTTTTTTTCTTCTTGTGAAAAACCTAAGCTGGTTTACCTAGCTCTCCTCCACTCCATTTTTATCTTCACAATAACCACCTCTGTAAAGTAGGCTAATTAATTAATTTCCCTGCCTCTCATGGACTTGAATTTGGAATGAGGAAGGAGAATCCACCTGTTGAATTGTGAAATGAAAACTCTTATTTATTTAGCTTTTTTTTTTTTTTTTGCAAAATGCTTTATTGGGCTAGCTTTCTCCAAGCCCCAAATACATTTTACTATCTATTTTTATTGTACATTATAAAAATGAAGCCAACCCACACCTTAAAAGAAATAAAAGATTAAATAAACTAAGACATTGTAATTTTTGAGAAGACTGAGAAAGATCAATAACTCTGGTTACATATATATTATTTTAGATGCAATTATTTTAATAAATTTTCCTCTTATGGCTCCCCCATGACACAATTACCATTTCTCCCAGCTGGTGTCTTCAAGGCACTGCTTTACCAGAACTCTTCTCATTCCCAGCCAGCATACCCAATTGACATGTTGGCTGGAGGTGGCAAGGGGTGGTAATTCAACAAGTCTGAAGGGAGCCATCTTGCGAAGAGTTTGCTGTTTGTCTTGTGTTTCTGACTCTCGATTGTCTTTGTATAGAAATGCAGCTCACCTGCATGGCTCTGAACAAGCTCAAAGGTGACCATTTTGATCTCCATGCTCTCAACTCCACCCTGAATACCATGGATCTTCCAGCAGCCAGTGAATTACTGCAGGAAGTGATGAAGACGGCCCAGGTTGACAGTAAGCATTCCAAATATGACTGGAGTTCTGGGACTGCCACAAACACACCATGTTTTGCTCAATACCTAATCTGATCTATGTTTTGCCTTGTAGGTTCTGGCAAGGTGAATTTCCGAGAATTCATGAGGATTTTAACTCTTGTTCCAGAGCTCCCTGAAGGAATCGGTAAAGTTAAACTAGGATTTTAAGTTTACCAGTTTCATGACTGTGAACTGTGAGATAACTTTCTTTGCTACTGTACCTAGAGCAATCCCTCAGTTTTAATTACATTTTTATCCTTAACTTTTATACTGTATCTTGTACAGCTTTTATACCTCCAGACTGATCTGATACAGTTGCTGTTTGTTTGATTTTATAAGTGACTGATTATTATATAGAGTTGATTATTACTTGTGGTATTGTTGTGTTGTATTTTAACATTGTGAACTGTCTAGAGAGCCTTTTTGGCTACTGAACAGTATATAAATAAATATCCAGACTCTAACATGATCCTCAGATGGGTGATTCTTTATCCTGACAAGCTTGTTTTAATGCAAAGCAGCTGTCGGAGGCTGAGGGTAAGCAAAAAGGAAAGAGCACTGTTGAGCACATCACCTTGCTAATTCCTCCACGCTGCTTTTCCATCTGCTGATCAATTATATGGCTACATTATTAAGCAAAAGAATCATGCAACCACATGTCATTTGAGTCTCCATTTCCAAAAAAATGGAAATTGACCAAGTTTACTTCCTCCTTTGGCAGTGTTGAAGGATACTTTTGATGCCATGAGTAACATCAAAGACCGCCATATCCATGTGGATGACCTGCCAGGAACCCTGGCCAGTGTAGGCATAAAACTAACACCAGAAGAGCTCCAGGTGCTGCAAGGCTCAGTTACAGTTGCAGGTGAGATTACAACTCTGGTTTCAAACAATGCTTGTTGTGTGCAGGTGTTGGAAAGCATAGCCAAAATGCGGACATACTGCTCAGTTTTGCCATTTTGCGGGACTTGGGTGATGTGGGAAGGTACCAAGTTGTATTAGCAACACTGGGCAAAGGGAATGTAATCCTGCTGATGTTGCAATAGGAGCCTATTTCTCAGCCACCACATCTATGCAATGATTTCTGTCACAATAACACAAAGGGTCACAATAACATAAAGGCTCACAGTAACACTAAGTGTTTGAGTTCTGAGGTTCTCTATTCAGTTTTGCTTCTGTCACTAGCTAAGCTTAAGCAAGCCATTATCTGTTCTCCTCTCATCCAGAATGGCTATATGAGGATAATTAATAGCGATTATCAATCTGTATTGTAGAAGTATTGTTCATCTTGATGCCTGATATATTCTGCATGAAGCCGTTTCACTACTCTAATAGTGCAATCCTATGCATGTTTACTCAGAAGTAAATCCCATTGTGTTTAATGATGCTCCTTAGTACATATGTCGAAGATTGCAGTTTCAAGTGGCATCTCAACATCAGGCAAAGCATTATTATTATTAAGAGCCACTAAAGTACAATAAGATAATTCAACATCTTGGGGAACCAGACATAAGAGATCACCGGTATATTTGAAACAGCTAGATTTTCCATGCGTGCTTCTTTCCACCAGTCTTCTATTCAATTGTGTTTCTTATAGGAGATGGAACAGTAGATTTTAAAGATGTTATCATCAGCATAACTGGTAGCCAGTCCTTTGCAGAATTTAATGGTAAGCAGTGAGAACCAGTGTGGTATAGTGGTTAACAGTGCGCAACTGGGACTCAGGAGATCTGGGTTCTAGTCCCCATTCAGCCATGGGACATACTGGGTGACTTTGAGCCAGTCACAGACTCTCAGCCCAACCTACCCCACAGGTTGTTGTTGTGGGGATAAGATTGAAAGGAGGAGGAGAATTATGTAAGCTACCTTGAGTCCCTTGAAAGGAAAAAAAGTGGAATATAAATATAAAAAATAAAATAAAGACTACAGGAAAAAATCATTTATTTATTTATTTATTAAAACATTTCTATGCCGCCCCATTCGCCGAAGCCTCGGGGCGGCTCACAACATAAAGTTAAAATACAAAAAATAACAATATAAAATAAGTCGCCCTGGCCAGATAAACTGTCTCCATGTTAAGCCACAAGCACCCAGTAAGATCTCAATAGTTCATGAGAAGTTGAGAGCATGTGTAGATGAAGGAAAAGATCACTTTTCCTTGACACCTCCCTTGATTCTGATAGAATCGCATAGTTGGAAAGGACCATTAAGGGTCTCTCTACGAGGAGGCATATAACTCGGTGCTTTACCAAAGTTAAAGTTCTTTTGCAGGATGGTTAGAATGCCCTTTACACAAGGTTTTCCTCCCTTCCTTTCTGTATGTTCCATTACATGAATAAAGTACACTAGGCCTCTATAGCAAATAATGGTGCCATCTAGGGAAATACCAGATTTGTTGGCTCTGGTATTTACAAAGCCAAAGAAAAATGCTGAAAAATACCAGAAAGACCCTGAAAGAATGATGATATTGCAAAAAAGCCCTGCAAACTTCCATGCGTGAGGGAGAACAAATGCAGAATGGATGCTTTGTGCAAAGAAGCCCTTAGCCTATGAAGTCCAACCCCCTGCTCTGCCCAAGCTGAAATTAAACCAACAAGACTGATGGTTATTGCTCAGTAGAATGCCTCACTCAGGGATTTAATCTGTTCTGGAAGGGGTTATATTATTCCCCCTGAAGGATCACAACTGAAGTTTGGGAGTGCTCCTTGATCCTTTGTTGCCCTTGGATTTTCAGGTGGCAGTAGTGATAAGAACTGCATTTGCACAATTATGTGTGGCTTTGACCCTTCCTGAATTTGGTGTGATTTTGCAGCAGCTATCCATACCTTGGTTGCATCATGCTTAGAATACTACAATGCGCCCTGAATGGCGCGACCCCTCGGGTAGTGTCCTGAAGCTTCAGTTAGTGCAAATTATGGCAACTAACTGTTATATGCCATCAGGTCCAGTTTTCACCTGTCCTGAAAGATCTGACTTGGTTGCTGAATGCTTTCTGGGCTCAGTTCAAGCTGTTAGTGTTAGGAACTGGCTAGCAGGTTTCTCTGATTATGAACATTCCCAGTATTAAGATCTGTGGGAGAGACCTTTAAGGTCACCATCGCCCACAGGGGCTCATGAGTTGGGCATATGCAAAAGGGCTCCTCCTGTATTGCTCCCAAATTGTGAAATGGATTTCCTCAATGTAACTGCAGCTTGGTTCCTGCAGCTTTGCACAGCGCTTTCAGTACCATCAACAAGATCTGCAAAGAGAACATTAAGAAGGAGGACCTACCAGGTATCCTAGAAGACCTGGGCATCCGGCTGTCACCTGATGAGCTCCAGACAGCCCTGGCTTCCACTTCCATTGATGGTGAGGCATTTATTTTTAAACCTCCCTTTCTGTCTAAGATGATGAACGTATTTAAAAGTGCATCACACCATTCATTTCTTTGTCTACCTTCCTGTCCAATATGCTGCCTTCCATCTCTTTTCCATCCTCTGTCTTCAGAATATCTTCCATCTGGTATACCTGAAAAGCTGAACCCAAGGAAAGGCTGTGCAATGCAACAGGAGTGAGCTCAGTTGTTAATGCCTCCCATGTCATCATGTGGGATGGAGCAACCTGTCCTCAAATTGGCAGCCCGGGTGAATGGGGGAGCAGTATGGTGGCATGCAGCATTCGATGCGCCATGCTCCTGAATCAAGGTGGCTAAGCAGGGGCTGAGCTGTTCGGCAGCCTGGCTGGGAGACCAAATGTAAGGGCAGATACAAGGATATTCAGTAAATAAATAAACACAGGTTGGTCGGGGGGGGGGGGGGGGACGACACTACCTACATCGTACCATAATATTGGATTGCCAAAACAGATATTACTTTAAACCTGTATCTAGCAGCTGTGTCTTTTGTCATTTTTGACATAGAATAGGCACAGGGGAGCCATCTAAGATGGGCACTCTAGTGAGGGAGGAGGAGGATTTAATGAAGATCTGGATGCACTTACTGTAGAATAAAAATGAAAAACAAATCAGCACAGCTGCTAGAGGCAGATTTCAAACAATGGCTGTTGTGGTCCTAGTGTTGTTTATTTTCTGTATTTCTATATTACCTTTCTGGAGTGAACTGAGACACTGTATCAAAAGTTCAGGTAATAAAAAACCTAAACAAATAAAAGCACAGTAAAGCATTAAAAACAGCCTCTAAAATGAACAATACTTTAAAAATCCCTGTCAAAAAGATGTACCTTGGTCCCCTTCTTGGACACAGAAAGTCAGCATCACAGCTATAGAGGAAGTTCAGCCCATTGTTTGGAGGGTCCAGGAGAAAGCCCTTTCCCATGTGCCCCATGGCTCAGCCTCTGCAGATAAGGGTGTCTTCAGAAGGGCCTCATCAAGCAAATTCATCCCGTCAGATAATCCAGTCCTTAGACTGTTTAGAGCTTTCAAGTCTAAACCCTTGAATTTAGCCTGTGCAGATCTGTTGTAATCATGTGCAAAGATTAGCAGCCTGGGTGCCGCGAGTTGCAGCAACTGAAGTTTCCAAATGATCTCCAAGGGTAGCCCCACAAACAGCAGATTGCTATGTCAAAGTATGAGGGAGTACATGTTGCCAGGTTGGAGTAATCCAGGCAAGGTCACAGCTGGTGTACGGAAGCGCTCCTCACCATTTCTACCACCTGAACAACCACGAACAGTGCAGGAGCCCAACCCCATCAAGAATAGGCTGAATGCCAGTCCATGAGTCAGGCAATCTATTCAGCACAACCCCACTATTTTGTTTCCTGTATGTCTAATTGTATCCTTCATCCTCCTACCCATTATCAACCCTAGACTACATTCAAGGGTGTTGAATGGCTCTTTTGTCATTCAGTCAAAATAACTAGGGGCCCTGTGTTAGTATAAGGGTAAAAGCTATCTCCTTTGGAGCAGCGGGGTCAGGTGGGGAACATCAGTTTTCTTCTTCCTCAGCATCCTTGCTGGGAATAACACACAGAGTGCCACTTGCCTGCTCAGGATGCAACTGGAACTACAAGTCTCAGAATCTTCAAAGGCAGCAGCATGCACCGCATCACCTTTGCATTAGGAAGGCTTGGATAAGAAGTCTCAGTCCTTGCTGGAAAAGGATAGTATGCCAAGGGGTGGGCACATGAGAAGCTCCTGCTGCTTCTGCCTTTCCTTTCACCTGGACAGCACATATATTTCTTTCATCTCAGGAGAGTAGTGAGAGACCAGCCTGGGTGCTTCTCAAGAACCTTTCAGGGATTTGCATCTGTTTGCTTTGGGACATGTACAAAGCCGGGCTGTCTTTCATGACAAACACAGGGATGCTTATGCATTTCTCATGGTAATGTTCTTCTTGTTTAGTTATGGTGACATTTTCTGCAGGTTTTCTAATTTCATGGATGTCTCTGTAGTGTGCTTTTTTTTTTTTTTTTAGAAATTGTGGGGGTAAATGATGATCATGATCATTGACAATTTAAAAGCTGCAAGCTAATGGGGGTGTATTTCTTGGCAAATGCCAATTTAATTGTAGATTTCCTATCTGATCCCTTCTTGTGCTTTTCTTTTCCCTCAATCTATTCAAGAATCAGGGAAACTCGATGGGATGGAATTCCTGAAGATTTTGTCCCATGCCCCACACTTTTCAGAATTGATAGGTAAGCACTGGGAATGTTAGGAAAGAGAATGTGGGTGTAGGGAGGTCTGTGTTTAGGAGGGCATGTGCCAAGCGAGTGGGGAATGAGCAAAACAAAGCCAGGGGGCTGGGGCAGCCACTGCCGCCGCCACCTCCTCCTCCTCACTTGCCACTCAGCAGCAATGGCCTATCTTGGCAGATGCTCTACTCCTCAGCCTCTGCTCCTCCCCACAGTGCAGTCTGAGCCCCTCCATGTATGGGGCACGCTTCCGCCAGGATGCTCCATGCCTAGGGAACCTCAGTGCTAGGATGTTGCATTGATGGACATCCAAGCATGGCAGGAACTTCTGTGGCACAGGAGGACCTGATGGCCTTCCCAGTGACAGGTGGTACCCAGACTGAGGAAAGGCAGCAGTCTAGGAGCTTTAGCATAATATTGCCCAGTCATAAAACAGATGAATCCTGACCTCCACCATTCTCAGATACAACACAGTTTAAGACACAGAAAGTCTGGCTGTGCATCACAGAGCAGCCCTGAGCTGCTGCTGGCCTGTCTCTTCCCACATATTCCCTGTAATGTCTGTGGTCCTGATTCAGATGGTTCTGGGTCAGAGAACAGGCCCACTGTGCCCAGCCCCAGTACAATCAATGTGATGGGCAGCAGCTCTCCAAAGCGCAGCCATTCTTGCAACCCAACTAGAGTAGAGCCTTCTGCATTAATCATGCATAGCATGAGTGCTGTCACAAGGGATATGATCAAATGAGCGTGTACTCCCCAAAAAACCTGAAGTTCTCTACCAAGACAGTTGAAATTCTGCACTGGGAAAGGTTCAGTCCTGTGACCTATACAGTTTAAGCGAATTGGCATTATTTTCTTACTTTGTATAATTTGTTGTGTCATTTTTATTGTTTTTGCACCATGCAGGTGCTGCATGTCTTAGGGATGGACAAAGAACTGTTCAAGCTCCCCCACAGTTCCTGGAAATCTTACTGACTCACTATATTAGATGCTGCAAGACTTTAGCAGGGATGCCTCTCACCTGTCTAAGCATGTCTTTGCAGCCATAAAGGCTAGAAGCCTGTTTTAAAAAGCAATTCAGTACAGATTGTCTTGCGGGTGGATATAATCAACCCAACACCTCATTGTTCCTGTAACCTTTTGGGGGGTCCTGTTGAATATATACAACCATGGCTATGGTGCATCACAGATGGATAGCATCAGTTGGGCAACCGTCTCTTCCTCCTCACAATTCATGTTCTCCAGCACTGCAGGATGCCACGAAGGTTGTGGAAAATATAAAAACTGAGAAGATGACCATTACCCAGTTGGAGAAAGCTCTGGACAATATGGGAGTCCACTTACCTGATGCAACCTTCAACAAGGCAGTCAAATCAGCCAAAACTGATGGTGAGCAAGCAAACCCAAAATCCTTCTTGGGTTGTGGATTTTTGTTTTTTGGTCCTTCCATTTCTGATAACCTCCTGGGCTATCCTAAAATTTAGAAAGCTTTAGTAAGACAAGTCTGCACAAAGAAAGCTGAATCAATACATCTATCAATGAACATCTTTGCTTAGCCATAGGCCAGTAGCATCCTGTTGAATAATAATTTCATGTTTGGAAGGTACTGATGGAAGATGCAGCAGCATTTATAGTGAATATCCCATGGTTTTCTACAAGCAAAACTCATTATTATCAGAATTTTGGCAATAAAGTGACCCCCCCCCCCCATAACAACATATTTGTAGTCTAGATTTATATATTTGATTGATTGATGGATGGATGGATCGATCTTGGACTCTGTAAGTGGTTCACAATCATTGTAAGTGGTTCATAATCATTTACAAAAACAAGTTTGAAACATGGAGTATGACTGGTGAAAGCAAGATAGCTAAGATATACACACAAAGCACAACCAGGCAACAATTCATTCTAAAAAGTGTGATCAAATTAGTCCCCTCTTTGGCCCTCAGTGAAATTTCAAGTGGTTATGGAAAGGGTCTCAGTCTCCCACCATTTCTTGCCACTCTCTATGACTGCTAGCAGCAACAGAAATTACATAAATGAAATGAACACCAAGAGAGTTGCTTAATTTACATAAACAACACAGCTGCTCTACTATATGGAGAAGTTTAGCAATCAAGACTGTTGGCAAATTTAGAAAGTTTGAAAATGACTCACCATTATGGTGGAATATGCCCAGCACTGGTGACTGCTTTTTCCATCTGTGGTTTTCAGGGGACTTGTGCAGTCTGGTGAGGAGGCAAAGGCTGAATGAGGGCAGACACTCGGGACAGAAACGGCAGCTAACTGTGCCATCTTAATGCCTTCTTTCAGTTTGAGCTAACCATTGGGTGCAGTTTCTGGTTTTAACAACACAAATAATGATCTCACACAGTAATCACTCTCATGCCTCAAACTCTTCTGTACATTCAACAATAAAAAACAAAATGCTTGTTTTACAGGGAACGGCAAAATTGGTTTCAAGGATTTTTTGTTAGCATTGGGCAAAACAAAGGATTTCACGGAACTGGAAGGTAAGTATACCCTTTCCTTTATGAAAGCAGGAAAGTATTTTAAGTTTCCCTTCCCTAAGGGGCTGGTATGTCAGTTGGGGCATCAATGATTTCAACTTTCTTTTGCCTTCCCTGCCTCCTTCAATGTCCCTTTCTAGTGCTCTTCCCTGGTTTTTTTTTTTTTTTTTAGAAATGGGGCGGGGGGGGTAAATGATGATCATGATCATTGACAATTTAAAAGCTGCAAGCTAATGGGGGTGTATTTCTTGGCAAATGCCAATTTAATTGTAGATTGGGGGGTGCTTAGCAAGAACAGGACAGGTAAGTAGAAGCCCTTTTGGCACCTGATGTGCAGTGAATAAGCCAGTAAACCCAAAACCACTGCCTCAGTTGCCCAGACTGCTTCCAGATAACACCAATAAGCAGGCAGGAGGCAAAGCGAGTGAGGGAGAAACAACTCTAGAAGCAGGAGATGAATATAGGGAAACAGAGTGGGTGGAGGGTGGAAGAAGAAAAAGTTGGAGGACGACAGGTGGGTGAGTGGAGTGGGTAGATGGGAGCATGGGTAGCTGGATCGATGACAGGTACATAGATTGCCTCAGGAAGGGGAAAGAAGAGCCATGGGGTGAAGAGGGGGAAAGGAGGCACTGAAGGTGGCAGAAGGGTAAACATATATATCCCCCACAAACATTCTCTGCACATTTTTGTGGGGTAAACTCCATTGAATGTAGTGGAAATAACACCTGGGTTGGTGTAGATAGGACCTATTTATGTAACCCTGCACCCCATCCATGCACAACTTTCCTTCCCGTCTTTCTCATATGACAATAGAAATTGCTTGTGTTTCCTGCACGTCCTTTCCCACATCCTGCAGCAGCTGCTCCTTTATCTTTGTTTTATTCCTTATTCCCCTTCAAGTACCACACTATTTTCTTTCCTTGCAATTGAAGTTAGCTGGGTGCTGGGGCTCAGTGGAGATAAAAACAGTACAATCCTATTTATGATTACTCAGAAGCTATCCCTCTGCATTCAGTGGTGTTTGCCAGAAACATGTGCATAGTATTGAAGCCTAAATCAGTCTTGCCCTGTCTAGTGTCCTCCTGATGTTTTTGACTACAGCTCCCACTTGTACTGCCCCCCTGGTTGGGACACCTAAACTGAAGTTCAGAAGGTTAAAGGAAGTTCTATACTTGATTTTTCTTTGCTAATTTTAGTAACTTATTATGGCGCTCACACAGATTTTTGTGTGTTTTGTTTTGCGTTTTGCAATGTGGCTCCCACTTGAAAATTAGTGAAGATCACTGAAGCACATCCTTATACGTCTCCCACCTTCTCTTTCCCCACAACACACATATTCTCTGTTTCTTTGGTTTTCTTCTTGGGCTGTGAAAGTGTACAGCGAGGAAGGGGATTGAGAGAGGGTTAGGATTATCAAATGTGCAGGTGAAGGAGTTGTAGGGATAGAAAAGGTGAAAGTGGTTGTTATAGCTTAGTCAGCAGAAGGTAGATGCCCAGATGTTTTGGACCTCAACTCCCAAAGGCCCCTGCAAACATAGCCAGTGCAAATTACTGGGAGGTGAGGTTCAAGATGTCTGAGTATCTACTTTATTTATTTAAAAATTATACCATCTTATATTTTTAAAAAATCTCAAGGCAGTATACAGTAGAATTCAAAACATTAGAACTAGGCAACAGTACTTGATTTAAAATACAATAGATTGTGTGTGAGTGTGTGTGTGACCTAACATTTAAAAAACTGGGTAAAAAAAAAAGTTTTGGCCTGGTGCTGAAATAAGTAAAGAGTCAGAATGCCCAAGGATGCATTCCCGCTGTCGCTCTCCCAGCAAAGGCCATCCCACAGCCCAACCAAGGCTGTTTCAGTCCCAAAACCAAGTCTGAAACTGGACTGAATTGTGTCCAGATGGTCAGTTTCCTCCAAGAGTGCCTGGAGTTGTCCAGCCACCACCCGCTTCAGCACCTTGCCCTTATAGTTATATCTGTCCTTTTTCCTCTCATGGAACACACTGGCTGTGTGTTCCCACCCCAGTTCTAAAGTATACCTTAGCCTTAATTCAGATGTAGTGTTACTTTCAATTGAAAATAACAATTCCCTGCTCAAAACAGCTGGGGACCAATAAAAATGGTGCCATCCCTAATCCCATTATTTCTCATAGCTGCCTAATACCTGCTAAACATCACTCTTCTTACACATGACCAAAAATCTAGAAGCAGAGAAAGGACATTTGAGCTTGCCTTTTGGAAGCACAGTACGGATGACTGGCTGATTCAACAGTTGCCTAAAAGTTGTGATAGGGCACTGCATAGTAGATGGTCACTTATACTCATCCAGTGCTAGCCAGAATATAGGTCATCAAGGCTTCCTTAGACATGGCCAATTTGCAGTGTAAGATTTCTAGATTTGGGGCAGGTCTAGGCTCTTCTAGGTGCATCTGGCCAAATAGGCTCTGGCTCATAAAGATTATGCCACAAGGTATTTATCACTCTTTAAGATTCCATGAAAGCCTTTCTCGATTTTACTGTAGCAAACAGTAAACCCCTCTAGATTTTGCCAGTTTTGCAGGGGTCTCCTGGGGATGGCAGAACCAGGAGACAGACATATGGATGAAATTCCATTCTCGTGCACCAGCTCTATTCTTTACAGTTCACCTGAATGAAGTCTGATTCATTGCCTTGCCCCCCTGCAGCTTTGCAACGCGTCATAAGTGTCATTGGCACAATGCACGACAGACAGCTGCACATGAATGAACTGCGAGCTGCTCTGAGTAACATGGGCATCCATTTGAAGGAGGAAGAATTCCAGCAAGTTGTGCATGCCATTGATGTGGGTGGTGAGTACCATTGACAAAGGGAGGATGAACATGTGCTTCAGTTCACATGCTCGGTCTACCCAGAAGGCTGCAGGCTGTGTGGAGTGGCAATGGCATGGCTACTCTAGCAAAATTCACCCTGGATTCAACAATTCTTGACAACCCATTCTTGACAGTGGGTTGCAAATATCCCTTTTGGGGAAAGGTTCTTCAGAGAGTTGTGGTGCTGCAGCTGCTTTTGGGTTATACTGCTTATTTCTGGATTCAGGACTGAATTGGATTTTGTTGCTCTGATCAGTGACTCCAGTCAAGAGAGACAGATGACACAACCTGCCATGCAAACCCAACCAGTGTGGATTTGCAAAGCCCTCAAAATATTTACAATATCTTGTCTTTGCAAAATTCCATTAGGTTGCTGCTGTTCCCATTGTGCAGACTGTGAATTGGGACAGCAAGACACTGACTTGGCCATGGTGTGACTCAATCTGACCAAATGTGTGGAAATAGTCAGTTGCTCTGCTCAGTGATCTACTCACCATAAGCAGGAAGTCACACCTGCCTGAAGGAAAGTGTTTGTCTGCTCCAGGCATAATTGCACCCCCCTCTCCCCATTCCTTGGCAATCCAAGATGCTCTTGCCTAGGGGTTTTTGACTTATTCCCTCCATTTGTCTCTTAACTGACCCTCTGTATTTCATCTCTTCCTCCAAGCGGATGGGACCGTAAATATGAAGGACTTCCTGACAGAACTTTCCAAGATGCAGTGCTTCAAGGACTCTGTTGGTGAGCCTCTTACCGTCAAGCACATTCTTACCATGGAAGAATTAGGGGTACCACTAGGAATAAGTAAGCTCCCCTCTCCATCCTCAGTTTAGGTTTGGGTTGAGCAAATATTAGAATATTTTGAAAATGAGCTTGATTATTTTGAGCCCATTAATGACCCCAACAGGGCCACAATGAGTCTAGATCTCACTTTTGTCCACCATGAGGCCTCTTTTTATGGCTTCTGCAGTTGAAGCCCTGGCACATGTAGTTTCCAGATCATCTGGCATCTATATTAAGGATGGATCCATATTAAGGATGGCAGATAATTTGAGAAAGCTATATTTCTCTGGGTTTCTTGTTCTTAGAGTAGCATTTACAGTGCCAGAAAGGAAGAGGAAGAGAAACCTCCCTGACTTTTCTGGAACAGAAGTTAGTAGGAAAGTGAATGAATGGGTGGGAGCTGAAGGGATGAGTTGTTCATCTCAAATTGATTTGCTAGTGGAAAGGAATCCCAAGTATACAACAAAAATTCCGCTAAATGCAGTCTTTGTCACCTGTCTAGGGAAAAAGACATTCTCTGCATCTGACAGCTTTGTGGCAAGCAGAAATCTTAGGGTTGAATCTTTCCCAATAATTTTTCTTCCACAACAGAGGAAAGTTTAACCTGGTGATTTTCCCTTTAATGCAGATACTAAAACCAGGGATACTAGCCATTTAAAAGGGTGTAGCCCCCACTCTGTATCTCTTTAACACGAGAAGTGAAGGTTAGAATAAGCTTCTTCCCATTCAACTTCCAGGGAGTCCATGGCCATTGCAAATTCACCAGTTCAACCAGGAGCCTGAGCATGGCCCTGAGAAAACTGTTGACCAGTTACTAGGTGCATTTGTTATAATACAAGGATCTCAAAGTATTTTAGCCAGCATCATTGCTCGTGAAACAGAATATTCAGTAGTTCCTAAGATATGTGGCTTTAGGCTTAAATTGAAGAAAGTAGGGAAAAGCACAAGGCCACTCAGGTATGACCTAAATCATACCCCTGGTGAATATACAGTAGAGGTGATAAATAGATTTAAGGAATTAGATCTGATAGACAGAGTGCCTGACGAACTATGGACAGAGGTTCACAACATTGTACAAGAGGTAGCAACTAAAACCATCCCAAAGAAAAAGAAATGCAAGAAAGCAACATGACTGTCGGAGGAAGCTTTACAAATAGCTGAGGAAAGAAGGGAAGCAAAAGGCAAGCGAGAAAGAGAAAGATACCCCAATTGAATGCAGAATTCCAGAGAATAGCTAGAAGAGATAAGAATGCCTTATTAAATGAACAGTGCAAAGAAACAGAAGAAAACAATAGAATAGGGAGGACCAGAGATCTCTTCAAGAAAATTGGAGATATGACGGGAACATTTCATGTAAAGATGGGCATGATAAAGGACCAAAATGGCAGGGACCTAACAGAAACAGAAGAGATTAAGAAGAGGTGGCAAGATTACACAGAGGAACTATACAAGAAAGAGCTTAACGTCCCTGATAACCACGATGGGGTGGTCACTGACCTTGAGCCAGACATCCTGGAATGTGAAGTCAAACGGGTCTTAGGAAGTCTGAGCAACAACAATGCTAGTGGAGGTGACAGTATTCCAGCTGAGCTATTCAAAATCTTAAAAGACAATGCAGTAAAAGTGCTACACTCAATATGCCAGCAAACTTGGAAAAGTCAACAGTGGCCACAGGATTGGAAAAGGTCAGTTTACATTCCCATCCCAAAGAAAGGGAATGCCAAAGAATGTTCAAACTACCGCACCATTGCACTCATTTCACATGTTAGCAAAGTTATGCTCAAAATCCTACAAGCTGGGCTCCAGCAGTATGTGGACCAAGAACTACCAGAAGTACAGGCAGGATTTCGAAGAGGGAGAGGAACTAGAGGTCAAATTGCCAACATACGCTGGATCATGGAGAAGGCTAGGGAGTTCCAGAAAAACATCTACTTCTGCTTCATTGACTATGCTAAAGCCTTTGATTGTGTGGATCACAACAAATTGTGGCATGTTCTTAAAGAGATGGAAGTACCAGACCATCTTATTTGTCTCTTGAGAAACCTGTATGCGGCTCAAGAAGCAACAGTGAGAACTGGACATGGAACCACTGATTGCTTCAACAATGAGAAAGGAGTTCGACAAGGCTGTATACTGTCACCCTGCCTATTTAACTTATATGCAGAGCACATCATGGGAAAGGCAGGGCTAGATGAATCTCCAGTTGGAATTAAGATTGCTGGGAGAAATATCAACAACCTCAGATATACAGATGATACCACTCTCATGGCAGAAAGTGAAGATGAACTAAAGAGCCTCTTGATGCTGGTGAAGGAGGAGAGTCTAAAAGTTGGCTTGAAACTCAACATTAAGAAAACTAAGATCATGGCATCCGGTCCTCTCACTTCCTGACAAATAGATGGGGGGAAAATGGAGGTAGTGACAGATGTTATTTTCCTGGGCTCCAAGATCACCGCAGACGGGGACTGCAGCCAAGAAATTGAAAGACACTTGTTCCTGGGGAGGAAAGCTACGGCAAATCTAGACAGCATACTAA